AGACTGGTTCTTAACCTGAATAAAATAAAAAAAGGACGTGGAGTGACGTCATGCGTGGGACACAGACATTCTCGGCTCATTATCGTAAATATAAGTAAAAAGGACGTCATGATGAACAAGGGATTAAAACCTTTAAATAAGTCTGTGTCACGGCGTCCTTACAAATTGCACACGAATTGATGCAATGAATATCACGTCGCAGTCTGCTTTTCGCTTGCAAGTTTTAGATTTACTGAAACACAAAAGTCTAGTTTTATATATTTGTACAAAGTATTTGGTGCTGTTGCTGCGTTGGCAGTAGTACACAAGCACACATAACAAATCTCTCAAACACATTCAATAACACTGCCTCCTCTCTATTCATGTGCCGTTAAGGACCATTGCCCAAAACGTTGCCTCATGTATTTTTTCATTTAAGGCCAGTGTTATTAACGAATGTGTTGAGTTGTTTTCTTCCGTTTCTTACAAAGCAATGGAATTGTGTGCCAGGTGAATAGTGTGAAGGCTGCTGCCACTGATCACCATGAACTAGCCGCTGTGCCCGGCTAAGCAATGCGAGGTCACGGGGGTCATGAGGAGTCCAGGGTTCCTCGTGGCGACTTTCAGGGCGCGTTACTCGAATTGCAATCACACTGCCATGTTGACTCATACCACGTCCAAATAGGGCACATTGCTTGATAAACTGGCAGTTATTTATAGTAATCTACGTGAGTCTGTGGATCTCTGAGCGAGTCTGTGGGTCTCTATGTGAGGCTGTGGGTCTCTATGCGAGTCTGTGGATTTGTATGTGAGGCTGTGGCTCTCAAAGCGAGTCTCGGGGTTTCTACGCGAGTCTCTGGGTCTCTAGGTGAGTCTCTGGGTCTCTAGGTGAGTCTCTGGGTCTCTATGTGAGTCTGTGGGTCTCTATGTGAGTCTATGGGTCTCTATGTGAGTCTATGGGTCTCTATGTGAGTCTATGGGTCTCTATGCGAGACTCGGGGTCTCTATGTGAGTCTATGGGTCTCTATGCGAGTCTCGGGGTCTCTATGTGAGTCTATGGGTCTCTATGTGAGTCTATGGGTCTCTATGCGAGACTCGGGGTCGCTATGTGAGTCTATGGGTCTCTTTGTGAGTCTGTGGGTCTCTATGTGAGTCTATGGGTCTCTACGCGAGACTCGGGGTCTCTATGTGAGTCTATGGGTCTCTATGCGAGGCTCGGGGTCTCTATGTGAGTCTATGGGTCTCTATGTGAGTCGCTGGGTCTCTATGTGAGGCTGTGGGTCTCTACGCAAGTCTCGGGGTCTCTATGTGAGGCTGTGGGTCTCTATGTGAGTCTGTGGGTCTCGACGTGAGTCTCGGGGTCTCTATGTGAGTCTGTGGGTCTCTATGTGAGTCTATGGGTCTCTATGCGAGTCTCGGGGTCTCTATGTGAGTCGCTGGGTCTCTATGTGAGGCTGTGGGTCTCTATGTGAGTCTGTGGGTCTCTATGTGAGGTTGTGGGTCTATATGCGAGTCGCTGGGTCTCTATGTGAGTCTCTGGGTCTCTATGTGAGTCTCGGGGTCTCTATGTGAGTCTCGGGGTCTCTATGTGAGGTTGTGGGTCTCTATGCGAGTCTCTGGGTCTCTATGTGAGTCTCGGGGTCTCTATGTGAGTCTTGGGGTCTCTATGCGAGGTTGTGGGTCTCTACGTGAGGTTGTGGGTTCTCTATGTGAGTCTCTGGGTCTCTATGTGAGTCTCGGGGTCTCTATGTGAGTCTCGGGGTCTCTATGTGAGTCGCTGGGTCTCTATGTGAGTCTGTGGGTCTCTACGCGAGTCTCTGGGTCTCTATGTGAGTCTGTGGATCTCTATGTGAGTCTATGGGTCTCTATGTGAGTCTGTGGGTCTCTATGTGAGGCTGTGGGTCTCTATGTGAGTCTGTGGGTCTCTATGTGAGGCTGTGGGTCTCTATGTGAGTCTGTGGGTCTCTATGCGAGTCTCGGGGTCTCTATGTGAGTCTCGGGGTCTCTATGTGAGGCTGTGGGTCTCTATGTGAGTCGCTGGGTCTCTATGTGAGTCTGTGGATCTCTATGTGAGTCTATGGGTCTCTATGTGTGTCTGTGGGTCTCTATGTGAGACTGTGGGTCTCTATGTGAGTCTGTGGGTCTCTATGTGAGTCTCTGGGTCTCTATGTGAGTCGCTGGGTCTCTATGTGAGTCTGTGGGTCTCTATGTGAGTCTCTGGGTCTATATGCGAGTCTCGAGGTCTCTATGTGAGTCTCTGGGTCTCTATGTGAGTCTCTGGATCTCTATGTGAGTCGCTGGGTCTCTATGTGAGTCTCTGGGTCTCTATGTGAGTCGCTGGGTCTCTATGTGAGGCTGTGGGTCTCTATGTGAGTCTCTGGGTCTCTATGTGAGTCTGTGGGTCTCTATGTGAGTCTATGGGTCTCTATGTGAGTCGCTGGGTCTCTATGTGAGGCAGTGGGTCTCTATGTGAGTCTCTGGGTCTCTATGTGAGTCGCTGGGTCTCTATGTGAGGCTGTGGGTCTCTATGTGAGTCGCTGGGTCTCTATGTGAGGCTGTGGGTCTCTACGCAAGTCTCGAGGTCTTTATGTGAGGCTGTGGGTCTCTATGTGAGTAACTGGGTCTCTATGTGGGTCTCCCTGTGAGTCTGTGGGTTTCTATGTGAGGCTGTGGGTCTCTATGTGAGTCGCTGGGTCTATATGTGCGTCGCTGGGTCTCTATGTGAGTCTCTGGGTCGCTATGTGAGTCTGTGGGTCTCTATGTGAGTCGCTGGGTCTCTTGTGAGTCGTTGGGTCTCTATGTGAGGCTGTCGGTCTCTACGCGAGTCTCGAGGTCTTTATGTGAGGCTGTGGGTCTCTACGTGAGTCTCTGGGTCTCTATGTGAGTCTGTGGGTCTCTACGTGAGTCTGTGGGTCTCTATGTGAGTCGCTGGGTCTCTATGTGAGTCGCTGGGTCTCTATGTGGGTCTCCCTGTGAGTCTGTGGGTCTCTATGTGAGACTGTGGGTCTCTATGTGAGTCTCTGGGTCTCTATGTGAGTCGCTGGGTCTCTATGTGAGTCTGTGGGTCTCTATGTGAGGCTGTGGGTCTCTATGTGAGTCTCTGGGTCTCTATGTGAGTTGCTGGGTCTCTATGTGAGTCTGTGGGTCTCTATGTGAGGCTGTGAGTCTCTACGTGAGTCTGTGGGTCTCTATGTGAGTCGCTGGGTCTCTATGTGGGTGTCCCTGTGAGTCTGTGGGTCTCTATGTGAGGCTGTGGGTCTCTATGTGAGTCTCTGGGTCTCTATGTGAGTCGATGGGTCTCTATGTGAGTCTGTGGGTCTCTATGTGAGGCTGTGGGTCTCTATGTGAGTCTCTGGGTGTCTATGTGAGTCGCTGGGTCTCTATGTGAGTCTGTGGGTCTCTATGTGAGTCTGTGGGTCTCTACGTGAGTCTCTAGGAGAGCTATAGCCAGAGACGACGAAGATCTTGGGCCTGGACTTGAGGCAGGGAGTCGGCAGCACGGAGGGCTGCATGAAGGACGTTCCAGACTCTTGAAGGACGTTCCAGACCCTTGGGGCAGCAAAGGAGAATGGGCGAGCTCCCACTGCCCGACTGGACGGGGGCCTCAGTCTCGAGACTCATCCCTCAGGAGGCGTCGGGGTCGGAACGAATGGCCACATTCCTTTTTATTATCATTAAACTGTAACACACAGACACGCATGTGTCACTGAAACATAACACTCACATAGACGTCACGAGCCTAGAAAAAAAACGCCACGCGAAGTGGAAATAAAGCCGCCCCTTAAACCAATACACACCGAACACCCCCTTCGCACGTGAGGGGCTCACAAGGAAAACCTCTATTTAAGGAAACAAGATTTTCCCACAAATCTGTCTGTCGCCTGATGAAGCTGTTTGTAATTACTGGCGAAACGTCACGGTTCTCAGATTGTAAATGTTGGGGCTTGACTCTCCAACACACCACCGGTGTGCTGAACAAGTGGCGTGTTTTGTCTAATTGACAAACATTACTAATTGGCTGTCGGGTGGTGGCGGTATTAACGACACATTTATATTTACGTGATCGAACCCCAAAAACCCCCTCTAGTGTCGGAAGATTAAACCTCGAAACAACGGAACCCAAGAAAAGATCAAAGGAACCCTTACTCTTTGGTTCTTTCGGTAAAGTCACGTAAGTATAAAATAAATCTGCAGTCCGAAAGCTTCAAATCAAGATCATGAGAGGAACCCAAGAAACGGCGATGCCCCGACACCCGCACTGCGCATGCGCGACTTCCACCCCCCCCCACCACACCCGCACCGGGCACTCGCGTGTTTTTTTCATCTTCCGGAAGACGCCGCCTCCGTTCATTTGGCTCGGCCGAGGCGGGATCTTCCCCTTCCGGAAGACGTCTGCCGGATTCGGAATCCTCGTGCCGTCAGCGCGCGGAGCGAGCGGCGACCACCCCCCGCCCACCCCACCCCCCAGGCCGCTGCCGCCGCGACCCCCGGGGCCCAATGGAGACCCCGGCGAGGGGGTCCCCGAGGGGACGCGCAGCGAGGAGCCCCCGCTGCTGAGCGAGACGACCCCGCTGGCCCTGCGCCAAGAGCGGCGGCGCTCGGCGGGGTCCCAGAGTCGTCGCGGCGGTCACGCGGAGGCGCGGGCAGCGAGCACCTCCGCCTTGCTGCTGCTGCTCAGATCTGCACCATCAGCACCATCAGCAGCAGCGGCATCATCATCATCATCTCGTTACTCACCCGCCTCTGTCATCATCATCCCACCTGCTAGTCGAGCATCATCACACATCTGCGCTCTATCTTTGTCATCATTCACCCGTCCCAATCGTCATTCACATCCCGTGCAGTCATCATCATCATACACCGGCTGTTCCATCATCATAAGCCACCCGTCCCTATCATCCTCATCATCCACCTACTGTTCAGTCATATGCACAATCACCTGCTGTTTTATCATGGCCATCAGTGTGATCGTTTGACTCCATCAGCAAGCCCCCTGTTAAACATTAACATTTCGTCTTCTGTCACAGCTCATCGTCATGCTGCTTGTCTCTAATCAGCATCCAGTTCGTCTCCTAGCAGCATACTCCTGTTGATACCGATTTCTCCTCTTCCTCCATCCCCGCCTTCCTCTTCATCGTCCTCAGAATTCCTTCTGTCATCCCATTACAACATCTCTTTGGCCTATTCTTCCAAACTCTCATGATAACTCTTCTTCCTCAAATCCACGAATCCCACCTCTTGTCTATTTTACATTCATTTCTCTCTTTCCTCCAACTTCTCATTCTCGCTCCTCCCTGCTCCTCTCAATTCCTCTCAATTCCCCTGCCCTCAAACAACTCTCCTTGCTCCCTCGACTCCCTCATTCCACTTCCTCTCATCGCGTTCCTCTGGCTCCCATCTCGTTCTTCTTACTCCCACCTCACTCCCCTTGCTCCCACCTCACTCCCCTCGCTCCCACCTCACTCCCCCGGGGAGGGAGCCCGAGGCCCCTGGGTCGCCATGCGGCCCCGCAAGCAGGTGACCGTGTGCGGCGCGGCCATCTTCTGCGTGGCCGTCTTCTCGCTCTACGTGATGCTCGACCGCGTGCAGTCCGACTACCAGCGGCGCCACGACTCGCGCCGCGACGACCTGCCCAGGGTGCGGCACGGTGCGGCGTGGCACGGGCTCTGAGTGGAGTGACACCGGTTGTCAATGGAGTGGCACGGGCTGTCAGTGGAGTGGCAGGACTTGTCAATGGAGTGGCACGGGTTGTCAGTGGAGTGGAGTGGCACGGGTTGTCAGTGGAGTGGAGTGGCACGGGCTATCAGTGGAGTGGAGTGGCACGGGTTGTCAGTGGCGTGGCACGGGCTGCCAGTGGGGTGGCACGGGCTGTCAGTGGAGTGGCACGGGCTGCCATTGGAGTGGCACGGGCTGTCAGTGGAGTGGCACGGGTTGTCAGTGGAGTGGCACGGGCTGTCAGTGGAGTGGCACGGGATGTTAATGGAGTGGCACGGGCTGTCAATGTAGTGGCAAGGGCTGTCAATGTAGTGGCAAGGGCTGTCTGTGGAGTGGCACGGGTTGTCAATGGAATGGCACGGGCTGTCAGTGGAGTGGCACGGGCTGTCAATGGAGTGGCACGGGCTGTCAGTGGAGTGGCACGGGCTGTCTGTGGAGTGGAACGGGATGTCAGTGGAGTGGTGTGGACTCTCAATAGAGTGAAGTGAAACGGGCTGTTAGTGGAGTGGCGTGGCACCGGCTCTCAGTGGCGTGGCACGGGCTATTAGAGGAGTGGTAACGGCTCTCAGTGTAGTGGAGTGGCAGTGACTGTCAGATGAGTGGAGTGGCAGGGCTCTCAGTGCAGCCTCTGTGCAGGACTCTCAGTGGGCTGTTAGTGGAGTGGAGTGGCACGGGCTCTCAGCGGATTAGGGTGGAACAGAGGGGCCTCGGTTGACACCGTCTGCCATATGGTTTGGCGTGGAGTTATGTTGCATGGAGCTTATTGGGATTGCCTGGCACGGTGTGACATCGGGTGGCGTGACATCGAGAGTCAGTGGCGTGCAGTGGCACAGGTGGCATAGTTGTAAGTATCGCGTGGGGTGCAGCGAAGTGGCATCAAGGTTTATGACATGGGATGAAGTGCCATGGAGTGGCATGGCGTGTGCTGGCAAGTGGTGGAGCGTGGTAAAGTGGAGCTGCATAACATGGCATGGAGTTGCCACTTTATAGACGTGATGGCATAGAGTGTTGGTTAGGTGGCATGTTAGGAATATTTCATTTGCCATTTCTATGTGTGTATAAATATGATGTCTTAGCATTCCGAGTAATTTTATCATCTATGATCTCTGCAACTAAGCAGCCTTGAGCCTGCAGATAAATCCATCGTTGTAAGTCTATGCCGCTGCACCTGTCCTCTCGGCCTTCACCAACTCGCACTGATCGGCGTGGTGACTCCCTCGCGCGCACGGTGTGGAGAGGTGCTCGCCCAGCCGTGCGGTCGACAAAGGGGATGGAATCTTGGGTGTCGGTGGCCTGGCAATGCGGCCAATTTGCAGGCACTTGGCAGCTTGAGTTTAAACTGATTACTGCTAATGGCCGGTGATTTATGCGGAGAGTTTACCAAATGTGCCCACCATCTGCTCGTTATCTGGCTTCACACGCCCTGCGACGTCGTCCATCACAAACGCGGGCCCTTGCGTGACACTGGCCTCGCTAAAAATCCCACAATTGACAATTTCCTATGAACAAACAGCAGCGGCGCCCGATATCCCAGGTCTCCGCTCTTGTTTGCGCTTGGCATAATTGGGGTCGTGGCTTTAATCGTTGTGTGTTGCCTCCTTGTTTTGGTGACGCGTCATCGACGAGCCCGCTCCAATTGTTCACACGTTGAGATAAATGTTTGTCGCGCGTTACGTTACCACCCGGCGTCACGTGCAATCCGTGGTTCAGCTTAACGAGAAGGTGAAGTCGCTGCCCAACAACGTGAGCTCAGAACGCGCATCTCCAGTCGGGCCGGGGTGGCGGTGGGGGAGTGGGGGGTACTCTGATCTTGCTGTTGGTGTAATCCCAGCGGTTAGTGAATGCTGTAGCGGCGGGAGCGGGTAGTGGGGTGGGGGGGCACGCGGGCCTATAATGTGGCTGCCCCTGCAGCAGGCGTGCGTCGCCTGTGGCTGGTGATTGGGCTGGTGGGGTAATTGTGGCCCCCCTGTAATTGGCCGGCGCGTGTTAAAGGTCGCCCGTGATGCATTAAGCGCTCGCTTAGGCGTGTGGACGAGGTGGGGAGGTGGGGGCCTCGCCACAGGACGCCGCGAACCGCCTGCCACCTCCTTCTTCGCTTGCGACGCTTAATTTGGCAACTTATTGCTCCCGGCGGCACGGTCAGTGAGGGGCTCGTCTGTAACAACTGCTGCCAATGCGGTCAAACACCATCACAACAACACTCCACACCGACGCAACAACACTCAACACCAGCATAAAGATTCGACACCAACGCAGTAACACATACCAACATATCAACACTCACTTTAATAACTCATATCGAACACTTTCTGTAAATGATGAGGAAAGGCACCTCAGCAGGGAAATCTATGTAGGCTGGCAACAAATAATCTACGATAGCGCCACATTTAGCTCTTGCACTGGTGGTCTGGTCAAGGCTGAGAGCATTGTACGTGCAATGTGGTGATCACATGATATGCATGCAAGGCATGATGGGAGTCATGCCGCCCTGCCGATCGTGAGCAGCACACCTTCGTTAAAGCTACGCGCATGAACGCAGCAACTCGCACTCTTAACGCAGTAACACGGCAGTGTGTCGGTGTAATGGGCGCTAAAAGCACGTTCGGAGAAAAGCCAGTTGTGACACGGTGAAGCAGGGCCTCGCTATTCTGCCGACCGACCGCCTCTCGCCGGCCCACAGGGACAACTGTCGGTGCTGCACAGCAAGATGGAGCAGCTGGAGGAGCTGCTGGAGGAGAACCACCACATCATCAGCAACCTGCGTCACTCCGTGCTCGAGCTGGACGTGGGCCGCCCGGCCCCGAGCCCCCCGGCCCTTTGGCCGGGCCCCGCGAGGCTCCCCAATGGCACGTGGGTGCTGCCCCCTTGGGCATTCCCCTTCCCGGCCTCCGTCTCCGTTGCCGACGGCGACTGCAGATTTTCCTCCGAGGCCTCGCAGACGGCGGGGCGGGACGTGCAGGTCAGCCGTCGCCCCCCTCCGCCCCCGACCACGACTCACTCGAGGCGCGCACCGTTGATAGGCGATCGCCGGCCAGGCTGCCCCTGCCCAAAGCGAGATTTCGAGTGGCAAACGAACGCTCGGGCAGTCAAAGATGGACACTTTTCTTTTTCCTTGTTTGTTTCAGGGTATGTATGTCTACCGTCGTTAATCGGAGGTGCGGGGGAAGGACAATTAAACAAAAAAAGGGTGTTCCAAGTAATTGCGCGATGAAAAATAAAGGTGGACACTGAAACAGTGACGTAGCTGGTGAGTGTGCAGGCAGTAGAAATGCACTGGGGCCCATGGATTTCCTCCAGCTTCTCCAGTTTCCTCCCATCGCTAAAGAACACCACACAATGCAACCGGAAATTTGCCAAACATCCCAATGGAACAGAACCCTCTGGAAAAATATGTTTTTGGGCCCTTTCCTGGGTAAATAAACAATAATTATTATTATGGCTTGCTGAGACTGGGTGTGAACCTAGGTTGCAGCTACCAGTGACTGAACTGGGCTCTCCAGTGGAGCGAGTGGATGAGCCTCCACCTGATCAGCAACACCTGCACTGGGAATTTACTCTGTACACTGTGTCACTTGGTCCAGCTCTGATGACTAAAATATAACGTTTGACTTTATGTATGTTGAACTTCTTTTGCACCATACCTAGCCAACTGTACGACCAACAGTACGACCAACAGTGTGTGCAGGGCATGCTTCCCGGTGTGGCGTTGACAAGCGACAGTGTACAGAGGGGCCAGAGAGGTAGAGACACTCTCTCTCACCTGCGGCATCGCCTATTATAACCTTTTTGCCTGAAACGTCACCTATTATATACCCATTATAGTCAAGGCCACAGCGTTATTGATGTATGAGTTGAGTTTTTTTTCTTACACAGTGGTGGAATAATGATATGTGAATGCTGTTATGGCTGTTGCCACCGCCCACGATAACCGGGCTATGGTGCACAGCGAAGCAATGGTAACGCGAGGTCACGGGGGTCATGGGGAGGTCAGGGTTCCGCGTGATGACTTGCAGCGCACATTACTCGAATTGCAATCATATTTAAGGGGCTATGGGAAGTAACTGCTGGGAGTCGTCTGGGGAAGTCGTCTTTCGGGGTCGATCATCGACACGCGGCGGTGTTGAGCGGCTCGATGGTCCGCGGCGTCGTGAAACGTCCTCGCCTCGCGACGGCGTTACGCCAGTGGTGGCGCTGATCGCGAAATAATTGTGATAAAAAAAAAGTAATTTGAAAGAGGAGCCAATTACCGGCACGAGGGCGCCGAGCAATTCCAGATCAGTTTGGCTCGGTGCCTTTAGCGGCCACTGAGAAAAAACATTACATCCTCACCCTCGGGGAGGTGGTTTACGCGCAGAGACTCCGATGGTCTAAATGCGGTTTCGCCCGACTGCACAAAAACACTTCCCCGAAATTGATGTTTTCTCTCGGCTGGGTCGTACGGAGCTCAAGCGGCGGAGATTGGCCGCGGAGCGGACGCCCGGCAGGGGGCGTGCCGAGACGCGTCAGGCGCGGCATTTAAAATGATTTGCGAACGCCTGTAAAGCGGCTCGTTATAGGATCATGTCTGTCAGGGAGAATGCGCTCGATGCTCTGACTAACGTCTCCGATAATGGGACGCGGTGCTGCGAGCTGCACGCCTGCCTGTGCCCTATCGACAGCGCTTAAAATCCCCGCCAACGAATTTGCAAAGCAGAACAAAAATCAGCTCTTCCTTTCCCCGGCAGGGTCAGAAATTGTCTCGCTGTCAATCGGTGATCCGACAGGGCCACCCATCCTGGCCCGGCGCTGGCTTTCCACAGCCCATCCTTCAGCCTCCCTGCCCCGGGTTTCCGCAGCGGGTTGTTTAAGATCGCGCTCTTCCTGTCCGAATTAAATCCCCCGCTCGCATCCCGCCCGCTCCCCTGTGCTCCCCGACAGATGCTGGATGTTTACAGGCTCCTGCCGTTCGATAACCCCGACGGGGGCGTGTGGAGGCAGGGGTTCGACATCACCTATGATGTCGGCGCCTGGGAGCAGCGGCCCCTGCAGATCATCGTCGTGCCGCACTCCCACAACGATCCAGGTCAGAGGTCGGGAGTCGGGAGTGATCCTGCGCACACACGCGCATGAACACGTACGCGTGCGTGACGCGCGCGGACATAAAGACACGCGTGTGTTACGCAGATCCTCCACTCGAATAACTGGAGATGAGTGCAGGCAGGGAGTCCCGGGGAGTAGAGTCAGCAGAGGAGAAGGAGTGACCGCCCACCGAGTGGAGCTCGAACGGGGGTGTTGCTAGCAGGCCCCGGTCGCCGGAGCGGAGTGGGGGTTGTAGCGAGACGACGAGAGGGCCGAGCGGCCTCGTCGCGTTGTCTGTGCAGGTTGGCTCAAGACCTTCGACAAGTACTACGTGGACCAGACGCAGCACATCCTCAACCACATGGTGACCAAGCTGCTCGAGGACCGGCGCCGCTCCTTTGTCTGGGCCGAGGTCTCCTTCTTTGCCAAGTGGTGGGATGCCGCCGACTCACAGCGTAGGCACAGTGTCCGCAGGTGAGCTCCGGGTACCGCAGGCATCCCTCGCCGTGTGTGCATACACCTGTCTGTCTGTTAGTACGCCTATCTGTCTGTTTCCATCTGTCGCTCTGTTCTTCATTCCACCTGTATGTGAGTGTGTCTATCTGTCTACCATTCAAATTGTCTTATCATCAGTCCGTTCGTAAGCTGTTTGTTCATCAGTCTGCCCGTCTCTGTCTGTAAGCTTTTCTTTTTAATCCGTCCGTACGTCCATTGGTCCATCTGTGAAGTAACAAATCAATGCGACAACTGTAGCCACGAGGTGTGTAATTGTTGTTTATTTTTCACTTCCCAATGCAGGACAGGTAAGTGACCGTTCGTAAATACCAACAGGCGTGTTCAATCAGCTGGGCAGCGTTTACACAACAATCTTGTGAACCGCATCGATAGTGCGCACGGTTGCATAAACCCTAATCGCAAGAGCGATGACGCTCGCTCACAAATCTGTCGCCTCAATTTAAACGGGGATGTGAAAATAAGCGTGTCGGCGGTGACCGCTTGAAGGAGACAGAAAAACCAAACGACACAATCGCGCCGCTGCACGAAATTTGCTGAACGTGAAAATTACCCCGCGACAAAATGACTCGGAAACGAGAGCTCTCGTGCCCCTCGGGAGACGAGCACGGCTGAAAATGAGAGGTGGCGTCTCCGTGGACCCATCCGGCATTAATGAGCCCGGAGTGAAGCGGCGCGGGACGCGGCGCGGGACACGAGGAGGAGGGAGGAGGAGGAGGGGTTGCGATGGCGCAGGGCACCGCCAGCCATCGCTTGGATAATTGGCAGCTGAAAACGCTCGTCACAACGGTGGGAATTGAATGCGCACTCGGAGAGCCGTCCTCACAAGTGCCGTAACAAGTGTGCGCTAAGTGTGTTTGATGAGTGTGAGCGAGCCTCAAGAGTGATTAGCGCGGGCACGCCCCCTCCTCCGCTCATAAACTGCCGGCGACGTGCGTTTGCGCTGCTTAGTATTCCACCGCGGGCGCCGCGGCACCAGAGGAGCAACACTGCTTGGGGGCAGGACCGAGGCGCGCGTCTGACGTTAATATAATCGAATTAATCGCCCGTTGCTTAAATTGATAAAACACCGAGCGCCGGGCGGTGCGGGCGCCCCTCGCAGGTTGGTGGAGCGTGGCCAGCTCGAGTTCGTGACGGGCGGGTGGGTGATGACGGATGAAGCCAACGCTCACTACTTCGCCATCATTGATCAGATGATCGAGGGTCACCAGTGGCTGCACAAGACGCTGGGTGAGTGGCGGTTGGGGGGAGGGGCGTGAGCGCCAGCAACAGCATTGACCGACGCGGGCTCAGCCTGCGTGGCGTTGGGGTTAGAGGTCGGGCCGGGATGACGCGTAACTTGTACGACACGCGAGACATGCGGCCGGCACGGAGCCGAGAGTTCGGCGGCAAAGAACGATGGAGGGGTCGCGGTGGCACATGCCCATAATCTAGCACCAGGATTGGTGGATTGTGCCGAGGTCATTGTTAAGACTCGGCAAGGCTTTGCTGATTATTATTCAGAGCGCTAAGGTGTCTTTTTACGTGCCTGTGCACGTAAGGGTGTACACACGCGGGTCTTCATAGGTGCTCGCGAACAGCACTCGATCCAACATTCTGTTAAGGCTATACGGGGGATCTTTGTCTTTGTGTGCGCACGTATTCTAGGTGTGCGTCCCCGGAGCGGCTGGGCCATTGACCCGTTTGGCCACTCCCCGACGATGGCCTACGTGCTGCGGCGAGCGGGGCTGCAGGCCATGCTGATCCAGCGCGTGCACTACGCCGTCAAGCGCCACCTGGCCCACGAGCGCAGCCTCGAGTTCATGTGGCGCCAGGACTGGGGTGCGCGCCGTGCCCGCTCGCTGTATCACGCACGCTGTGTCATGCGTGCTTTGTTACACACGTGCACGCCGTGCCGCGTGTGAGCACATGCTTTGTCGTGCAAGTCACTCTTGCAAATGAACTTCACGCATTGATTCCTTCGTCCGTGTTGATGACTACTATTTCATATTACAATTTTTATTTTACCAGGTAAGGCCCACCAAGCTCTATCGCTCTTTTTCAGAAGCGACCTGGCTACAAATGATAGCTCGACGAAGTGGCTCATCATATGGAAATTTATGGCAGCCAAATACTCTGAACGTACGTTGAACACGTCTGCTTCTGCGACCAATATTATTCATAATAAAGGTTTTGGGGTTTTGCTAGAATAGTGGTGATTTGCCACTATTCTGGCAAATCGCCCTATGATGCTGGTTGATGTAATTACCAGCAAAACGTCGTACTACTCAAATTGTAAATGTTGTGGATTTACACTCCAACACACCGGTGGGCTGAAATACTATACCAGTAACTAATTGGCGTTTGTTTACGTGACAAATCCCTTACTAATTGGCTGTGTCGGGTGGTGGAGGGTTACGACACACCATTTATGCTTATGCGATCTAACCCTAAAATCTTTACGTACGTTTCTAAATGTGGAAGACCCGGAGAAAAATCCACGTGACCATGAGGAGAATATGCAAACTCAGACGTCAGGGTCGGGACCGAACCCACGACCTCCTGTATACCAGGCGAAGTAGTTAACATCTCGCCACCGTAGCACCCATTTGGTATGGACTAGGTTCGTACCAGACACTGACTGTTTCATCCCATCCACCACACCGTGTTCGAAAATCCAGTCAATAACTCACCCACTCCCCTACCCACTCACCACAGGTCACCTCACTCCTCTCTCCGCTTCTTCCCTCGCACGGCCCCACTGAGGATTTCCCCTCCTCCCATTGTCTCCTCCCCCCCCCCCTCCAAGCTCTTACAGGAAACATCGTACTCGATTCAAGAGACGCATTACTGCACTCTTCATCAATTACACCTTTGATCACGGTGCTGTTTGTTGCTGGTCCCCTTGGCGGTTGGACCTTCTTGGCCTACTGTGCTCGGAAACATTGTTTCATAAAAACAAAGAGGCTTTCCCGGTCTCTCAAGTCCCCCCCCCTCTCCCCCTGCAGTGAAACCAAACGATCGTGAGCTCGAGCGAGCGAGCGAGCGTGCGTCCGTATGCGCCGCGCCGGGTCCCAGCGTGTTGTTTGTTCACCGTCGGGGGGGTTCTAAGTTATTCATGAATCGCATTCATTATGCACACAGGAAACTCGGCAACTGAATAAATATGATAATGTAATTGTAGAAAAACATTGGAAGTAACCGAAGACGGCGAGATAATGATTAGAAATAAAATATGCAACGTAATCCATCACGCTAACCTCTCCGTACTCGGCTCGAAATCATAATCTGATCATCCCGCACGCGTTGAAGAGGTCTTCACCGTGCGTGCGTGGGCGTCGTGATTTAACCCTGGAACGCAGCACAGGCCCAAAGGCCCAAAGAAACGTCAAGCGGCCAGCAACACGGGATGACGATCAAAGATGCTGCACAGTGGAGAAGAGTGTCTTGAATTGAGCGAGGTTATCATTGTGAGAGCTTGGAAGGAGAGAGATGATGATGATGATGATGATGATTTGAGGAGGGAATTCCAAATTGGTAGCAGTGCTGCGAGGGAAGAAGCAGAAAGAGAGGTGAGGTGACCGGTAGTGTGGTGAGCGAGTGGTAAGTGAACGGATGAGGAGTGAGCGGGTCAGTTTGTAAATTTGTTGTGATCTGCAGAACTAACTTTTGCGTTTAGTTGTCCTTCCCCCGCACCTCCAATTAGCACGGTTGACTATATACGCTGCCAAATAAATTCAACATACATAGAAAGTGGGCGAGTCGCTTGTGAGTGGGGCCTCGCCTAGGTCGACTCAGCCGAAAATAACCCGTTCCGCGGTTGCCTCTTGCCTGTGCCACAGACGTGGGCACGAGCACGGACATCCTGTGCCACATGATGCCCTTCTACAGCTACGATGTCCCGCACACGTGCGGCCCCGACCCCAAGGTCTGTTGCCAGTTCGACTTCAAGCGCCTCCCAGGCAGCCGCGTCAACTGCCCCTGGAAGGTTGCTCCACGAGCCATCACGGCGGACAACGTGGCCGAGAGGTGCGTGTGTGTGACTCCCCATGCGTGTGTGTGACTCCCCGTGTGTGAGACTCCCCGTGTGCATGTGTGCGAGACTCCTCTTGTGTGTGTGACTCCCCGTGTGTATGTGTGTGTGCGAGACTCCCCGTGTGTGTACGACTCCTCTTGTGTGTGTGACTCCCCGTGTGTGTGTGACTCCCCTATCTCCTCGCGGTGCCGGACGGGAAACTCTGTCGTGGACAGTGCTGTGGGGGGAGGGTCAATTCCGATTGGCCCCTCCTCTCATGGCGTCTGTGACCACCACAGTAGCTAAACGAAGGCTCTGACGGGCGCGAGGGGCTGGTAACCCCTCCACCTTCAACATTTTTACCACGAAACCACGAATAAAAAATGTAACTAATAAGCTTGTGCCGGAGGCCCCGGGGGGGAACAGGCGTCTATGACGTCTTCTGACCAAACCCCAATTGGCGGAGCCAGGATATTGAATCTCTACCCTCGGGGCTCCTCCAGAATCAACGAAAAGCCACTTCGTGTGGCCACGTGGCATGTTCGAACGCTCACTGCGGAGGACAGGCTGCCACTCCTCTGTCGGGAGCTAGACCGGTACCGTCTGGATCTCTGTGGCATTCAGGAGGGCCGGTGGACCGGTTCTGGCTCCTGCCACCATGAGGGGTGGACAGTCCTCTACTCGGGGCAGCAGACTGCCAAACAACAGGGTGTGGCTCTTCTTTTGAACAAAAGAATGAAGGGGGCGTGGGAACGTGGCGGTGAGGTGTGGGAAGCTGTAAACCCCAGGCTACTTTACGCTCGCCTTCACATCAACCGGAGGCGAGGAGTGGTGGTCGTGGTTACTTATGTCCCCACCGAAGACGAACATCCGTGGAGGGATGCAGGCAAAGCCGATGAGTCAGATGCCTTCTATGACCTGTCACAGTTGCTGGCTAAAGTGGCCCCTCGGGATAGAGTCATCTTGTTGGTTGACTTCAATGCCCGAGTTGGTCATGATGCTGGCACCTGGTCTGGAGTGATTGGAGGGCATGGGCCAGATCAGCTCAATAACAACGGTAGGAGGCTGCTAGATTTTTGTGCAGCCCATGGGCTTGTTATTACCAACACGCTGTTCCGGCATCGGCGCATCCACACAACATCATGGATACATGCCGGGTCCAAGCAAGAACATCTGCTGGACTACTTAGTGACGGACCAGCGGATGCGAGCCCATGTCCTTGACACCAGGACCTACCGTGGAGCTGATCTGCCCTCTGACCATCGACTAGTCATCTCTAAGATGCGCCTGCCATTCTTCCACTCCGGTGGTGGGTGTACACCCAGGACCCCATTCCAACCTAAAGTGGCCTGGTCTCAGTTATCTGATGAAAGTTGCAAGCGAGAATTTCATCATCGCTTGCGGCTGGGGTTGGCAACGTCCCCCACTCCTCCTGATGTCGAGGGTAAATGGGCGAGGTTTAGGCCTGTGACTCATGCAGCTGCAATGGCTGCTTTGGGTACGTGGTCCAGACCTCCCCAGAGACCCTGGCTGACAGAGGAGGTGTTCAGGATAGTTGAGAAAAAGCGACAGACCCACTGTCATCGGCTACAGAATCCCACATCAGAGAATGAGGTGGCTTACCGCAGCCTTCGCTCGGAGGTTCGGAGAGCCGTGAGGCACTGCAAGGATGGGTGGTGGTCGCAGGTTGCTGAGGAGATGGAGTCTGCCTCAGTGGCCCGCGATCACAAATCTCTATTTAACTCCATCAAAAAAGTAACCTGCAGCACCACACCTATTACCATCATTCGGGGAAAAAACGGTGATCCATTCTCCGACCCCCAGGAACAGGTTTGCAGATTTGCTTAGCATTTCTGTGAGGTCCTGGGGGAGGGGAAATCCCTCAGCCAGGAAAACATCGTGGCACAAAGTGGGGATGACCCTGCCGAGGCTACGGTGCCTCAAATATTGGAGGAAGTCACCCCCTGTGAGTGGCTGACTGAGGTGCCATCTGTTGAGGAAGTACTGAAGGCGATCCGGAGTCTGAGACCAGGAAAGGCACCTGGCAGAGATGATCTCCCAAGCGAAATGCTGAGGGAGGGTGGCGTTTGTGCACACACTACCCTATATGACATCATAACAACAGTCTGGACCACTGGACGGGTTCCGCAGGATTGGAAGGATGCCCTGATGGTCCCCCTCTTTAAGAAGGGGGACCGCACAGACTGTAACAACTACAGGGGCATCTCACTCCTCAGTGTGCCGGGAAAGGTCCTGGCAAGGATTATTCAACATCGCCTTGCCAGGCGCGCTGAGGAGAGGCTTGCGAAGCCCCAATGCGGTTTCAGGAAAGGGCGGTCCTGCACAGATGCCATATTTTCTGTCCGTCTGCTACAGCAGAGGTGTAGGGAATTCCAGCAAGACCTACATCTCTGCTTTATTGACCTGGTCAAGGCCTATGATACCATAAGTAGGCCTGGGCTCTGGGTTGTTCTTCGTGGTTTTGGAGTCCCTGACCCTCTGCTCACGATCATTAAGGACCTTCATGATGGTGAGCGGGCCCGGGTAAAACTACGTGGCCGGGAGTCAGAGCCATTCCCTGTACACCTTGGGGTGCGACAGGGATGTCCTCTGGCTCCCACATTATTTAACATCTATTTTGACCACGTAGTTCGTGAAGCCTTCAATAGCTGTACCGGGGAAATTTCCATTTGGTACAGATATAATGGGAGGCTGATCAATGCCCAGGTGCGGTCAAGGGATGGCTCCCTATTGCTCAACCACATTATGTATGCCGATGATTTGGTAATAGCCGCTCATTCAGAGGAGGAGTTGGAGATGATGCTGCTGAGACTGGAGCGTGCCACTTAGAGATGGGGCCTTACCATCAGCCCCACCAAAACTAATCACCTGCCTGAGTATTTTGTACCATCGGACACTCCACCCCCACAACTCCCAATCGGTGATGGGGCAGTTGTGGAGAGAGTGGAGAGTTTCCTATACCTGGGCAGTGTGCTTATGACCGGCTCCAGTTTAACAGCAGAGGTCTCACTCCGAATCAGTCGAGCGGCAAAATCTTTTAATTGGTTATGTAACGCTGTGTGGAAGCTACCTGGGCTGTCGCTCCGCACTAAGCTTCAGGTCTTCTCGGCCACGGTCATTCCCTCCCTTCTCTACACTTTCGAAACGTGGACCCCCCTAATGGAACATCTTCGCTGGTTAGAAACATTTAGGCTAGCCTGCCTACGATCCATCCTGGGTTTAACCAGGCTGGATTGTGTGAGGAGCTCACAAATCCTTTACAGATCTGGGCAAGGTCCCATCGGCGAGCTCCTCCAGCAGGCAAGGCTGCGTTGGCTGGGTCATGTAGCCCGCATGCCCAGCCACCGCATGCCGAAACAGCTTTTGTTCGGCCGGATCGAGGGGGCTAAACAGGCGCGGCACGGGCGAGAGAAGAGATGAAGTGATGTGGTACAGGAGGACGTGGAGCTGAGTGGACTTGCTGATGACTGGTACCAGCGGTGTCAAGATCGGCCTCTGTGGAGGAGGCTCGTGAAGGATGCTACTGGGCAGTTGGAGGCAGTCGCCCTCCAACAACAACGGAGGGTGGAGGAGCGATGCTCACAACAACGAGCGGAGCGCCGGGTGGCTAAAGCACAGCAGGTTGGCACAGTAGGGGGCACAGTCATCTCAGTCATCTTAGTCAGTCGACCCGTGGCACTTGGGTCTGCCCCGTGACCTCCTGCCAGCGGGCGTTTGACACTTCACGTGGCCTCAAGGTGCACATGGCCTGGCACAAGCGTCGTGGTGACGTCACCGCCACTTAGTGGCGAATGGCAGTTGTTGTTGTGTGTGACTCCCCGTGTGTGACTCCCCGTGTGTGCGATTCTCCTCTTGTGCGTGTGACTCCCCGTGTGTGTACGACTCCTCTTGTGTTGTTGCTCCCCGTGTGTGTGCGACTCCCCGTGTGTGTGCGACTCTCCGTGTGTGTGTGACTCCCCGTGTGTGTGTGACTCCCCGTGTGTGTGACTCTCCGTGTGTGTGTGCGTGTGTGTTCAGGGCGAGCCTGCTGCTCGACCAGTACCGTAAGAAGGCCTCGCTGTTCCGCGGCGGCGCCGTTCTGGTGCAGCTGGGCGACGACTTCCGCTTCGAAACGGCGCACGAGTGGGAGCAGCAATTCCACAACTACCAGCAGCTCTTCGACTACATCAACTCCCACCCCGAGCTGCACGCAAGGGTGAGCGCACGTACGGATGCACAGACGGACGCACCCAGGCGCAGACATCATCGCTGCGTCACTCCTGATAGGCCGATGAATACTGTATCGGCAGTTCATGGTACAATGTTGATTTATGATAATTAGTAAATCTACACCATCATTTTCCCCAAATGTTATCTATCGGTGCCCTGAGCCGAGGAGTCCTTTTAGAGCAGCTCAACCCTTCGTAGAGGAGAACGACCCACACAAGTGGATATCACAGAGCTACCTCTGAGATCCCTTCAAGTGACCTCTGGTTCACGCACAGTAGAAGGCAGCACTTCTCACTCGTTCTATATATGAGTGAGGTTCGTCGCGTGACATTTAAACCGATATAAAAAAATTATCGGAGCTGGAGTTTATCCAAATTACGTGATCAGCTGAGACCATCAACTGGTTATACTTGAGAACTGGATTACTCACAGGCAACAGCTTCCTGGATTCAAACTCAGGATCTCAGCGGAGCCAGCTCAGCACTTTGACTTCTGATGTTGATTAATAGAGCATCTAAATGTGACCGCACCTCAAGAAGTGTATGGCAACAGTGGGCACATTTATTGTGATTATTATGAAGAGGCGGTCGGTCATAGGCAGAGAGGAAGAGAGGCACCCAGAGACTCGTGTCTCTGTGCTCGTGAAGAGGGTTGTCTCAGAAGCGGCTGCCACGCCACTAAACATTGTCGTGCGCCCGATCTGCTATGGCCCTGACCCCTGACCCCCCTGTGCCTTTGACTCATCGCGTTTGTTTTTGTTGTGCAGGCTCAATTCGGGACGCTCTCCGATTACTTCGAGGCGCTGGGGGTTTGGGAGGTCTCCGGGAACGCTTCTATCTCCCCGCCGCCGCCGCCCCCGCCAGCGCTGCCCGTGCTGGGCGGCGACTTCTTCACGTACGCCGACCGCGAAGACCATTACTGGAGCGGCTACTTCACGTCGCGGCCGTTCTTCAAGCACCTGGACCGGCGCCTCGAGGCTCACCTCAGGTGAAGAACGCACCCGTAGAGGGGCTCCGGTTTGTCGGTGCGTGTATCCCCGCATTCCTTTGTTGATGGGGTGCGCATGCAGCAGCGTGGCAGTTAGCGCACCGTGCTACGAACCCGGCAACGAATATCAGAACCGGTTCGGGTCTTCCCCTAGGACGACTTAAATAAGTGCCCGGTGCGGTGCGTAAACATCAGCAATGAGGAGCCAAGGCGACCGGGCGTGGTGCTGGCCATGTGCGTCGTGTCGGCCTTTATAGGTGCTCCCTAACAGCACCAACAGCCTGTTTAGGCGACACGGGAGATCGTCGTGTGCTGCGTGCGATTCAGGGCGGCGGAGCTGCTGTTCTCGCTGGCGTCGTGGCACGCGTCTCGGCGTGGCGTCACGCCGCTGCTCCCCGCGCGCGAGTGCTTTGCCCGGTTGGAGGGCGCACGGCGCAACCTCGCGCTCTTCCAGCACCACGACGCCATCACCGGCACGTCGCGCGAGCTCGTCGTGTCCGACTACGCCGCCAGGTAGCGCCCGCACGCGCACATACGTTCTCACCGAATATTTTCCGGGTCGTTGGTAGACTGGAATAAGGAACATGATGACTAGCCGGGGCCATAACGATAGTATGTGGATGTGGTGTGCCGGTTTCCTGATCTGGACAGACCCGGCTGCTATGAAGCCCTTCGTACGCCTCCGTTGTCGCCCAGTCCCACTGGCTTCCTGCCGCTGTCGCCACCGCCGTGGTCTCGGCCTCTATCTGCTTGTGTGGATTTCTCTCTCCCCTGCACCCCCCCCCCCCACTTGGGGCAGGCTGATGCGGGCGCTCGCCGACCTGCAGCGCGTGCTCGTGGACGCGGCGCTCGTGCTGCTGCTCGCCGAGCCCGGGCGCTCCGCCGCCTCCGCCCCCTCCCAGCCCTCCTTCTTCTTCCTCCTCGCGAGTCTCCTCTTGCTGCTACCACTCCTGCGGCCGCTCGCCGTCACCGCACTCGCACAAGAAGCATTATGCCCCGCGGTCACGTTTGTCGAAATGCTCCGGTGGCCGACTCATTTCCGTTTCCCTTGCTCTCTCCGCAGGAGGAAAACGTCGTGGATTACGACTCGCTGCCCAACAAGGCCGTCATTAAGCTGACGTCGGCGCCAAGGTGCGGCCCCACGCGTGGGACACAGAGAGGGTGTAGAGCACGCGGCCCATGGAGCTCGTTTTGTTCTCGTAGCAGCGAGGAGCGACGGCGGTTGCGATGGGCGGCTCGCTTCACGAGAGCGGCCCGGTCGTCGCTGCACAGGACAGCGTACAGGACAGTGTGGAAGAGAGCGATGCCCGTGCCGTGTGACCCACGTGCCGCACTCGCGTTCAGGCCACGCGTAGCGCCCGCATCTGTCTCGCAAGGCTCATCAGCTGAGTCTTGAGCGGCTCGTGCCCCCCCCCCACCTCCCCTGCAGGTCGCTGGTGGTGCACAACGCGCTGGAGTGGGAGCGCGTGTGCGTGGTGAGCGTGCGCGTGGACTCGCCGCTCGCGAACGTGCTCACGCACGACGGCTCCGGCGTCCTGGCCCAGGTGGACCCCCTGTGGAGCAGCAGCACGGGGATGTCTGCGCGCGCGTTCCAGGTGCCCAGGGGGTCTGCATTTTGGGGATTCCAGGGGTTGATGGGTCGAGGGTCCCAGTTCCAGTGGGTTCGGGATGTCGATGGGCTGAGGGTTTGTGTGGGTTCCAGGCACCGGTGTCCCCTCCACTATTCTGCGTTCGGACGTCGCTCTGCACGAGCAAGTTCGCTTTTAATGTCCACCCAGGTGTGGATAGTCCTCACGCGGGGCGCACTGCAGATGCTCACATTGCTCAAGGAAATCCTCGTTTGCTGCGCCTTCTCTGCCTGCTCACCGCCTGTTCACTGCCTCACCGTCCGCTAACTGAAGGCCACTCTGCCCACCCCAGCTGCAGTTCTTGGCGCGCGTGCCGGCGTTGGGCCTGGCCGTCTACCGCCTGACGCTGGATGCTCCGCCCGTGCCTACCGTGCGGTCCGACACCACGCTGTACCTCCCCGGAGGAGGGCCCGTGCCCCCCCGCACGCAACCTCTGCTGCCCCTGGCTCTGCTGCCGCCCCCTACGACGCAGTTCTCGGTGGAGACGGCGAGCGTGGAGGCCGGTTTCTCGGGCCGCACGGGGATGCTGCGCGTGAGTCTATCTCCGTGCGTGCGGCACGCCCGGTGATCGTAGAGGGATCCAACTCGAGTCCGACCTCTTTGCTTCTGTGCCATATGCAGAATCGAGCGAGTGGCGGATGTCTGAGATGTTGGTGCGCACTGCCACGTGCTGGTGTTTGTGTTGAGGGGTTGTTGCTGTTGTTTTGCAGTTTGCGATAAGTGTTGTCAATCGGTCAGCGCGCGACAGCGGTCATTCTTATCCTGTGGGTGCGACCGAAATTAGCTGTGTCCTCTGTGGCCACCTGTGGTTGTCAGCGCTCGGAGCGGTGGTCGCGTCGTGGGTGCGATTGTCGGTGCGTAGGAGCGGTGAGTGTGGATGTGCCTGTTGTTGCTGTGCCTCGACAGTGGGTGCGACTCAAGGCGGGTGGCGAGCCGCGCCTGCTACGGCTCGATTTGCTGTGGTACGGCACTCGACGGAGCAAGGACAAGAGCGGCGCCTATCTCTTTCTGCCCGATGGGGAAGGCAAGGTCCGTCACAGCCTCTGATAAAACATCGATTCCCTCTCGTCTTCACGGGCAAAGCTGCGTTTATAAAGATGGCATGGTGGTGGTTAACATCGTGCACGCTACGATCCCGGGCGCGTAGGTTCCATTTTTGTTCATAGTGTGCATGACTCGCGTGTGAACCTCTCCTGAACTTTGTCATGTCTGCTCCGCCAGGCAAGAGTCGCGCTGGCCAACATCTCAACTCACTGCCACCCTCATGACCAGTCTTGAGACTCCGTGACGCTTTGTTAAGTAAAGCAGAGGCCATTGATTTATTTTCAAACGTTATCGTTCGTCCGGCACGCCCTGTGCAGCCATACGAGTCGGCGGAGAGGCCGGTGGTGCGGGTGACGCGGGGCCCCCTCGTGTCGGAAGTCACGTGCGTCTACCCGCACGTGCAGCACAGCGTGCGCCTCTACAACCTACCAGGTGCCGCACAGACACCCTGTTACCCCCCCACTCCCCCTCTCTGTGTGCATCATGTTTATCGTGTTTGGAGTGTTCTTGGAGCGGGTCAATGTTGTACATTGAACGGTTTACATTGTGTACATTGTGTTTATCGCGTGGGCACATCATGCGGGATGTGTATTTGCCACGTACATCGTGTGTGTACGTGACAAGGCGTTGAAGGATTGTCACTGGAGGTCTCCAACGTGGTGGACCTGCGGGACCAGAACAACCGCGAGCTCAGCATGCGGGTCTCCAGCGACGTGGAGAGCGACGGAAACTTTCAGACCGACCTCAACGGCTTCCAGGTCTCACCAGCGCACACTCACACACGTACAGTAAAAACAGAGCACATGGATAAAGTAGAGGTTAAAACATATGTACGTGCACACATAGACACATAGTACCATTTTGTAAATCCACTGCTGGATGAAGGCCTTCCCTGGTCGAACTACACACCTCGATGCGAGTTGACTATACTTTACCATGTTGGTCCGTGGTGGATTGGTAGAGGGGCAAGCCCAGGGAATCGATATTAACTCGTCAGGATTCAAACTCGGGTCACTGGGTTCGCAGTGCAATTCTGCTAACCACTGGGACACCGCTCCCCTGCCCTGCAGATGCAGCCGCGGAGGTTTTGGAAGAAGCTGCCGCTGCAGGCCAACTTCTACCCGGTGGCGACGATGGCCCTGGTGCAGGACGCGCGCTCGCGGCTCAGCCTGCTCACTGCGCAGGCCGGCGGGGTGGCCAGCCTGGCCGATGGTGAGCGCGGGCGCCACACCGGCCCCGCGGATGTGGCCGGCGATGTTGCTGGGATTGTGTGTATTACACGTATGTGTAAGCAATTACCTCAACAGTCTGTTCAGGCGATACGGGGGATATTTGTCTTTGTGTGATTGTGAGCAGGTGTGTTAACACTTCAAGTCAGCAGTCCCCAAACTTTTTGGCACCAAGGAGCTGTTTCGTGGAGGACAGTTTTTTCACGGACCGGGGGGGGGGGGGGGGGGGTTCATCATTGGGTCTTTCCCCCTTTTCAAAGAAGCTCTCCAGCGACTGGTTTTTTTACTCATTTTGGCGAGGGTTATCTTGTGGGCTTACCAAAACTGACAAGTGCGCAGTGCGGGAACGAGGCGCTGACGGAAGTGGTAAATAAAATAGGCGGGCCACGCGCAGACTCACCGCTCACCTCCTGCTGTGCGGCCCGATTCCTAAAAGGCCACGGACCGGTACCGGTCTGCGGCCCGGGGGTTGGGGACCCTTGCTTCAAGTGGCCTTGGAGTGCACCTGGCCTAGCACAAGCACTGTGGTGATGTCACCGCCACCTAGTGGTGAATGGCGCCCGGTGTTGTCGAAAGGGCTGGTGTGGGTGTGTTGGGCGCCTCGGTGTGTACACACACACACTCGCGTTGCAGGGGCATCAGTGGGCGGCTGCGCGTGTGCACGTGCAGGGCAGCTGGAGGTGATGCTGGACCGGCGCTTGATCCAGGACGACAACCGCGGCCTGGGTCAGGGCCTCAAGGACAACAGACGCAGCCTCAGCCGCTTCCGGCTGCTCCTGGAGACTCGCTCGCCGGACGGCACGGTACGAGCGGCGGTGCTCGCGCCCGGCACGAAAGCAGCAAAACCCATCCGGAGGACGAAACGACATGAGACTCGGAATGCGGCCCTGCTAGGGATGGCCGTGGCCACCATATGAGTTTGAGTTTATTTTATTTTGTTACACGGATGACAGATTTGATCAACGTGGCTGTTTATTTCTCTAGGGCGAGTCCCTAAAAGCAACACAACTTTACACTCACGTTTAATTAATCTTGGATCATCTTCAGGATCATTATTGTCCCCCCTCCCCTGCCCATTACAGGTAAACACAGATGGACAGAGCTCCTGCATTAACGCTTTGAGCTTGGTTGGAAGGTGTTTTCCAAGATTGTGTTTTAACAGTCACGTCACACGGAACTCTTAGAACCCTTTTTTCACCCAGGTTTCAGCCACCGACGATTAAATAAGAGATAAGCAATGTCTCCTTCAAATATGTTGCTCCAAATAAGAACAAAACCTTTCTTACACACCATTGGTGTAAAAGTGCGCAACTTCAGCAGCAGTGATTCAGTGCAAACAAAACTCAAGAGCAGTTTTGACAGCAGTCAGTTTTGCTCCATGTTTATAGGCAAGGACTCTCTCCTGAAGTGCTGCATTCCTGAAAAGTGTTACGTTAAGCTGTATCATTCCGTGTACTGTATCATTCCGTGTACTGTATCGTACCGCTCAGCTTTACAGCTCAAGAAAGTAGTTTGTCGATCGCTTTGAACCCGCGTTATAATGGGCGCGCGTACCCCGTTATGGCACACGCACTGCGTCACAACGGGGCGCGTACCCCGTTGTGCAAAGTGTTCCCTGATGAAAGAACCGCTTTACAGCAAAAACGTATTGTGTGAACACGTGTCAAGCGAGTACTTACCGTATATAACTCGTGCACGATTAAATGGAGTACTCAAGTTCTTAGACCTGTAAAGAATAATTGCTCATGAAAACCAAAATTAAGTGGACTGAGTATTCCAGCCGAGAGGACTAAACATTTTTTGAATGACACATGCCACTCGGTATCGAGCGGCTTTCCCTGCCGTTGAGCGTGAATGAACGTCTTCTGCAAAAATATTTGGCACTACAGACTTAAGCACAGAAAAATGGGAAGCCTAAATTTTACGTCAAAGTGTAATCCTTCCGGTCGTACAGCGAAATGCATCGCTGGTCAGATTCATAATTCTCAAGATGCCGTGCTCACAAAACATTGCAGAATCGGAACCACGGTAACTGGGACATCTTAAACATGGCTGCTGGCTTTGACTAAAAATAAAAAATGGGAGTGTACGGCTTTAACGAAATAAGCCAGATCAGTACAAGAAGTCTGAACGTTTTCAGCAAACGGGCTTCATCATCGTTGGGTCTTTCGGTAAAGTCACATAGATAGGTTCAAAGATAATTAAAAAAAATCTACGTTTCGATCGCAACACAAGTGTTCGTCATCTTTCTTTTTCTTCCTGATGACGAACGCTTGTGTTGCGATCGAAACGTCGTAGTTTTTTTGTTATTATCTTTGAACCTATCTGCGTGACTTTACCGAAAGACCTAAAGAATATGAATTCCTGCAGTCACGAAAGCTTTGTCGGGGGCTTCATCATCCAGCTGCGATTCCACCCAACGACTTCCTGCCCCATGCAACTCAGTCCTGCTCCGATTCCTACTCGCCGACCTCTCGTCTCCTGACCCATCACCTCCTGACCTGTGTGCAGAAATGGGATGCGACGATGGCTGCCGCGCTGGGATTTCCATCCCTGCTGGGCCACGTGGCCTCCGCCGCTCTGAACCACCCGCCGTTCGTGCTGGTGGGGGTCGAGCAGCGTCTGTCCCCGCTCGTCGAGCCGCCACAGCTGCTGCCCTCCTTCCACGTGCTGGGGGCGCCAGTGCCCTGCGACCTCCACCTGCTCAACCTCCGCATGATGGAGGCACCGGTACGGAATGGATTTGCGAGTGCCAAGTGGCACGGACAGCGGGTGCATGAGAACCGGCTGTGCGAATATCACCGCGTCCGAGCCAGGTATGAAAGCACCTAATGAAGCAGCCAGGTGAGAGGGAACTACGAGTGTGAACACCCAGGCGTGAAAGCGCTAGGTGAGAACCAGGTGCGAGAACCAGGTGCGAGACCCACGGAGCTCCAGGTGAGGAGAGCATCAGGTGTGTGAAAACGTGCTGTCAACACTAGGCATGAGAGGTGTGACAAGTAGGTTTTTGAAATACAGGTGTGAAAGAGCCAGGCATGAAAGTATCACTTGGTCAGAGCGCATTAGATGTGCGAGCACAATATTAAAAAACCATGTGTGTCAGATCCATGTGAGAGAACCAGGGGTGAGCGAGGGCCATGTGCTGCGGGCCATGTGCTGCTGGCCATGCTGCTTCCCTCTTCCCCCCCTCCCCCTCCAGGGAGCCGGCCCCCCGGGCGAGGCCGCCCTCCTGCTGCACAGGAAGGGGTTCGACTGCAGCTTTCCAAGTGCGGGGCTGGGGGGGTTCAACTGCTCCACCACGGGCGGCAAGGTACGCCGCTTGGCCCACGATGCCACGAAATGGGCCAAACATCTCAATTTCAGGCCCCGTCTCGAGTCTATAGACTGAGGTTTACGTGGACATAAGTAATGCCATTGCCATCAACAGTGGTCGTTCCGTGAAGACTAGCCCCTGTCATGGGAATGCAGAATTTTCGCCACTATCATAGAAATACTAATGCACCAACCTGTGCTTGTTTAAGGGAGACGCTTTGATCGACATTAATGCTGAGATATCTTGCCGCAGTCATCATTAGCAATGCCGGGCAAGTTCTGTACTCCAGGTCTCCCATGCCAGACTGGTTTTCCCAGTGGGCTTTCGCTCAGTAAAGGTTGCCACTTAAATTCAAAGTCGCGTTTTACAAAGTACACCGGTCTCTACCATCCCACCTGAAGCACCCCTTGCTGCAGTGGTGACAAAGCTCTGCCCGAATGAGCGAGCGAAACGTAACATTTGCCCAACGTCACCACTCGCTTCCGCAGCTCTCGCTGGGTGACCTCTTCCGGAAGCTGAGGTTGCACAGCGTGACCCCCAGCAGCCTCACCCTGCTGCACTCGCAGCCGGCCGGCCCCAACACCAGCCGGGTGGAGCTGGCGCCCATGGAGATCGCCGCTTTCCGCGTCTCCTACGTGTGACGACCGGCGCCGCAGCTCGTTCCCTCCCCCCGCTCGCCCCAACGTAATAGCGAAGTTGCCCTCAGAGGCCAGGGACTGTGGCTGGTCGCCTGGATGTCTGCGATGCCTTTTCCTTCACCACCCGATGGGAAGAGGGGGGCCACGTTGAGTAATCGGGCCCCGAGATGTACTGGGCTCCCCCCCCACGCTCGGCGTGGGTTTTCCGGCTCCCGGTGAGGCGCGACTGCTTTGAGCGGACGGCACTGGATGTGGCTGACACCGTTGACAGTCACCCACGGTGAACGCGAATGGCTGAGCACGAATGGCTGAGCACGAGCGGCTGAGCACGGGAGAGCTGAGCACAGGGAGCTGAGCACAGGGAGCTGAGCGCGGGTGGATGAGCGCGGGTGGATGAGCACGGGAGGGCTGAGCACAGGAGGCTGAAAGGTGCAGTTTCGCCTCCCGGTTGGAACGCGCCAAACTGCACCGTGGCTGCCGAAATAACGGGACACAGCCAGTAGATTTACAATAACAAAAAAACTCGTCCCCTGCTCAAACGAACAATAAGTGTTGCTCATCTGTTTTCAGTCCTTGAGTCAGTCGTGGAAATTCCACAATCCTATGTAGGGTATTGGTCTCTCCGTACGACAACCACCGTTGCTCATGTAAAATTCCAACTGGCCTTTAAAGTCAAACAGCAATAGAAACAGTAACTTCTCAACCAAATGAGGGTTGCTGACAACCATGCCGCACAAACCGTGGTTCTGTTTAGCATGGCTGCCAGCCGTCAAAGCTCGCTCACTTCAGGGCCCAGCGAGGGCTTCCATCACAGATCCCCCTCCGCCAAAGTCCACCGCACCGAGTACCGCGGTCACAAGGAAAACCCGACAGTCACGCTCGGGGTGGCGAGGCACCGCGAGCGCCACTTTGTGCACTGCGTTTGAATGCATCCAATCATTGAAAACTATTTGCTTTTGCGTAACAGCTCCAGTCCAAGCACTGTATTGAGGATATTAATGTTTAGGGGGATGATTTAATTTAAAAACTATTTAATGTGAATCGCGTGTTCCTCGTAAGGCGGCGTAGAAATTTATTAATACAATCACAGCTCTGACGTTGCAAAGGTGGTTTATTAAGCGATTGTAGACGTACGAGTGGTGTCATCAATTTAGCCAGATGTTTTTAATTCTTCCATTTAACTTTTCTGACATTTGTAGCCAAGGCTCGACGGCAGAATAAAATGAAGTTTCAAGACGTCTGTCATGGATCTATTTCATTAAATTGTCACACTGGCATCAAAGCGTGCATGCAGGACTGATGGAGCTCCTATGGCTCCGCAGCTAAACCAGGTTTTACACTAAAATGGCAACACTAAATTGATCATAATCTTTGCCCTTTACGAAAAAAACCGTTTTCACCAACTGCAACTAAAATCCTTTTTACAGGTGTTGAGCCAAATGGGTATTATTACTCCAGATGACAGCCAGGCAAATGAATTGATCATACTTCATAATTGTATATCGGAATTCGCAGAACATCCAAATGCCTGAAAATTGTGTTCCTTCCAGCCCCACAGACCGTGCGATTAAACTAGTTTTTCTGCTATACGCAAGGAACTGCTATTTTATTTTGCACGTGTACCCACGGATGCCATGCGTTGTTTTTATAAAATTTTTCAAGGATTTATTTAGGAGTTTGCGGATATACGCACTGCCGCTTATGATGCAAAACGGCAAGCCATATTTACAGCTATACTTTCCTTCGTTTTCCTAAGTCCAACTAAAACCGAAAAGCTGGTAAAGCAGAACACGCGACGCCTACATTAACACCATGCACACACTGTATATGGAGAGATAAGAAAACAAACCTAGCTGTTATGACAAACTAATGCCACCAAGACTCCACAGGACTCTGCCAAACGACTCGACCAGATGACGGAGGCGGCCTGGGCTTAGTGAAGTGAAGACGCTCGCTCTCTGCCGGCATTCGACACGGGGTGCAAAGGTACAAAAGAAGACAAACGTCACAGCCCAGATTGGAAACTCGCACATTTACATTCGCAATTCAACCATCTATTGCTGTCACCTTCAGGATGGTTGCCAATGCATAAAAACACAAGTTAAGCTCACAACTCTCATCTTGCATCCACTGCCAGTGCTTTAAGCCCCAAATGTGTCGTGACGACCCCGTCTGCCCGTTGTTTTTGCCGACCTGTGTTCGCTGCTGACCTGTCATGGGTCCACATAAGTGACGGGATTAATACAGGAGGACCAGACGGGAACCCACGTACCCAATATGGCGGCTGAAACATTTCTCTGGCCTTGTAGAAGACTATGATTTAGATTTTTTTTCAAATTACAATTATTTTTGTAACTGCAATCACAGTAAAACAAACTACATGGGGAATAAATAGCCATCTGCTGAAAGACACGTGCTTCTAACAAGCAGCTACCTACAGTTAAACTGAATTTAAAACGTCTCACAACATGCCCATCCTCCCAGATTCGTCACCAGAAACACTCGATGCTTACGGGCCACTCCCATTGGGCCGCACGTCCCTGGGAGTGGGGGGGGGGCGGCCGTGCTGCGCACGACGGGCAGCGAGGACCAGCGGGCCGCTCTAGCTGGGGCTGCGTGAACGCCGGCGGGAGCCAGAGCTGCTGTTGGCGACCTTAGTGGGCGGGGAGCGCGAGCGCCAAGCCTCGGCCGCCTTCCTGGGCCGGGGTGAGACGGAGCGCGAGCGAGATTTGCTCGCACGCCGCCCGCTCGCCTTGGGGCTGCCGCTGCTCAGCTTGCGAGACCGCTTGGGCGAAGGCGAGCGGCGGGGGATGCGGCGCGGCGACGAGGAGCGCTTGCTGCCCCGTCGGGGTGAAGGAGATCTCCTGGGGCTCCTGCGGGGAGAAGGGGACTTTCGAAGGCTCCTGCGGGGAGAAGGGGACTGGCGCAAGCTGCGCCGTGGGGATGGAGAGCGCCGTGGGCTGCGTCTCGGGGATACAGAGCGTCTGGGGCTCCGCCGCGGAGAAGGGCTCCGTTTCCAGCCGTACTCCGACCTGGAGTACACACACACGTATGCACATAGAAAACTACAGCGATTCAGTCAGGTTATAGAGACTCGCACTGGGTTAGATCACACAACTCATCCATCATACAAGTTCAAATCCTGGTCATAGATGGACTCGGCTCATTGGCCCTCCCAGGTTAAAAAATGAATACTGCATGGGGGAAGTAAAAACTTGTTATCCTATGGAGGGACTTGGTTCCTCACCAATGGCCCAGGTTCACCGACAGTTGCGCAACGCCCCACTTGGCAGGTAAACACTAACAATTGACTTGACAGGAAAACGACCCATTGGAGTCAGCATCACACACACCCAGACGCCTCTCCTCAGTACCGAGCCCAGGTACAAGAGTGGACAATCTAGGCCGAATTGCCTTGGAGAAGTCTAAGCCATGTTCCGATACGTCACGATCACGGGCATACGTGGGTAGGAATCATAACTATTAGCACTCGGACTCTCTAACCGACAGAAAAAGGCCAGCTCTACGCACATGTACACTTAAAAAAAATCCCAATTAGTCCAGTTATGCTATCGGCTATATGCCATTTTGGCATTTGGATATTTTTCAGATAGCTGCGTAACGTCACATTGGTGGATAACAGCCTCTGAAAGATGGCATCGCAAAACTAGATCTGAAATAATTCCCTTCAAATCCTCATGCGCGTTCAAGGGCACCCCCTCAAATGCCCTGACGAAGTAATCGCCAAATGTCAATCCCAATAGGTAGAATATAGGAAATTGACGAGGGGGAAAAACCTAGTTAAATGTTGTGCAGTTATAAGTGACTGTGCTTAAAAATAACTCTTATACACACGATAACCTGGTTTAAATACGGCCAGCTAACGTGATCACTCACAGGACCTGGGTGGCCATTGTCATTGGTGTAGCATGGCCATTATGAACCTAATGACCCACCACCGCCTCCACACAACAGCTGAGGGCACATGGGGACGGTGAAGGGAGCCGCCCCAGGCCCCTCTCGCTCCAGATGAATGGCGATTATTATTCCCCCTTTCTAACCTGAGGGGTGTGGCCGGCACCACGCCCGGACGCCTTTGTCTCCCCAGTGGCGACGTTTACACACCGCACCAGGTACCCCACTTAAGGCTCAGGACCGGTTCAGATAATCGTCACCGATGTTGGCCGTGAGCGGGAATGGAACTCGGGTCGCCGGGTTCGTAGCGCAGCGTAGCGCCAACCGACTCCAATACCCCGCCATTGGCCACTCAGTGACGGCGCCTGTGCCAGGCCAGGTGCACTTTGAGGCCACGTGAAGTGCCGAAGGCTCGCGAACCACGACCCCCCCCCCAATCCCTCAACGTGCCCGGCTCGCACCGGCTCCAGGGCGGCTGCGCGCTCCAGCCCCGCTTCTGGCGCCTCTCGCCCGTCGACATCTCGACTCGCACGCGGGAGCCGCACACGAGGCGCCCGTCCAGCTCGCGGCACGAGTCCCTCGCGTCCCGCGCGTCCTCGAACTGCACGAAGGCGAAGCCGGGCGGGTTGCGCGCCACCCACACGGAGCGCAGCGGCCCGTAGTAGCTGAACACCTTCTCCAGGTCGTACTCCGTGGCCCCAGAGCCCAGGTTCCCCACGTACACCTTGCAGTCCAGCGGGCCGTTGTCGCGGGCCGACATAGCTACTCCTGCTGCTACCTGGTTATCCCCTTGCCACCGCCTTCCCTCCTGCTACCCTGACCGTTGCGTGCGCCCCCACTGATGCCGTCTCTGTCGCCTCGCCTGCCCCCTATCTCTCTGCCCCTCTCGCCTGCCCCCTATCTCTCTGCCCCTCTCGCCTGCCCCCCTCTCGTTCCTCCGGCCGCTGCCCCCCGCTCCGCCGCCGCGGCTTGCCGCTGAAATGGCTGCCCCCGTGCGCGAGCTGCGTGAAATGAAAGCGCCCCCAGGGCGGCGCCCGCGTTACGCCGCCTGGTGGCGAGCCGCGAGGAGGCGCCCCCAAGGCAGGAATTCACACCCAAAGCAATGAGTCCCCAGAAAGCAACGCCGCAGCGATTTTAATCAACACAACAACGATAATAACAATAACATGGTTAACACATTGCTTCACGTATAAGGCAACTGAGGGGCTGTACGGTCAATAATGTGGCACCACAGAGATGAGAATCGAGCCGCGGGCCCTCCAGCTCTCGGGGGCGACGTCGTGAGCGTGATGAGCGGGCAGCCACGGGGAGGCTGTCAGCTGCAGGCAGTTCAAGGGCAGTTCAGGGAGTCGGGAGGGCAGTTCAGGGGGTTAGGAACCAGTTAAGGGGTTTGGAAGGGCAGTTCAGGGAGTCGGGAGGGCAGTTCAGGGGGTTAGGAACCAGTTAAGGGGTTTGGAAGGGTTGTTCAGGGAGTCGGGAGAGCAGTTAAAAGTCAGTTAAGCCTGGACAGGAGTGGTGAGTGGCTGTGTTTTGTGATATCTCGACTTGTATAATTTAAGATATTTGAAGTGTCACAGTGAAGCAGACACACTTCCTATTACCACAAGTGTGGAACAATATATTTTATTACATCGTTTTAGCCATCTGGGTTCAAAGTAAAGTATTGTCCGAGTCCTTTGTATCTCTATACATCTGTGGGTTTTCTGTGTGGTCCATAGTTTGGGTTGCATGGCCACGCTCGCACTGTCTAACCCGGTGAGACGTTAAGAGGCCGGGATGAGAGGCTGATTTGGATGACTGAGTTGCGTATTCATTATTAAAGTAATGAATGGCTAATTAAAGGAACTCGTCACTCGTGAGGGATCGGACATACGAATGAAAAACATCAATCGAACAGTCGATGTTTGTTATTAACACATCGATGTTTTTGGGATGTTCTATGCCTTTAAAAAAACTTGACAAGAGAAAATGCAAATCTTCAAAAGCAATGCTGTTTAAGCAAATAGAATAGCGAACACTCAACACAAACTTATGATATATCGTAAAAATAATTATTACAAGACAGAAATAGATGCATCTGTCGAAAAATGTAATGATTTATATTTTGTAAAATGTACACAAAGCTGCTGTTGCAAGGTCAACACTCAATCAAGAGCAAACCCCACGTCTACGTTCCAGAAGAGGATAACTTTAAAATCCTATGTACATACAGAGACGCCTGTCAACAGCCTAAGACACATGTCAATCAGGGTGCTTTTAATAACTTTAAAATTTTGGCGTGAAAAATAATACAGCAAGAGGAGCAATCATTAATGTTACAATGTCATCGAAGGTATCAACATCGATTCCAACGCGTCAGTATCGGAATGAAAACATCGATGTTACCCATGTATCGTGACACAAACCTGTCAGATCTAAGGGCTTACTCAAAGGGCTTGTCTTTTTTGTTGCCAGGGAAGCAGCTCCCATTTTACAAACATCCAACACTGAGCCACCAATTCTAGATTTGAAGCTTTCGTGACTGCAAGGATCCATACTCTTTGGTTCTATTCGGTAAAGTCAAGACTGCGCAGTCTTCGAGGCAGTCTGGTCCCTTCACCTGATGAAGGCCGCTTGTGTTGTGGCCGAAACGTGATTTTTACTGAGCCACCACTGAATTCCCATGCCCGACCCTTGACAAATGCGGCTCCGAGTAGTAAGCCGCGATCGGGTGCAGGGGCATTGATCGGCCAGAGGGCACGCGTTCAGTTGGACGCATCTGGCGTTGAGCAAGCCATTGGGTGGTCGTCTGTTCACTCATTGAGACGAGCGGCCCGTCTCGCACCTGCACGCAGGCGGGGGCGGCTGTTGGCAGCTGCCGGCCCCAGTTGAGGGCGTTGGGGAGGGGCAGGGAGGGCCCGAGGACTCGGGGACTCGATCAGCCAGCGAGGCGTTGGTGCCGCTCCCAGCACGAAGCGCGCCTTCGCTTCCCGCCGCTGTCCGCCGCTCGCGTTCACCGCCTCGAGTGGGCGGGGGAGGCGCGCTGCTCTGAGCGGTGACGTCACAGCGAAACACGAAATCCGCCGTGCGTGGTGGCGTCACGAGCTCCGGACGCGTCGCGTTGACGTCACCGCGAGCGCCTTGGCCGCGCGCGGTGACGTCGCTCAAACGCGTTTGAAGCGGTGCGCGGTGACGTCACCCGGGCTCTCCGTGCGCGGTGACGTCACGAGGGGCGTCGAGTGGCGCCAAGGCGCGCGGTTTGTGGCGAGGGTCGCGGCGGTCCCCCCCCGGCCCTCATGGACGGCGCCGGAGAGCGATCGCAGCCGCTGCCACCGACGGACTCACAAACTGCACCAGCGGAAACTCCCCGAGCGCGCTGCCGCTGAGGTATTTGCAAGCGCGGCGCCAGCAGGCCGCGCGGCCGCCACCCTCGGCAGTCCTTTTTTTTCCCCCACCAACTTACAGGGTAACGTTTCGGAGAAGTGCCCCTTTTTCAGGAGAAGGATACGTTATGTCCGTGTAAGCCTGCTGGGTGTGTGCATGCCTTTGCAGTGTATGGACGGAACGTATCGTGTTGGTCTCATGCGGTGGTAAAGTAGTGGTGGTGTGTTTGGCCTCGAAGTGCACCTAGCTTGGCACAACCGCTGTGGTGAAGTCACCGCCACTTCGTGTTGAATGGCGGCTCCTGTGGCGCGCCGCTGCGTACGAACCCGAAGACCCGAGTTCGGTTCTCGCTCGAGGCCAACACCAGTGTTGATTATCTGAACCAGGACTGGGTATCCCCTAGGTCGACTCGGCCTCAAATTTATATTTGGTGCGATGTGTAAACATCGCCGCTGGGAAGGCAAAGGCGGCCGGGCGTGGTGTTGGCCACCCAAACCCCCAAGGTGCTCGCTAACAGCACTTCCCCCAACAGTCTGCCGAGGATCCAGCGGGGAATCTGTGTGGTTGTTGTGTTTACAATCTGCGTTGTGTCTGTGCTGCACGCGGTCCTGGTGCAGCAGGGGGTGAGGTTTGTGCGGGAGGGTGAACCACACACTTCGGTGTTTGGTGCAGCAGCGGCTCGGCAAAGCGGCAGAATGTGGTTCAGTGTGGCTGGGTGCAGCAAAGTCGCAGCTGTGGAGAGTGGGGTGCAGCTGGGTGCAGATTTTTAAACAATAACCAAACGGGCGTTCAAATCGCGAGCATAACGAAACGTCTCGACACAGTTCTTTTTGAGCCCCCCCAATGGCAGCTTGTCCAAGGTGAACACAGCAACCGGCCTACATATGGGCATTAGTTGTCAGTAGGGGGCGATGGTGCTTTTGGTAACTCCAATGTAATGTTTTACATTTGTATAGTTGACTTGTGTTTTGTGTGCAACGGTGGGGGGTGTCAGTTTAGCAGCAAGGTGAAGATGCTGAGTAGTTGAGTGCAGTGGTGTACAGGACCAGCACAGCTTTGTGCAGCAGCTGTGTAGTGGGTTCAGGAGTGGGAGCAAGCAGCAGGTGAGACGCCTTCATTGTCCCGTCTCCAAGGTGTTAATCCTGTGCGGTGAATCCTTTGTGTTTCCTGCAGGTGGGGTTTTGCTGCTGAGAGATGTCGGCTGACTTTGATCTCGGAACCCTGCAAATCCCCGACGAAGAGCAGGAGAGCGAGCAGGACGCGCGCGAGCGGGAGCAGGAGGTGTGTGCAACACGAGCTCCACGCCGAGCCAACGTCACCACTCCATCACCACACCTGGCACCAGGCACACCATCACCACACATCCCATCATTGGGCACATCACACTACGCCTTTACTAAGCTGGACCACACACTATGCCTTTGCCTGTTGAGCATGGTTGACACCCACACCATGTGTGTATTTGTGTGATCTCTAGCTGCGGCAGTTGCTCTCGACAGCGCTTCCCGATGACCTTTTGGAGGACAGCCGAGATGTCTCGTCGTCGGAGCTGAGTGATGAGAGCGAGGACGACCGGGCGTCGTCGCACCACGGACACGGGGCCCACGCGGCGCACGGGCCCCCGCACACCTACGGTGACCAAGGCGGCACAGGACAGGGTGCCCTGGGCCAGGCTGGGTACACGCAGGTGAGGACGCCGCCGTCACTGAGAAAAGAGCAACTGCTGCCTCGGTATCAATGAGCAACTCCTCTCTTTTCATTGTGATCATTATTAACATGTTCTACTAAGCGATGATATAGCCACTGCTGGGCAGACTTGTGCTCCTTTATAATTTCAATTATAACAGAGTGATTAACATAAATTATAATGACAATGTGATTTCAATTAATTGCGAATTCTCAATTGTAATCTTATTGATCCCAGGACTACCTCTGGTTGAATGCCTTCCCATGCTGTTGGGTGTCCTTCCCATGACGGGTGTTATTTGAACATACTTCACCATGTACTGACTAGTGCTGGTTTTTAGACATGAGAACATTTTCACTTCACTTTTGCCGATCAGATGAGCGGTGTGAATGCCCCTATCCAGTTTTATTCCTTGGTACTCAAGGCTCTCAAACAACGTTGGCACAATCAAGACAGTGCTCCTCAACTGCTTGGTTATGTTTGTCAACATATACTAGGACATTGTACTAGCAATGAATAACATGTTACAATACTGTTAGATTAAAAACCTATTTTTGCTTTGGCTAATGCCAGCTATCTTAACATCTTTTTCGATAAACATTTTTGTGTTTCCCTAGTTTAATGGCCACTATGCTGCCAACACATCCAACAATGACTACAGTTACATCTCAAACGGATACGACTACAAGTCTGGCGATGGCTCCCTCTCTCATCACGGCGACGCCTGGCTCGACGGCGATGGCAATGCCAACAAGAGCGACGTCCTCGCAGACGAGAGCTACCTGGGTTTCGCTCGCGCCGACGGGACACCCTTCGAGGAAAACTTCCCGACCGGCGATGGTGCGGATGCTGGAGGAGGCTACGGGCAGCCGGCGGCATACCGGGACATGCAGCACAGCGCCGCCCTGTTGAATGGACACGTCAACGGACACGTCAACGGACACGTCAACGGACACGTCAACGGACACGGCAATGGGCACGGCATTGGCAGTGCGGCTTACCACAGCCACCGCCAAGTGAATGGAGACACCGCCGGTGGCGGGAGCCCGGTGGTGGCCGGGGGTTTGAGCGACGGGGACGTGTACCGTGTGACGTACCGCCAGGGCTCTGGCGGCCACAGGCTGGTGCCGCCCTCCCCGCAGCAGGCAGAGTCAGCTACTGCTCAAGATTTCAATGCCATGCAGCAGGAATTTCTGAATTCTGCTGCTGGTGAGAGATGGGCATTGAGAGCAATGGCTTTGTGTCAGATGTCTGTTGGTGGTTCTTATATTACAAATAAGTTCATCCTCAGCACAGCAGCTAACCATACTTTGTTCTTGTTTCACTGATATCAAATACTTTGCATGTAACCATTTGTCGCTTGAAAGCCAATTCTTATGCTCACTGAATGTGCATTATGTCACGAATGATGTGTAAATTATATTTCTGGTATATTTGAATTAATGAAACAACAAACGGTAAAACAAACCTACAACAGCCATGTTCTATCTACTGTTGAATGAAGGTTTCCCCACATAGTAATCACACCTCTTAATCTTGTGTGCACGTGTGTGTACGTGCGTTCATGAGACAGGTGGGCAAGCGATGCAACTGACTCAGCTGCAGATCCTGTACCAGGCCCGGGGCCGGGAGGTGAGCGAGCTATCACGCCAGCTGCTCACCCTGCAGGAGGAGAGCGCACGCGACCTCCGCATCCTCAGCCACCAACTGGCGCTCGTCACCGGTGGGGACTATAGCTTACACTGCCAATTGTTTCATACATACATATTTGTTCTTTCAGCGTCGTGCTGTGCCATGGTCAGTGTTTTTTCTGTTCAAACAAGTGGTGGACAATGCTCAATTCCACTAGCAGCATTGCGCAAAGACACATTCCCATCTAGACCTTATGCTGTCATCTACCAAGTATTGATTGGGCCTGCTTCATCCCGTTTAAAAAATGTCGCTCAACAACAGTCCTATTTCATTCTTCGAGCTAGACTTGACCAAAATAGTGAAAAGCCACCCAATGTGCGGGACACTTGCTAAGAGTCTGCTCGTTTATTTCAGATTACCACTATAGTTAGCTACTTATGATTTTAATAAATTATACGGTGGTGCATTGCTTCCATGTAGGAGAGAAGGAGGGCCTGATGGTGAGTCTGCAGGAGTGCCAGCGGCTGGTGCAGGCTGGCAGGGAGAAGGAAAGCATGCAGGAAGGGAATCTGCAGGCCCAGGATGCCCACATCAAGGCCCTGACCTCGGGCAAAGACCAGGTGACCAGCGATGGGATGGCAAGCGGGGGGAGTTGCGGGGTTAGGAGCAGCGGTCGACGGGAATAGCAGGGTCACACACACTCTGGAAACATTTATTTGCGACAGCCTCACCTGCTCCCTTTTTGGCGTGCACATTGTAACCGCGCGTACTGAACTTAAAATCCAGATGTCGCCAGTTCGATCTCCCAGTGTGGTGGTTCATACAATGGCCAAGTTTCTTAAATCCCCTTGGCTGTGTTCCCCAGTGGTATAAATTACTTCACCACAGTTGATCGGGAAGTCGTTTATGGTGGGGCAATGTGTGGGTACTCCTACCTCTTCCAAGGTGCCTGTCCAACGTGGGGGAGTAAACCAAGTACCCAATGGAGGAGCGCTCGAGCTTAAATTCAGGGCTGCACCTATACCTTACACCCAACAGGTGGTGCGCAAGCTGCAGGTGGCTGAGGCATCGATGGAGAGCCTGCAGCAGCAGCTGGAAGAGCTTGGTCGCTCGGAGTCGTTGACGCGAGCCCGGGAGAGCCACGAGAGCGCGCTCGCCGTCCTGAAGCAGAAGCACGCACAGGAGGTGCTCACGCTGCAGCAGCATCTCGACCAGCAGAGGACCGTCATTCAGCAGCAGGTGCTTTTCTAGGACACAGTCTGCACGATTTGCAGACGCCTTGTTTCTCTCGTACGGTCTGCAGCTGCCTTGCTGCATGGCAGAACTTTTCTCGTCCTTCCTCACATAGCTCGTCCTTTAGAATTCATCTCTGCTTACAATCTTATGTAAACTGACTCATTTATAGAAGCTTGTGTCACCTCACACTTGATATCCTCATTTCAATGCTCTTTATCGCTGGGCAATTGCTTTATTATAGGACGAGGGCCTATACATTTCAATTTTGCTACGTTTATTTAAAGGTCAGCAACAGGTCTGCTTTGGCTATTCCGCACCTCTCGACCGTGAACACAAAACAGCTTCACACGTTGATTTCCATTCTTGCCCATCAATGTAAGCTCTTTGCTCCCAGAATATAGAGAATGTTAGGTTTGTGATTGCATAGGTTTTCGAGGTTGTGTTGTATAGCTCTCCGTCGGATTTTCGCGGTTGCACCGTGTGCTGTTCGGCACGACGTGCGATATTTCGCTCAACCTGCAGATAGCTCCTTTGAACCTTTTTTGCGCGGTCAAGGTGAATGTACAGTGAGGGAAAAAAGTATTTGATCCCCTGCTGATTTTGTACGTTTGCCCAATGACAAAGAAATGATCAGTCTATAATTTTAATAGTAGGTTTATTTGAACAGTGAGAGACAGAATAACAACAAAAAAATCCAGAAAAACGCATGTCAAAAATGTTATAAATTGATTTGCATTTTAATGAGGGAAATATGTATTTGACACCCTCTCAATCAGAAAGTTTTCTGGCTCCCAGGTGTCTTTTATACAGGTAACGAGCTGAGATTAGGAGCACTCTCTTAAAGGGAGTGCTCCTAATCTCAGCTTGTTACCTGTATAAAAGACACCTATCCACAGAATCAATCAATCAGATTCCAAACTCTCCACCATGGCCAAGACCAAAGAGCTCTCCAAGGATGTCAGGGACAAGATTGTAGACCTACACAAGGCTGGAATGGGCTACAAGACCATTGCCAAGCAGCTTGGTGAGAAGGTGACAATAGTTGGTGCGATTATTCGCAAATGGAAGAAACACAAAAGAACTATCAATCTCCCTCGGCCTGGGGCTCCATGCAAGATCTCACCTCGTGGAGTTGCAATGATCATGAGAACGGTGAGGAATCAGCCCAGAACTACACGGGAGGATCTTGTCAATGATCTCAAGGCAGCTGGGACCATAGTCACCAATAAAACAATTGGTAACACACTACGCTGTGAAGGACTGAAATCCTGCAGCGCCCGCAAAGTGCCCCTGCTCAAGAAAGCACATATACATGCCCGTCTGAAGTTTGCCAATGAACATCTGAATGATTCAGAGGACAACTGGGTGAAAGTGTTGTGGTCAGATGAGACCAAAATGGAGCTCTTTGGCATCAACTCATCTCGCCATGCTTGGAGGAGAAGGAATGCTGCCTATGACCCCAAGAACACCATCCCCACCGTCAAACATGGAGGTGGAAACATTATGCTTTGGGGGTGTTTTTCTGCTTAGGGGACAGGACAACTTCACCGCATCAAAGGGACGATGGACAGGGCCATGTACCATCAAATCTTGGGTGAGAACCTCCTTCCCTCAGCCAGGGCATTGAAAATGGGTCGTGGATGGGTATTCCAGCATGACAATGACCCAAAACACATGGCCAAGGCAACAAAGGAGTGGCTCAAGAAGAAGCACATTAAGGTCCTGGAGTGGCCTAGCCAGTCTCCAGACCTTGATCAAATAGAAAATCTGTAGAGGGAGCTGATGGTTCGAGTTGCCAAACGTCAGCCTCGAAACCTTAATGACTTGGAGAAGATCTGCAAAGAGGAGTGGGACAAAATCCCTCCTGAGATGTGTGCAAACCTGGTGGCCAACTACAAGAAACGTCTGACCTCTGTGATTGCCAACAAGGGTTTTGCCACCAAGTACTAAGTCATGTTTTGCATAGGGGTCATATACTTATTTCCCTCATTAAAATGTAAATCAATTTATAACATTTTTGACATGCGTTTTTCTGGATTTTTGTTGTTGTTATTCTGTCTCTCACTGTTCAAATAAACCTACCATTAAAATTATAGACTGATCATTTCTTTGTCAGTGGGCAAACGTACAAAATCAGCAGGGGATCAAATACTTTTTTCCCTCACTGTACCTTGACGACGGCAACCGTGTATCCAGGAGGAGGCGGTGCAGCGGCTGGAGGGGCGAGCGAGGCAGGCGGAGAGGGAGGCAGAGGAGGGCCGATTGGAGCGTGCCGAGTTGGTTAACCGCTTGACCCGCAGCCTGGAGGAGAGCCAGAAGCAGTGTCGCGACCTCCTGCAGTCAGGCGAGTGAAGGATTTACCGACTTCCGAAAGGTGTTGGGGGGGAATGTGGCATAGAATTGGTTCCACTAATCTTACGGTCGTCGAGTACCTATGGTGCCGAGCGGCGAGGTTTGATGACCTTGCGTCCGGCGTGTGTGCGAGCAGGCTCAGTGCAGGAGATGGGGCAGCTTCAGATCCAGCTGCAGCAGGCGCTGTCTGCGCGGACCATAAGCGACCGTATAAACCGTGCTGTGCAGGTAGTTCTCGCCTACGCTCTGCTCGTACACACGCGCAAGTGCACAAGCACGCGCTGGACATGCACACTCGCACACATGCATACATCTACACACACGCCACAGGTCCACTGACTGAGATGGCTTGCTGATGCACCACCTGTGCCCCCTACTGTGCCAGCCTGCTGTGCTTTAGCCACCCGGCGCTCCGCTCGTTGTGAGTGTCGCTCCTCCGCCCTCCGTTGTTGTTGGAGGGCGACTGCCTCCAACTGCCCAGTAGCGTCCTTCACGAACCTCCTCCATAGAGGCCGATCTTGACACCGCTGGTACCAGTCATCGGCAAGTCCACTCAGCTCCACATCCTCCTGTACCACATCACTCCATCTCTTTTCTAGCCCGTGCCACGGCCATTTAGCCCCATCTATCCGGCCGAACAAAAGCTGTTTAGGCATGCAGTGACTGGTCATGCAGGCTACATGACCCAGCCAACGCAGCCTTGCCTGCCGGAGGAGCTCACCGATGGGACTTTGTCCAGATCTTTCAAGGATTTGTGAACTCCTCACACAATCCAGCTTGGTTAAACCCAGGATGGATCGTAGGCAGGCCAGCCTAAATGTTTCTAACCGGCCAAGATGTTCCATTAGGGGGGGGGGTCCACGTTTCATAAACGTAGAGAAGGGAGGGAATGACCGTGGCCGAGACCTAAAGCTTCGTGCGGAGCGACAGACCAGGTAGCTTCCACACAGCGTTACGCAACCGATGAAAATATAATGCCGCTTGACTGATTTGGAGCGAGACCTCTGCTGTCAAACCGGAGCAGGTCATAAGCATATTGCCCAGGTATGGGAAACTCTCCACTTTCTCCACAACTGCCCAATTGGGAGTTGTGGGGGCGGAGTGTCCGATGGTACAAAATATGGTACAAAATACCCAGGCAGGTGCTTAGTTTTGGTGGGGCTTATGGCAAGGCCCCACCTCTTAGTGTCAAGCTCCAGGTTCAGTAGCAACGCCTCCAACTCCTCTTGAGTGAGCAGCAATTACCAGATCATCGGCATACATAACGTAGTTGACCAACAGCGAGCCATCCCTTGACCGCACCCGGACATCGATCAGCCTCCCATTGTATCTGTACCAGATGGAAATTCCTCCGGTACAGCCATCGAAGTGCTTCACGAACTACGTGGTCGAAAAATATGTTAAATAATGTGGGAGCCAGAGGACATCCCTGTCGCACCCCAAGGTGAACAGGGAATGGCTCCAACTCCCGGCCATGTAGTTTTACCCGGGCCCACTCACCATCATGAAGGTCCTTATGATCGTGAGCAGAGGGTCATGGACTATGAAAGCACGACAAATAACCCAGAGCCCAGGCCTCCTGATGGTATCATAGGCCTTGATCAGGTCAATAAAGCAGAGATGTAGGTGTTGTTGGAATTTCTTACACCTCTAGCTGTAGCAGACGGACATAAAAATATGGCATCTGTGCAGGACCGCCCTTTCCTGAACCGCATACATAAACACATATACACAAACGCAACAACAGCCGCATTTGACCATTAAGGGGGGTTGTTGTCACCACAACACTTGTGCCAGGCTAGGTGCACTTTCTGGTATGAGGTCATGGGGCAGACCTAGCTCTTATTGGTTAACTGCCTCAGATGACTGACAGATACAACACACATGACACACAAACACACCAGCTGTGGCTGAATTGGAGGGAGCCAAGAGCTTTTGTGCCTTTGCCTTTTGTTCTGCTTGCTCCTCCCCTCACCCTAAATGGGCCACGGTGAACTGTGCAGGGCTGTTTGCAGTTTGGCACTTACTCAAAGGGCTGCTGTGTCTGGGGATATTTTGTTGTGTGAGTCATGAATGATGGCAGAACTGGGCCGATTTACTCGGGCCACAGGATTGTGATGCTTGACTTGAATTAGCACATTCAGTTTACTTAGTAATACGCATCGTAATGTGCCAGACGATCACAATAAGCAGCTTTACTGCACGGTCTTCTTGCTCACACGAGAGCTGGGTGGTGCTCATCTCCACTGGCAGTTGCATCACGAGATCGTGAGAGATGGCGACGGCTTGGAGAAGCCTGCATGCAGCAGTGGATATAGTTAATGGTTGATGAAGAAGATGTGTTTCTTACAACCTATTTTTTTAGGTGTAAGCAGTCCTCGGGCTGTGACGGGTGGATTTTAACCCTCGACCCTCGCTCCGTGTTTACTCCCAGGACGAGGTCGCGGAACTGAAGGAGCACCTCAATATGTACGAGAGCGCCGCCAAGTTTGGGGTCCATGTGGGCAGCCTGAACGGTGGTGCAGAATTCGCTCTCTCTGAGTCCTACCTGGAGCTGGGCATCAAAAACGCAGTGCTGAAACCACCCCGGGTCCACAGGTTACTGCTTCGCACATGCACACCACTTTTTGATGCTCCCGCAGGGATGGTTGGATGGTTTGGTCAGTTCCCTTTTTTTAGTGAGTTTCACGTGTGGAAGGAAATCAAACGAACTGGGTAAAACACATTCAAGCAATGGGAAGGTCTGCAGAGAACCCATTTGCCATAATGAGTTATCTCCTTGTTATTGTACGTCTCCACACTCTTTGGTTCTTTCAGTAAAGTCACGTAGGTATAAAATTAAATAAATCACGACGTTTCGATCGCAACACAAGCGGTCGTCCTCAGGCTGAAAAAATATAATCCAGCAGTGGAACTGCTGATCCGCTAACGCTTACCCCAAAAGTCCTGGGTCACAGGCATGGTACTACCACGCCCAGCTGTTGGCATCTACAGCCGACGTGGACTTTACCTATGTCGCCTCGGCATAAAATGAGTACCTGGTATTGCTGTATGGTCAGCGTTACCAATGGAGATACAAAAGTGGCTGGCATGGAAAAGAGATGAATATTGGATAGATATTGTTATGGCCAGTTGAGAGCCACATTGTCTAAGTTTATTGCAGCGTGGACTTGGATCTCCGTGCGTGATCTCACGCTGTGTCTTGGTGTTGGTGGCCCTCGCCGCTGAGCAGTTCGGAGGCTGGGGAGGAGCCCCTGGAGCGGCTGGTGAGCGGGCTGAAGGCGGAGCTGGAGCGATCGCTGCAGGGAAACCAGTCCAAGCGGCAGCAGCTGGAGCGCCAACGCGCCGAGCTCGGGGAAGCACAGCTGCAGCTGCAGCAGGCTGAGGCCAGGGCACAGCAGGCCGAGGCTTGTGCCAAGGATGCACAGGTGAGTCTAGGAATAGGTGTACGGAGTGGTAGTGTAGTGGTTAGCACACTATACTGTGAACCCCGCAACCCGAGTTTGATTCCCACACATGACCAATAACGTTGGCGAATATTTAAACCGGTTCTTGGCCTCCCCTGAGTCAGCTCAACCTCCATTAAGTACCTAGTGTAATGTGTAAACATCTGCCATGGGGAGACAAAGGTGGCCAGCCATAGTGTTGGTCTTCAAGTGTACTTGCTAACCACACTGTCAATGGCTATATGGGGGATCTTTGTTTTTGTGGGTACAGGTGCGCTGCAGTGCACTGGAGAGAGAGCTGCAGGTCAGCGCACGCGTGCCGCATGCTGCTAACGCTGCATCCGCAAAGGAGCTGGAGGCACTAAAGCAGCAGAATGCAACACTGAAGCAGGAGACAGAGGTGTGCGCACACGTGCACATGTGTATATAAGTGTGTGTGTACATGTTTTACATACCGATCCTATAATGTGTATGAATATGATGTCCAGGAGCTGGGTGTCCGGGTGTCCGAGCTGGTGAGCGGTGAAGAGCGGCTCATGGATGCCAACCAGGAGCTGCGTGAGCAGATCAAGCAGATGGTTGCCGACTTTGATGCAGACAAGCGCGAAGCCTTGGAGAGGTGCGGTGCGTGCCCATGTGCGCCGCGTTTTAAAATCACAGCGCTGTTGGTGCGGGAGCCGCTTTTAGAATATTGTGGAGTGGCGGCGTTGGTGAGCACACTGCACTGTCAACTCGGCGGATCTGAGTTCGATTTCTGGCGATGGGCTGAATTTATCCCAACCAGATGTGAACTTATACCTTTGGGTGTTGAGGGGAAAACTCTGCCACAGTCGGTGTATAAATGCTCTTTTCTGGGTGTCACAAGAATAGGAAACACATGGAGTAGAGAACAGCCACAGTTGACTGTAAAAAAAGTAATTGGGCTCGGACAGGACATATTTTACATCGCAGCCAATTGTGAGCATCCGTGACGAGCTCCATGTTTACTCAATTCATCCCCAACGAGGTTTTGCGCATCCGCCCTTCCCCGCCGTGCTGCTCCAGGTGCGAGCGCACGTACGAGCAGTACCACGAGGACGGCAAGGCCGGGCTACGGGAGGAGCTCGCGCACAAATTCCAGGAGGAGCAGGAGGAGCTGGTGCGGCACTACGAGGAGCAGCTGCAGTCGTTCCGGTGAGAATCTTTTCCACCGGCGCTTGAAAGCTGGCTCCGTTTCGGCTTGGCGCAGCTCAATTTGCATTGTGTCTCCCACCGGTCACGTGGCGCTTTCTAAGATTGTCCTTGGCCTACCCGCGCACCGATCCTGGTGGCTGCCCTGTGGACGTCCTCTCTGCCAAGTGGGAATGTAGTCCAAGTCTGTTGGTGTTTGGTCAGGAAGTAGTTAAATGCAAGTTTTGTTTGTGGTTCAACAAAACATGTTTACGTGGCTCAGACCCACATATACATCATCCATGTTACTAGCTGGAGCCAGTCTAGTTCCGCCTTCCCTTCCCATAAAACATCTGTGGGGATGATGCGTAACAACGTTCCTGACACATTCCCACGTGCGCTGCGATCAGAGCCAAGCTGGAGGGGCTGGTCCAGGAGACGGACGGCGTGAAGGAGTGCTACATCACCATGTGCCGCGAGCGCGAGGCGCTGGAGGAGGCTGTGAGGCAGCACGAACGGCGCCAACAGCAGGTATGTTCGCTCGCCATCAACCCAAAACCTTCTGGCCGGGTCGGCGTGCAGCGCAGATCGGCCCCCGCTGAGGCTTCAGTTGTGCGGTTCTGCGGTTGTGCAGGCAGTGGAGACTGCGCTGCAGAGCGCGAAGAAGGAATGGAGGGCGGCGTTGCCGGGGTCGGCGCGACCCGGTCGGGTCCAAATGGCCCATCGGCACTCACAGACCGAGCCGCAGGCTGACGCGGCAGCACCTGTGACGCAGGCGGTGGACCCTGAGAAGGAGGCGGGCGTCAGCGTGGCGTGCCAGGCCGGCACAGAGAGAGCGGATGCTGCTTGTCAAAGCAAAGGGGAGAGGGTGGAACAATCTAGCCAGACGGAACAGGAGAGGTCGGAGCAATACAGCCAGACGGAACAGAAGGGAAAGGAAAACTCCTGCCAGACGGAAGAGAAGGACAGCAGAGTGGATGCCGGGAGCCAAACTGAAGAACCACACCAGGCTGCAGGAGATGAGCACTTGCTTCCCGACGGCCGTGGGAAGGCAAAGGAACCCCAGTCCGGTGCCAGCAGAAGCTGTGGGATGACAACACCAGGGCAGCATACTTCCAGCAAGGTACACATCTTGTGTTCAGCGTTCACTAACATCGTGCTCTTTAGCTTTAGTGCAGTTCCAGTATAAAGGTGATTGCTGAAAGTGTCGATATCTGTTACCTTAATGGTTGAAATTAGTTCTTGGCATTTTGTTTGTGGAGTGGCGCACCGTTACTAGGGGAGACACTGGGGGGGGCTGTACCCCTCCTGATTACAATCTGTTAAGCTAACTCACACCTCCAGCTTGGGTCTCCAACCGCACTCCCAGTATTTAGTACAACAGCATTTCGCTGTCGTACTAAATACTGCTGCTGCCAACAACCAAAATTAACTTTGGGGCACACATTCAGCATGGGAATGGGGTGTGAATGGATGCGCTGTAGGCATGAATGGAAAATTTGATGATCGTATTGGAAATAACGATGCGGTTAGGGTTACTGATTGGCAGCCACAGCGAGCAGCAATATACTTTTATGGCTGGATGAGGGCCACGATTCTGATTGTTGGCCACTGGCTCAACTCGTTGGCTCGTGTTACCTCTCAGGACGGGAGGTGGCCAGCGCAAGGCATGGGGCGCGAGGACGGCGGCGCCGGGTCGGCGAGCCCGACCGAGCGCGCACGCTGGGAACGCGAGGCCGACGCGAGGCTGCGCGCGGCGCTGGCCGAGGCTCGGGCGCGCTGGGGCCAGGACAAGCAGCAGGAGCTGACGCGCGCGCTGGCGCAGTGCGAGCATGACCACCGTGCCCTGCTGCAGCAGCACCAGTCTGTGCTCGGTGCGCTCCGCTCGCGGCAGTCACCACTCGCTTCGGACGTCATTCATGTCAAACCATCCTGGGGTAGTTTGTCGTCCTTACCCTGCACCTCCGGTTAGCACAGTTGACTACGTATGGTGCGAAAGAGGTTCAACATACATACTTAGGACCAGAGTATACATACTTACAGACATATAAACACGTTTACCAGTGTAGATATGCTGGTATACGCCGGTATGTTATGCCGGTATGTTATGCCGGCATTGCTCACTGCACTAAAGAGGTGTGTACTGCCACTTTTCATAATGGTTCTTATTCCTAATTTCTGCACGGGGTAAATGGCAATGAACATGGCATGACACAAACAGGTAGTTAGCATATTCTTGGTTCTTTCGGTAAAGTCACGTAGAAGGGAAACAATAAAATAATAAAAACATATACAAACAGAGACAATTTCAACTGAGAAGATGTGTTCTGGCTTAGAAATCATTGGAAGGATTTGATAAACCATTTCGGTTCTTAATTGATTGTTCACGCTTACGGTGGCTTTCAGACCCCATCCATTATTTTTGTCTCCCCCCTCCTCTTTTCCGAACATAGATGAACTCGTCCATCTGAATAACTGCCAAATCGCTCTCCGTGGTGCGAACGTAAAGAAAAACGCCACTTTTTTAAAATTTTCTTGCTGTGGTTTTCACACCTGATGACGATCGCTTGTGTTTCAGTCGAAACGTCGTGAGAATTTTATTGTTTTATATTTTTATTATTTTATTGTTTCCATTATACGTGACTTTACCGAAAGAACCAAGAATATAAATCCCTGCAGTCACGAAAGCTTTAAAGCAAAAGTAGTTAGCACTTCATGTATGTAGCTCCTTTTGGGACCTATAGGTGGTGTAGCTGCGCATGCTAACACTATTTAAAATTCAGCAATCACACCCAGACCTCCTGAGCCCCGCTTTATGGGAAGGTGCTTGTGTTTTGTGTGTGTCTATAGCTACTGGTAAGGTAAAGAGGTCATCGCACCCAAAGCTATTAATGCTCCCACACCTCTTCGCTTCCTTGTGACAGATCCCGCAGATATTGCACAATCACACACTCTGCTCCAGATGTTTTATCGAAGCCCCCAGGGCACCTTGGCTCAGTGAGCGGTCCCTCATTCTCCTCTGCTGCGCCCATTTTCTGGGAATCCCTTCCCTCAGCCTCCCATGCTATCGGCTCCCTGCACCTGTTCAAGTCCAGGCTCAAGACCTTCCTCTTCTCTGCCTGTGGCTGTGTCTCTGTAAACAAAACTATTATACTACTTTTTTATGTTTCCAGGTAAAGTCCACTGAGCTTTTAGCTCTTTTTCAGAAGTGATCCGGCCACACGTGATAGCTGATTGAATTGGCTTATATCATATGCTGGAATTTATAGGTGCAGCCAAATAATCTAAATGCATGTTTCTAAATGTGGAGGGTAAAACTGGAGGTCACAGAAAAAAATCCACATGACCACAGGGAGAGAACACGTGAACTCCAAATATACAGGCAACAGGATCGGGATCGAACCCACGACTTACTGCATACCAGGCGAGGGAGACAACATGCCCACTGTTGCTGTACAGCATCGGGAGATGCAGTCACGTTCCGATGCTTTGTTAATCCACTTTACATTGTCATTAACATCAGACATAGATCTGCTGTTTAACTGTTCCCCTTGGTATTTGCATTCTCAGTAACCTGCCCCCATCCGTTGCAGCCTCCTCTTACGATTACGTCTATTATAACAACACCTCCTATCTGTGTACTCGTACTGTACATGTGTTTGTGTGCCTGTGACCAAATAACTCAGATTGTGCCTGATCTCGAGCCTGAATGAGTACTTGGATGAGCGTTCACCAGGCCCACACAGGTAGCCAGAGAAGGGCAGGAATGTGTGGTTGGGCCACAGAGTGCAGTGCAGCAAAACCCATTGTAATGCACTTATATGCTCTCGCATCAATGCGTCCCACCCACGCAAACCCACAGTAGCACGGTCAAGGGAGTCCTTGATCCAGCAGCGGATTGACAATATGCTGTACGCGTGTGCGCGTGTATACAGGGAGGCTGGAGGAGAAGGTGAAGGCACTTGAGAGAGAAAAGGGGGAACTGCAGACCCACCTGGAGAGGGAGAAGAGCGAATGGCAGGGCAAGCTGGAGCGAGAGAAGGGCGAGCTGCAGGGCAAGCTGGAGCGAGTGTGCAGGGAGCTGCAGAACGCCGACCGCCACTACCGCCTGCAGTTCAAGCAGCTCAAGATGCGCTGGCAGGGTACGGGCGGCCCTGTGACTCGGGTCACATGGGGGGGTGACCCGCTCTCCATGTGACACACTTACCGAGAACGTTTGGGCCTCTGCTCGGCAAACGTGTTAAAATAAAAATGGGTGCTCAAGTGTAGTGAGTTGATGGCCTCTGTCCAGTCACCAATCACTGCACAAAGAGCCATCGCATAAAGCTTTATTCTATACATAAATTGTACAAATTCCAGCTCTGGGATTTAAAAATATTGTTTTGAATGTCATGTGATGACCATTCCACCGCGCGTGCCAGTGTAAATTTGCACTTACACGGTGTTTCCGTGCTCATTGGTGTCTGCTTGTTTGTGCGTGTGTGCGTGCCAATGCTCAGCGGAGCAAGAAGCAGCTGTGCACACCTTGCGCACTGAGAACCATCAGCTGAGGGAGAAGCTGCAAGAAGAGGCGTCGAAGGGGTGAGGGCGATGCTCATTATTTACTCCTCCGACTACATCCACCTGGCCATCCACAATTGCCCAAGGGTAGACACTTATTGAGTGAGCATTGTGATCAAAATGGACACAGGCCTCGTGTGGCGCAGTGGTAAGTGACTCGTCCCTGACTTGTGGACGTCCCGACTCTGGCTCAGGGCTGTAGACACAAGATGAGCACCGCTCTAGAATCACTTGAACAGGATGGTGCAGTGATTTGACGTATTTGCTTTACTTCATTGCTGTACGCAACTATCTGGTTGAACCACCTCAATGTAAAACGATAGTTGTTGCTTTGCAGCAACAGCTTCGTGTTTGCTTTAGTTATTTTGGTGACCCAGGCCACTCTTGCAAATTATTCTCTAACCTGGTCTCTTGACTTCTCGCCTGGTTGAACAAAACCAACTCAAACTTAGACATCAGAGTTGGTGTGAGTGGTGACCGGATTGATGTGGGGCGTTGGTGAGCAAGCATGCGCGTGCAAACGAGTCAAAGTTCCTGACGTCTGTACTGCGCGGGCCGCGTTCTGGTTGCGCAGGGCCGCGAGGGAAGGCCCAGGCATGCACGACTCGTGTCGTGAGGTCATCCAGCGGCTGCACGACCACTATCTGGGTTCACTGGAGCAGCTGCGCAGTGAGTGTCAATGAGCACACACACACACATGCGCGCGCGCACTTACATACATGTGAAGCAAAGTGAGTGTGACTCCCATCAGCCTGGAAAATGTGGAAAAGCAAACAAAGTCTAAGTTAATGTGGGTGTAAAGACAAACATGAGAAATAAAAACTGCCGAACCGTTTTGTAAATTTATTAAAATCAATGGAGTGGCATCGCCTAACACGGCGCGGGTAATGACACGTGAGAACCCACAGCCTGAAAGTTAGCGCCTGGGTTATTTTTACGACCGCTTTCGGATAACGTTTATTTTGTATTCGTGCACCTTAAGCGGCCGCGTTTGTTTTCTAGCCTGTACATTTTTTAGTCGTGCTCACAGCTTGGACGTCGCGTCGTCTTGTCTGCGCTCTTGATGACGCGTTGTCGTGTCCGCGCTGTGAGGCCGTCTTGTTGTGTCTACGCTGTAATGTTGGAACTCGCCGTTGTGTGACCATTGTCGGCGGGCAGGCAGCGTACTGCAGCACGCGCGGGACGGCCGGGACCGCGCCGCACGGCTCGTGCGCACCGAGGTGCGGCGGGAGCGAGCGCGCCTGGTGCGAGCGCTGCACGACGGCTGCCCCGACGGCGCGGCGGTGGCGGCGGCGCTGGCAGCGGCGACGGAGCGCTTGTGGGACGGGCGCGAGAGCCCCGGGTAGGACGCGTACGCGGGCGTCGTCCACGACGCTTCGCAATTCTTACCGGTGTCGTCCCCGCTCATGTGGGGTCTGCCTTCCTGTTTTTCTGTCTACACGCGCTCGCATCCTGGGCTATCATGTCAACGTCCACTCAACAGTCCTTCAAATGCCGGTTCATCGCTTCGAACCCCTCCTTTCTCGGCCTCCCTCTCGAGTTTCCGGTGCTTCCATGTCCATCACCTTCCTGAGGCATTGACCACTGGTTGGTGGCGGTGACAATGTAGAGTCTGCGAGACGCACGTGAATACGTGCGCGCACATTCACGCACTCACGCCTCTACACCCCCGCTCGTACACACACTCATGCGCTAACGCACACACACACACAAACATCACGCTAAATATGTTTGAATCGCTTAAATTAAACCCGCTGGTTCGTCACATTCACTTTCATAAACGTCTTCTGCCCATGGTCACGCTCAGGCTTATGGTCCCACTGGCCCAGAAGATTGATGGGTCCAGGCACTCAGGTGCCTGGCGTTTCATTCGTCACGTCGCTGCTCTCTTGCTCGAGTGACCGCTGTGGACCTTCACATTTCTTGCGGTGTCGTTCTGTGCACCTCTTTCTGTGCTGAAATTCATCAAATTCACCACATGAGTGATTTTGAAAAATAAACTAGGAACTGGATGAAATATTAAGCAGGTCACGGACACACTTTCGTCCGTGACGGTATTAACTACATCGCCTGCGGAAGTGGGTGGGGGGGGAGAGTGGCCGTGACGGCTGACAGTGACCAATGTTTGTTCCCCGCTGCGGTTTCCTGCAGGCAGAGCTGCAGCTCTTCCGGCGGAACGAGCGGCGCTGGTGCTGCCTCTGATGCTGCTGCTGCTGCCTCTGATGCTGCTGCTGCGGCCACCGCAGCGTGGGGGGTTGCCCCACCTCGACCTGCCGATGTCACCCTCACACAGAGCGCGGGTACACGCTGCTCTCAAAGCAGATGGTTCAGTTAAATTGTCACTTATATTGTGGCCACATGATGAAGTGTCAGTGCCATCCTCCTCTGCGCGTTATCTACAGCAAACGTCTCAAAGCGCTAATCCAGACATGCACACGCGCGCATATGTGCACGATATGCACCAATGCAGACGCGAGTGATTTGAAAAGCAATAAACCAATACACTAATTGTGAAACTACCAGAAACGTGATCAGAAGATAATATGAAAATATATAAAAATATAATGAATGAGGAAGACAATGGTCTGTGAATTATTATCAAAGGATAGGTAGCAAACCTGGACAGCAAGGCTTGGTTACTTCGTTGTTTTAAAGGCCGGCAGGAAATTGTCCCTTCCCATCATGTGCGCTGTGGAGTTTACTCCCTCGTGTGGAGGTAATGATATGAAGGCAGCCATGCGTGGTAGTACACCCCTGGGGCAGGGTGGGTGGACCACACAAATCAGTATTGTTTGTGTGACCCCCAACCTGCAGGTCAGCACACAAATTAGGTTGCTGATGTGGGAGTGTTGTCCACACTCTCTGCTTTCCTCCCACATACTCGTTACCTCAATAAAGAGTTTACAAACTTCCCAAGTCAGACCATCCTTTAAATAATATATGTGAATTATGAAAACTGTGGCTTATTAGTGGACGATTGTTATGTTCATGCTGCTATATATGAACCTCATGTTTTCCATTGTTAAAGTGAAGAGACTGGCCCCAAACCACGGGAATGTGGAATCTCCACCGTTGGCCAAGGCTCATCAGCAAAGATGAGAACCTGTCCATTATCAGTGTAAGCGTCGAAGCGCGTTGACTTCCTGTTCGTGAAGTGCTGTCTCCATGTTCCGCATGCAGAAAGGGAAAACTCGAGCCAGCAAGCAAAGGCCAATTTGCCGGTGCTGGGTGCCACTGGCGGCGGTGGGTGGGAGGACCGGACAGGAGACTTCAACCGAGGTGGAGCGTGCGGGGACGAGAGGAGCGCTTGGAGCGGCGTCGATCCCCGGGGCCCACAGCCAGGGCATGGGCAATACCGGCAGCGTGGCGGCGGTGGTGTCGGAGGTGACGACGTTGACTCGTGGCTCAGACAGCGGTCACTGCACGGCCTCGACCTGCAACTCAACAAGGGGCAGGGGAGTGGGGAGCTGCCCTCGCCATCGCTTCTTCCCGATAAGCCCACCTCACGTGGACCGGCCAGTTTTCCTACAAGGCTGCTAAACAATCATTGTGCCACGAGCAAACCTAACGGCCTCGGTGCCGTCAAGGCGGTGCGGTTTTACTCGTCCGACGGTTTTCGAGGTCCAAGCGAAGGAGATTTTCCCAGTAAAGGGGAAGCGCCGGTTGGCCCCGTGCTCTCGCCGCGCCCCCTCCGAGATGCCACGCCGTCGGAGCGAGCGCCCGGCACAAGCGCCCGGTGTCGGCTCGGGTCCCCGGCTCCGGGCGGCGCATCCCCGCACGCCCAGCGTCGCCCGCGTGTCGCGACGGCGCCGCGTTCCTCCTCCTGCGGCCCAAGCAGGGCGCGTTCGCCGGGCTTGCGCGAGACGCCCGTGCGGGACGGGGCGCCGGCGTCACGGGCGCCGGCGTCGCGGGCGCCGGGGCCTAAGGTCGCAGGGGTCCGCGGGGCGCGCGGCGCCGCCGCCGTCACGGACTTGTCGGACTCGGGCGGCGGCTCGCGGCCCTCGAGCGACGGCAATTGGCCCGAGCAGTGACGAGCGCCGCGCCAGCAGCCGGGCGCTGTGCCACGCGGGCGTAACGCCGTCCAGGGGATGTCCACATCGATGGCTTTCAGAGAGGCAGCGTGTAACAGACCCCCCGTGGACTGCCCATGGACTGTCACTGATGCCAGTGCCCTTATTAACGCCATTACTCTGGTCGTTAACAGCGTTAGCTCTGGTGCCCTGGTCGTGAACATTGGTATTAACTTTATGGATGTTGTTCACGTTTGTGCCATAATCGTTCTATTTGTTCCTTTAGTTTTTAACGCAGGTGATATAACCATACATTTTGAAGCAGTAATATCAATGCCATAACTTTAACGTGAGCATAATTGGAAACATAACATTTTACCTTGGTGTTATGGTCTGGTCGAGGTCGGGTTTATGCGAAAGTTCGACCTCGGGCTAGAATGTGTGCTGCAAACGCAGGCCACGTTGCGGTCGTTGGTATTGGCGGTGTGCTGTGGTTGACTGCCATATAGCGCTGTTGATGGACGTGTCGGTCCGTCCAGGAGTGAGTGGTGCTGTGCATTGTATTCACTGCATGCTATTTTGTTCACCCCTGCCAAGGTTAAACGTCTAAATGTGAAGTACGCGGAGTGCTCGGTTCCACATGAGCACAGGGAGGTGTCTGGGATGAATTTTAAACTCCCAGAGTTGGTGTGTGTGTGACTGTAGCCCTGTGTGCTTTGTCACTTGTGTTTTTTACGGCGTGTTTTGCGGTGGTTTTTGTGGAATAACTTATCGAAGATGTAATTAAAATCACTCAGTACTGTACATGTAAATTCATATATATTTTTAATAATATATTTCAAATTAAACTTTGTATGTTTAAACGTGCAACACATTTCTTTTTCAATAGTATTCAGCCAGCGTGTGAAACAAGTTCATGTCTGAATGCACTTGCACAACAGCGTGCATCGAGGAAGCGTGCTGCTAGATGAAAATGTAGCCGAGTTGTGTCCTGATGTCCTGGTAGCTGAAAACTTGGGAAACCTAAAGATCTGCTCGAGTTGCCACTGTTTCAAGGACGAAGCGTGCTGGAGCTGAGCCTGGGTGGTAGGGAGGAAGAAATCGCTGTTGGCAAGCACGACCCAGACCTCTTGCCGTTGAACAGAAGTTACAAAATATTTCACGATATCTGCCGTAAAAGCATCGAACGCGCGGGAGATAACCTTGTGGAGCGCAGAACTGTTTTGCAAAGCGGGTGAATGTGCACGATCGTTAAAAACACGAACGCAGCTATCGGTTGGCCGAGTACCAAAATATATTTGCATACTGTTCGAGACGCGGATTGTTTATGGTATCCAGGTCGCACGGGCTCAACGAACACACGGGAGCCAAAACAAACACGTGCGTGTGTGCGCCTGCGTGCGTGCGTGCGTGAGGTGCTGGGAAGAGCTCCGTGCTGCGTAACGGCAACTGAAGGCCACATAGGTGTGTCCAGCGGCGTGACCTCACGCTACCCCCGCCACAGTCACGGACTCGTGGGAACTCGTCGTTACCTCACACCCGTCTTCGTCGAGTCCTCTCGGCTAAATACGAATCGGGCAATGGCGCTTCCTCACGCACGATAGAGATGCCGTCACGATGGGCCATTGCCCGAAATGTCTCCATATATATTTCTCCGTTTAGTGCGGTGTTATTTATGAATGTGTTCGGTTTTTGTTTAATCCGCCTAGTGGTTCAGCAGTAGAGCGAATGACTAGTGTGTTGTTGTTGAACTTCTTTCGCAACGTATGTAGCCAACCGTGTTAATTGGAGAGTCTGAAGTTTCATGTCTCTGGGGGGTGGATTGAGCCCATCATCCCTCCAGAGCAGATCAAAGGAGACCGAGAGGAAGGAGACGAATGACGTTGCAACAAGGAAGGACGTGCGGACATGAAGAGAGCAGCGGAAGACAGACAACACTGACGACGACGAGGAGGTGCTCGTGGGATGCTGCCGTACTTAGTTGGGTAGAATCACGATCGCTATGTTGCCCATGCGAGAGGAGGCTTTACCGTTTGAGAAACGCGCCACGTTGGTGATAGCCTTGCATTGAAAGAACGGCACTGCCAAAATTACTCAATTGTAATGTTTAATGTCCAAGCCCAAATCTCAAGTTTGTAAGGAACTGCTAAATAAATCACATTCGTAAAATGAATAACATTCAAGAGTAGCCGTGCATCACAGGTGGCCTGCCCCTGCATAAAACACGCCACCACATCTGGTTAAATCGAGAGCACCGGAGACTCGCACTGCGTTGTCTGAGGTCGTCGCAGGGTCACGTTGAGAATCGCTCGTGGCGAGAGATCTCGAACCTCGGTGGCTCCTGGCTGTGTTTGGGATCCAGTTGAGATGAAGCGATGCGCTTCACTGCGCTGATAATCACCAGCTGTTTGTACATCCCTGCATCCTTATCTTGTTTTACGGGTGGAGTCGGTTTACTGCCAAATTGGGGGGCGGTGTTAGATGGGGGAGGGGATGGATGGATGTATGAGACGAGGACGCGGTGTTGTCTGGGCGTCGTGTGTACGGGTTGGCAGTGGACTTCACGTGTTTACTGCACTTGGCCGCTGCACCTGGCATCGTGTTGACCCACGACAAAGTCCACGTGAGCCCCGCCACGGGTTACAAGTTCACCCCCCCGCCCCCCTCCGTGTGGCCACCATCGCCGTGGTGGAGCAGGCGCCGAGGCTCGCCCGTTAAGTTTGCGCTCAGCCCGTTGCAGCAAAACGGTTGCAGGCGACCAAATGCAACCCGCGAGCTCGCAGGCCAGGCTCGTGCTACGCAACACGAGAGCTTCTTAATGAGAGCAACGAGGCGAGAATCCAGCAACTGGGTCAATTAATGCTCGTTCGAGAATAGTGGCCGTCTTTGTTGTGCTAGAGGCTTGGCGTTCGGATTAGGGCCGTGCTTGTATTTAGCCTGAGGTTTATTGAGTTTTAAATAAAACAACATTGTGGTAGGCTTTGTCAAGCGCTGGGGGAAGAGCTTCGTGTTTTGCCTCGGTTTATATAAAATATCAGGGTTTGCACTTGGTTAAATCGTTCCGATGTGTCGGTACCACGATTGCGCGAGTATCTTGTGTACGTAATGCTGTCCTAATGACCTCGCTAGTTTCGCCATGTCACGGGCCAGGAGGCCACTGGTCCAGCCTAATGGGGTGGTGCAAGGTCATGGGCATGGAGATAACGGCTCGCCACTGTCATGAGAAGCAACAGCCGAGGGCAACCTTCGGCCGCACGCACAGCCTTAGATAACGGGGTTAATCTTTAGCCCTTGCCTACAAGTCTAATTGCAGAACGCATCGCGCTTGCGGTGGAACTGCAATTCTAACTGCCCCGACGTTGAGGTGTAAATACCTGCGACTCCCTTCGGCCGCTTAAGACGCTGTCACTGCGCTCCCGATCCTTGACCGCGCCCTGGAGTAATGGGGGACTTTGGTGCTAAAACGTTCAAATGTTACCCCGCCAGATACGCTTGAACGTGAATCTGCTTGGCAATAATTAGAGTATGTGCTGGGCTAGCGATATGGAGGAGGCCAGGTGATCAGCTTATGTTAACACTCGCCCTACCTAATTACATTGTTAAAACAAATTTATTCCAGCATGTCAGGCGTTAATCACAGCAGCTGTGTGACATCAGATATATTCCAGCATGTCAGGCGTTAATCAGAGCAGCTGTGTGACATCAGATATATTCCAGCATGTCAGGCGTTAATCAGAGCAGCTGTGTGACATCAGATATATTCCAGCATGTTAGGCGTTAATCACAGCAGCTGTGACATCAAATATATTCCAGCATGTCAGGCATTAATCACAGCAGCTGTGACATCAGATATATTCCAGCATGTCAGGCGTTAATCACAGCAGCTGTGTGACATCAAATATATTCCAGCATGTCAGGCGTTAATCAGAGCAGCTATCAGATAACACGTTAATGAGCTTTTAATTTATTTTCAGGTTTGAAAGGAAAATCGTGTGTGTGTGCATCGTTAATTTAACACAGTTGAAACTAAAGTACGTGGATTGGTAACGCGTGCCGCTATCTTCATCTGGGCAAAACCCACTCTCGCAATAGCACGGCACTTATTTACACGAAAATGTATCCAAAATAAAAGTACAATTACCATTTCACATCAAGTTTTTACAAAATATATATATTTAAAGATTGCATCAATACAAACAGTTATTGTTGTCTGTTATATATCACACGAAGCATTCGTCCCCACTGTGTAGCTGCATAAATAAAGCTGAATCGTCACAAAGTCGCCATTCATAATAATTAGAACATTCATGATTGGGGTCCCGATGATTCCGGCTCCGGGTGGTGGTTAAGTTCACCTGGTGAGCTCCACGTTACACTCCTACAGGTTCACCTGGTGAGCTCCACGTTACACTCCTACAGGTTCACCTGGTGAGCTCCACGTTACACTCCTACAGGTTCACCTGGTGAGCTCCACGTTACACTCCTACAGGTTCACCTGGTGAGCTCCACTCCTACAGGTTCACCTGGCGGACTGGGTGAACGCCCTACGTGGCCGGGTACACGTGCACCTAGGTCATCTCCACGTGCACAAGTGGCTCCCTGTCCGTACCCCGTATTGATTTAAAGATTCTGTTGCTGGTATTCAAGGCCTTAAATGGACTTCCTTCTCCGTACATTCATGACCTCCGGCCAAATATTCCATCAAGATCTTTAATATCCTCGGATTGTGCATTGCTCGCTGTCACCACGGTCTCGGCGTCACACTTGGGGGTGGTGACAGCGGCGGCTTTGCAATTGCGAGGCCTAAACTCTGGGACTCGTTGCCCTTCCGAGGTGACGACTTCCGAGACATCTTTAAATCTCGACTAAAAACGCATCTATTTAAAATACATTTCTCTCTTTACTTATTTTCAACCGTCTTTCTCAATTCTTCTTTGCTTTGTTGTTAAACTATTTTCCGCCTTGCCATGCATAGCGCCCTGAGAACGATTGAATGTAAATAATGATTAATTCTCCCTTATATAAGAATAGGGTTTTCCCCTTTTTTCTGGCAACAAAACTGAAACCTTTTTACAAGGATTCATCTCTGCATTAACCACAATACCTGCAGTCAAAATGCAAACAAAAAACATACTATGATAATATATGCATTGTCCTTGAAACTGATTGGTCCACACCAAGGGACGGAAAAACCCTATTCTTATATTTTGGTACTGGCAATGGAGGTCTAATGATAATTCTCCCTTAGTTTGCCATGCAACTCCGTGCACGTTGAGCACGGATTTGCAAGGCAAACGGGCGGCCTACGCGACGAGTCGTCACTGGTGACCTTGGGCACGGCCCGGCAAGCCGCCTATGCCTGCTACTCCGTCTTCACTGTGACGTAGCTGCCCTTGCTGTGGTTGTTCTCGTCGGACACCAGCGGCTCCAGCACTATTGCGGGCAGCTCCGGCGGGGCGAGGTGATGCAGGTCCACGAATAATATGTAGCACAGGGCACCCAGCGGGCCCCCCATGAGGGGGGCAATGATGGGGACCCACCACCAGTGGGGGCCCACCCTGCACGGCGCACGCAGACATGAAACGTTGGAATCGGTGGGGCGCAGTAATTGAAGTACACAGAGGTCTCATAATCCGCTGTGAGATGCTTAACCAGAGTGGGATGGGAGGTAGCTTTTAGCGGTAGAGCAGGTAGGTAGGTTGCTGAGGTGTTTTTATCACGGGTTTTTGAGGGATATTCCCCATATATTTGTAGGCGATGCTAAGCACCAATCGTGACCCTCAAAAATAGTTAAAATCCTCGTATGGGGTTGACAACCCATCGACTCAAGGGTCACAGTCGTTCCATGGGGGATTCTGGCCCCGTGCAACGAGAAAGTGGAATTCCCATCGTTGGCGCAAGGTTTCTCTGACGGAGATGCGCACCGCCACGTGTCCACAGTGAGCAGGGACGTTGTTTTGTCGGACTGTGACATGGGCAGCGGTCAACTCTTAAACCCAAATAGAAACTAAAGACACTCGGTCACCCCGCTCAGCATCTGCCTGCTTCACGTCTCCTCATCCCCAGCGCGCGATCGCCCGCAGCCGTGCGGCCCCCCCACGTACGTGAACACTTCGTGCGGCCCCCCCACGTACGTCAACACTTCGTGCGGCCCCCCCACGTACGTGAACACTTCTCTGCCGTATCCCGCCATGGCAGTGAAGAGGCGGGGGCCGAAGTCTCGCGCGGGGTTGATGGCACACCCGGAGTTGAAGGCCATGGAGAGGCTGATGCCGAACACCGCCAGGCCGATGAGTAGCGGCTCCAGGCCGCGCGGCACGGCGTTGTTCTTGGAGTCGAGGAGCGCCATGATGCACAGCAGCAGCGCCGCCGTGCCCAGCAACTGCGCGGGGTGGGGGGGTTACCGACGAGGACAGAGCGACGGACAAGTCACTCTCGTTGAGGGCTTCTGCATTGCCAGCCACCTACCCGCCTGCCCTGCTAGTCACATTCCAACCCACCAACCCTTCCGCTTACCTACCAACCCACTGACTCGCCTGCTCTGCCCAACTTTCCTACCCACCTACCTGACCCACCTATCCACTGGCCTCACTCACCGACTCACGTATCTACCCACCTACCTGTTCCCCAACCTACCTTCTATCACGGTCAGAGTCCCGTCCGTCTGTACAGTAAACGACCAAAGCCAAGAAGGAACGCAATCGAGGATCTCTGATGTAATCAATCAACTGAATGAAAACGTCACCCTCTAGCCACGTTTCTACTCCAGTCGAAGAGACTCGCAAGGAACCCAATGAGTCTCCTGCAGACGGCGAGAGGACAACACCGGCTCTCTATTTGACTCGTGTCGTCTTGGTGACCCGGGGTCACTCTCGCAGCTGAGACTCCATCCCTGGTCTCTTGAGCTCTCACCTGGCCACGCAGACTCGACCCGCCAGCCGCGCCCTCACCTGGTCAAAGAAGCCACCGGCGATGGACAGGTGTTCAGAGGGATAGGTGGCGAAGATTGCGGCCGTGGCGCCGGGGCCGGTCACCGTCAGGTTCCCACCGTTGAACGCCATGAGGGCCTCTGTGGAGGAACGGGGGGGGGGGGGGGTTGGGAGTGAGCCAGCTGTGCGTGGAGGGCTGGCGATCTAGCGGGCAATGGTTGCGTGAATCACGCAAAGTTGTGAGACTCCCCGAACCCGCTGGGCTGTTAGGTGACCAGAAGTGGTGTCTCCTCCCCATAGAGAGCTGCATACGTGGCCGGCCATATTATGAAGATATCTCCCAAGGGTAGCAGTTATCACCTAAAAAAAAACATCTCGATGCTAAATGGAAAACCGGGTGCAGGACATTTCAGGCTGTAGGATTGTACACCACATTTCCACGATACCACTTAGATTAACTCGCACCCCCCCCCCCCCCCCCCCCCGTCATGGGAACGTGTAATTAGCACCACTGGCTCAGGGCTGTAAACAGGAGATGAGCACCGCCTCACATAGCTGGGGTTCTGTTCGGGTTTGCTGTGGATGCGTGCCGCCTGTGCAAGCCCCCGAGTGCTGGAGAATTTTCCACAGGTCCAGAAGCAACGTCGTCTTGGGACTCTTCTCGGGATGTTTCAAATGCTTCTTGCCACCGGGACACGGCGGCAATGTTGAATGTTTGGGGCACGGAAACACGGATACTCTCTCGGAGTCCTCGATTCCCTTGGCTGTTGTTGTGGTGGTTGTTGTTGTGGTGGTGGTTGTTGTTGTTGTTACCGTAGTAGAGGCCGTAGACGGTGGCAGCTGCCAAAAACGAGCCGAGGAACTGAGCGAGGCAGAACGCGGGGAGCTTCCTCCAGGGTAAGCGGCCGAGCAGCGACATGGAGAGCGAAACGGCGGGGTTCAGGTGCGCACCTGGCAGCCAGCACACACCACCAGCACCCCATCACTACACCATCACATCACCATCACACCATGAGCACAATCACGACATCACCATCAAAATATCAACACCATCACAATCACGATGTTACCATCATCATTCCACGATCACAACATCACCATCAGGCACGAGTGGAGAGCGATAGTGCAAGCGTGCACCAGCCAGCACATGTCACCAACATCACAACATCAGCACCACCACCACCATCATCATCACCACTATCAATCATTATACACCGACACCATCACAACATTATCACCACAACACCATCACACCAACACCATCCCCACCATAACACAGCTATCACCCCATCACCAGTATTCTACACACCACCAACCACACCATGAGTACACCATTGCAGCCTATGACTGTCTCACAACACTCACTACCACACGATCACGCAATGGCCATTGTACACAGACAGAGGTCCCCGTGTCACCATCAACAGACGCTTGTGACAATTCCTGTTTCCCAGCGCCTATGGAAGCCGGCAGGGCACATGAGGAGGTGATGTGAAAAACACAATGCCCGGCCGCCTTTGTCTCCCCATTGCTGATTTTATACACCGCAACAGGTATTTATTTAAGGCTGAGTCGATCTATGGGAGGTCCGAGAACGGTTCAAATAATTCCAACTCCGACTGGACATCTGTGAAAAAGAGCTTATTAGCTCATCAGATTCCTCCTCCAGGATAAATAAACATTCCGATTCTGATGCTGAACTCGGGTTGCCGAGTTCGTAGCGCAGTGCGCTTACCACTCCACCCTTAGACATCGTCTCTCACACCGTCTCTCACACACACACAGTAATACACATGAGCATAGACACACTAAGAATAGCAGGTGAAAAAAAGCTACAGAATAACACATTGTGTGCATGTGCATCAGAATGTCCGTGTGTCTGTTTTTCAAGTCTGTCTCTCTTTATGTATGCATGTTTTTGAACCTGTGTCTATATTGTGTATATGCATGCGTGTGTGTGAATTTACGTCTTGCGTCTGTGTGCTTGTGCATAAGGATATGTAGCTAAGTGTCTGTTTGTCTCTGCGATTTGTGTCTCTCTCTTTGTGTCTGTATATCTGCGTGTATATGTCCGTGCGTTTTTGTATCTGTGTGCATGTCTCTGTGTGTGTCTGCTTCTGTGCTTGTGTATCTGCGTCTGTGTGTCTTTCTGAAAGCAGAGATATCCTCTGCGGGGCATACCACTTGCCCATCTCATTGCCCCGTGCCGTGCCCCGTGCCGTGCCCCGTGCCGTGCCCCCCACCCCGCTCACCCGAGATCCCCCAGGCGAGGTATGCCCCCATGACCACCCCGAAGGCGAAGGCGAAGTTGATGCCAAGAGTCTGCCCGGCGGAGTGGCGGCTCAGATGCACCTGGGCCACTGAACCGCAGCCGAACAGCTGACAGGGCGCACCACAGCACACAGCATACACAGGCAAGTGCCGTTAGCGAGCAGCTACCCAGGGATCGGAGAAGCTGATGATGATGATGAGGATGGTTCTGCGAGCTTCGCCGATTCTCTCTCCGGCACGCGAGGCACGTCGTGTGGGCAGCATCGTGACCGGCCGCCTTAGTCGTGTCAATATATGCACACTCCACGAGGTTCGAAATTAAGGCCGAGTAGACCTAGGGGAGGCTGAGTGCACGTTTTAAATATAATTTGCCATCCTATGATGGTAGCTGTGGCCGGGTTAGTAGAGCAGTACCCAACCACTGAGACACCGCTATCTACAAACTGACACATGCACACACATTCACACTCTCACGCAAACACTTAAACATAAAACGCACAGACGCAATGCACAGACACAAACACAAAACACACGGACACATTCCACGAACACAGATAATTTTGCTTAAACATCGACACATTGTACGCACGATGATCCACGTGGCACTGGATGACGATGATGATGATAATGATAATAATGGTGATTATGATGAAGATGGAGCGACGTCGACTCACGATTAGAATAAAGACGCCGATGAACTCCGCGAGAGCTTCTCGCAACACGGGATTGGACACTTTGACCCGCGACAGGCGGGAGTAGAGCGGCCCTGGGTAGCCCATGGCTCTCGCCGTCTCGCCGGTGGGGGGAAGAGAGGCGCGCGGGGATGGAGTCGCACAGTCCTCATCCCGGCCCTGGGATCGGAACGCCTCTCCCCGAGCGCACTTTGGACGGGGTTGGCCCACAGGTGGGGGAGGTGGGTGGGTGGGGGACACGGGGAGTGATGTGGGGGGGTGGGGACACGGGGAGTGATGTGGGGGGGGTGGGGGCACGGGGAGTGATGTGGGGGGGTGGGGAGACGTGCGATGCCTGGGTAATGCCCCCACGGCATGGCAAGACGGCTCGGCGCCGGCCATGGGCAACTTTCACAACATCACGACTCTGCTGGCGAAGCTGGGGGCCTTTTAACTCTGTTATGATCACAGTGTGATCGTGCTGGTGTTGATCTTTATTCTGAATGTTCTGTCCCATCGTAGTATATCTCCCCTTTGTTTCATTAACATGTTATCTGAATCTATAGCTGTCATATAGTTGCCATCTCTTTGGAAGCTCTCCCTGTCTGTCTTTCATCTCTCCGGAAACCGTCCCCCTCCTCCTGTATATCTCCTGAATTCACGTCTCGCTCTCTCATCTTTTTTCAATACCATGTCTCATCTCGCTTTTCCTTCGCTTCTGAATAAATGTGTCTCCTATCTCTCTCATAGGCGCTCGTCAATACATATCTATATTATCCATCTCTCTGGACTACAAATCTCTCTCGTGACTGGTCTGAATGCCTATCTCTCCCCAGTCATCTCTCCTGTAAATGTGAATACATCTGTGACATATCTCGGAGTTCTTGTTTACGTGCCTCATTACATCTCCCCTATCTCCGATGAATGCGCACATTGATGCGTGGGGAGGGCAAAGTATAATTGCTGCCAGAAGTGGGAAGAACGTGCGAGGGATTGGGGGTGCGAGATGAGTCTGGGGGTGAGACAGAGCGCGTGGGAGTCGCGGGCAGGCAGCAGCAGCCTCTCCCGTGGAAGTGTATTCTATTGTAACCATATGGGAGCCAGCCGAGACGAAAGGGAGACCCTGGGGGTCATGAAACAAACACGGTTTAAACAACAACAACAACAGCAGCAGCAGCACAAGGTTGAAATATAAAGGGGGGCGGTGACACGACCCAGCGGTAGCGAGTTCGCATCGTGGCGGCCCTGACGAGTACCGCGTTGAGTATTCACCGTAAACAAATACTCGTACCGTTCGAGCCGCCTATCTCACGAGCCGACGTTAAAGATCCCGTGGCGTCATTCACAAGAGTTGCCCATTCTGTGCTCGCGTCATAGTTTAAAAAATAAATTATCTCTCTCTCCAAATTGATCAAAATTATACCGCAAATTACGTTTGGAAACACAGAGAGAGAGAGAGCGAGCAGCATTCATCGGCCCGATTGTGACAACTTGGCAGGACACTCCGGAAAGAGTCTTGAGACTCGGTGAGGCGCTCCTGGGTAAACAAGCGGAAAATAATACTGGTAGGGACCTCCTGATTACACCACCAGCCCACAGGGGATTATTGTGTCCGTCCGTCCGTCGTGCATCCAAAAATGGGAGGGGTGGGGCTGGGTGGAGAGGGGAAGGCAGGGAGGGGAGGGTGGAGAGGGGCTGGGTGGGGAGGGTGGGGCTGGGTGGGGGGTGAGAGGGGTGGGGCTGGGTGGGGAGGGGCTGGTCACCCCGTGGTGCCCTTATAAAACTCAACGTTTAACCTACTCACGCCGGCTTGTGCCCGCCCTCACAGTCGGGCATATTTGCGGAATACACCACGCCGCCGTTGACCCTGGCCATTGACCGAGCAACCCAACGTTCCTACCAACTCCCTCCGCAGGAATGTGTTTATATTGAATTTAGCAAGAGTCTTGGGGCTATACGATCCTGTTGAATCACACCCAACTCCAGATGCAATACAACTTCAACCTGATTGACAAATGGAGCGTGCGCATAGCGTCTGGCACCAGCAAACGCGTATCCTGTGAGTGAATACCATTACGAGCCAGTATGAATATAGAACGACGACCGTGAGTAATTTCTAGCCCAGGGAAACACCCTCCTCGACAGTCTGGCCACGGCCACGCGAATGCACAAGACCGGAGTTACTTCGCGAAGTTGTTCTTTCGTCTCCGCCGTTGGAGCGACGTCGTCGATGTCTCAGTCCCTGAGCCGCGCCGTGCCACGACTCCCGGCTGGCCAAGTCGGTGATGACCACGTGCAGAAGATGCACTGCACGCAGCAGCGTAGGCCTCCGTGCAAAGTGGATCTCTCACAATCGCCGAGGAACCACAGAGAGAGCCGGCGCTCTCAACAATTGCCCAAGCTCTGCAGTCCTCTATATACTACAACGATGTTTTCGGCCAATTAATGAGTGTTTGTACGTGATGCTCAGTAGCCAAGTGTATCTGTATCCTCGAGTTGAACTCTACCAACCGCGAGCCCTAGGAGCATCTGGATGCCTTGTTTTGTTTCCATATGGGATCCGATTGTGAGTGAAAGAGTGGGAACTGAGCGGTAGTGTAGCGTCAACCCCAGTGACGACTATTTGCATCGGTCCTGGGCCTCCCCTCGGTCGGCTCAGCCTCAAATTAGTGCAGTGTGTAAACATCGCCACTGGGGAGACAAAGGCAGCCGGGCGTGGTGTTGGCCACCCACCCCCTCGTGTGCCGTGTCGGCCTTCACAGGTCCTCGCTAACAGCACCTGTCCCAACAATCTGTAAAGGCTATACGGGGATCTTTGTCTTTGAGCGTGTGTGCAAGCGTGTGTGCAAGCGTGTGTGCAAGCGTGTGTGCAAGCGTGTGTGCAAGCGTGTGTGCAAGCGTGTGTGCAAGCGTGTGTGCAAGCGTGTGTGCAAGCGTGGCCGGGAGTCAGAGCCATTCCCTGTACACCTTGGGGTGCGACAGGGATGTCCTCTGGCTCCCACATTATTTAACATCTATTTTGACCACGTAGTTCGTGAAGCCTTCAATAGCTGTACCAGAGGAATCTCCATTTGGTACAGATACAATGGGAGGCTGATCGATGCCCGGGTGCGGTCAAGGGATGGCTTCCTATTGCTCAATCACATTATGTATGCCGATGATCTGGTAATTGCTGCTCACTCAGAGGAAAAGTTGGAGGCGCTGCTGCTGAACCTGGAGCTTGCCTTACCATCAGCCCCACCAAAACTAAGCACCTGCCTGGGTATTTTGTACCATCGGACACTCCATCCCCACAACTCCCAATTGGTGATAGGAGAGTTTCCCATTCCTTGGCAGTGTACTTATGACCGGCTCCGGTTTAACAGCAGAGGTCTCACTCCGAATCAGTCGAGCGGCATTATCTTTTCATCGGTTGCGTAATGCTGTGTGGAAGCTACCTGGTCTATCACTCCACACGAAGCTTCAGGTCTTTTCAGCCACGGTCATTCCCTCCCTTCTCTACGCTTGCGAAACGTGGACCCCCCTAATGGAACATCTTCACCGGTTAGAAACATTTAGGCTGGCCTGCCTACGATCAATCCTGGGTTTAACCAGGCTGGATTGTGTGAGGAGCTCACAAATCCTTGAAAGATGTGTACAAAGTCCCATCGGTGAGCTCCTCCGGGAGGCAAGGCTGCGTTGGCTGGGTCATGTAGCCCGCATGCCCAGCCACCGCATGCCGAAACAGCTTTTGTTCGGTCGGATCGAGGGGGCTTAACGGGCACGGCACGGGCTAGAGAAGAGATGGAATGATGTGGTACAGGAGGATGTGGAGCTGAGTGGACTTGCCGATGACTGGTACCAGCGGTGCCAAGATCGGCCTCTGTGGAGGAGGCTCGTGAAGGACGCTGCTGGGCATTTGGAGGCAGTCGCCCTCCAACAACAACGGAGGGTGGAGGAGCGACGCTCACAACAACGAGCAGAGCGCCGGGTGGCTAAAGCACAGCAAGTTGGCACAGTAGGGGGCAAGGTGGTGCATCAGCCAGTCGTCTCAGTCAGTCGTCTCAGTCAGTCGACCTGTGGCATCTGCTGGGTCTGCCCCGTGACACCCTGCCAGCGGGCGTTCGACACTTCACGTGGCCTCAAGGTGCACATAGCCTGGCACAAGCGTCGTGGTGACGTCACTTAGTGGCGAATGGCGGTTGTTGTTGTTGTTGTTGCAAGCGTGTGTGTACGTGCATCTCTATGCTCTCTGGTTCTTTCGGTAAAGTCACGTAGATAGAAACAATCATAAAAGAACACGACGTTTCGGTTGCAACACAAGCGTCCGTCTTCAGGTGAGAAATAATTATCTGCTGTTGTGGCTTTATATAGGCACGGGAGGGGGGGGGGAAGGAGGATTGTGTACGTGTGTCTCGTTCAGTCAACACAGACGAACCCCGGCACTGGCACTACAAACTCATCAGTTATCTTAACGAAAACAGAAAACCCATCCTCATCACCACGGCGCTTATGCACACAATCATTTATTTAACAAAAGTCGAATTTATCCAGTTAAAAGAAAATATACACTCTGGAAATTGCGATAATACAAACAATACATTCTCGTCGTACGGGGGCTGTATGTTTTTTTGCGATGCGCCTACAATGTGCATTTAAATAGAGCCCTAAATCTGGACAAATTCGTGATTCTACAATGACAGCGCTTGCGCTTGGGTGCGGTGACCTCGTCTACTCATGGGGCCCCAGCGAATCTCGACGGGGACACCAGTGGGCGGTTGGTGAAAACACCCGGGGTGGAATATTTCCACGTCGTCATTTAAAGCTGAATAGGTGACAGTAAAAACTTAAAATCTACGGTGTTGTATGCTACTTGTATGCTGGTGACCTCCAGGTACACCTGGTGACCTCTGGGTAGACCTAGTGACTTCCGGGTAGACCTGGTGAACTCCAGGTACACCTGGTGACCTCCAGGTACACCTGGTGACCTCCAGGTACACCTGATCGCTTCCAGGTAGATTGGGTGACCAGAGGGTCCACCCGCATGCCCGGCTATGCCTGCTGCTCCATCTTCACCACCACGGCATAGTTGGCCTTGGCGTGCTCGCTGTCGCTGGTCACCAGCGACTTGGCTTTGCCGGTGGACAGCTCCGGCGGGGCGGGGTGGTGCAGGTCCACGAAGAATATGTAGCACATTGTGCCCAGCGGGCCCCCCACGAGGGGGGCCACTACGGGGACCCACCACCAGTGGGGCCCCATCCTGCACGCACACGTGGAGACAAACGCACACAACCCCCGCCCGCTGGGTCAATTTGGAGCCGGCGGCACCACGGGTTGGACCAACAAGTGGCCGTGCTCACGCTCGTGAGTCGCCACCTCCGAGAGAAATGCGACATTTTTCGAAGCTGATTTGGAGTCCCCCAGTCAGGTTCATTATCTGCCGCAAGAATGGGGGTCACCTGAAGCACAATATGAAGCCATGCAATTCACCGAAGATGTCATCGTCTGAGAATAGTTTTTCCCCTTTTATCTGGAAAAACCTATTCTCATATTTTTGTACTGGCAAAGGAGGTCCTATGTAATCGTCTCTTGACGGATAACCTAGTGGTGCTGCTACTGTTGCGTAGGCAGTGGTGCACAAAGCACGAACAACACAAAACTCAACACACTCGTCAAGAACAACACTGTGTCTATGGCTTTAAAAGGAAAAATATATAATAGGCGACGTTTTGGCGAATGGTCCGTTATTTGCGGTGAAGAAGAGCCATCGGCCAATACGCTGCCTTTATACATTTTCACTTTTCAGGCCGCAGTGCTGTTGACGGATGTGTAGAGCGTTTTTTTGTATCTCTTGACTGCTAGCTGACCCTACCACTGAAAAACAGAAATGACTATTGCCACGGTTGTAACCAAAGACATGAGGAAGCTCAAGAGAGAGGCCACTCAATCGTCACCGTAGCTATGATGACTCTAAATATAGCCCACCAGAGCCGATCTTCACTCCAGGGAATGTATTATTTAACATTGATTTATGTTCGTGCAATGTGATCGATTTTTACTCTGATTTCTATTTTCTTCATTGCTGTAACTGTATTTGTTTTTTGTTTTTGTCATTCCGGTGACCAGGTCACTCGTGAGCATGAGGCCGACTCATCCTGAAGGTTCATGAAGATCTTCTCACCTCGCTCAACAAAAATTAACTGCACCCTCAACCGCAGCAGATCTCCAGAGCTAAAAAAATTAAAATACTGAATCAGGTATTGGTAATAAATCCCAAGCAGGGCACTCTCAAAAATATCTCAAATTCCAAGCTTCCCATGATGATGTCAACTCTACCCATCATCTCTACAGTATTGCGAAAATTACACATCTTAGTGAAATGTTTACAGTGGTTGCTGCGGAAATTCTGGCTCCTTGGAATATGAACATGGAGTTTCCACCACTCGTTCAGGGCACCCAACAGAGGCGGGCATTGCCACACGCGAACTAGAGCAGCTCAAATCCATTCACAAAACACATATCCTTGGCCACCCTACTCTGTGTCTGCCTGGTGTTTCCCTGCCTGGTGTCTCCTCGCTCCGTGTCTCCCTGCCTGGTGTCTCCCCGCTCCGTGTCTCCCTGCCCCGTGTCCCCCCCCGGCACGTGACCGCCGGCCGCCGTGCGCTCCACGTACGTGAACACTTCGCTGCCGTATCCGACCATGGCGGTGAAGACGCGGGGGCCGAGGTCGCGCGCGGGGTTGATGGCATAGCCGGCGTTGAAGCCCATGGAGAGGCCGATGACGAGCACCACGAGCCCCACGAGCAGTGGCTCGAGGCCGCGCGGCACCGCGTTGTTCTTGGGGTCCAGCAGCGCCATCACGCACAGCAGGAGGAGCGCCGTACCCAGCACCTGCAGGGGTCGGGGACAGGACGGTGATATGGCCGCCTTTGTCACGCGATGAGCTCACGCGGAGTGGTGCAATCCTCCCCCCCCCCTCCCACCCCTTCGTGCTGGAGAATGGCCCACGGAAGCGGATACCGCAGAGCTACCTCTGAGATCTCTTTGCGTGTCATCTGGTTCACATGGTAGGGGGCAGCACTCTCCCACTCACCCTGCCCTCGACAAAATGTTCATCACGTGACAGTTACACAGATGTTATTAACTCTGAGACCTGGCCGTTTGCCCAATTAACTGCGGCACCAGTTTTAATCGGGATGGGGTATTTTGTGCAGACATTGGTGGCCGGGCCGGGACCATCAACTAGCTACGCTTGAGAACACAGTTTAATCACGGGTGGTGGCTAAAGCCTGGAGTCAAACCGAGGATCTGAGCAGTGCCAGCTCAGCGCTACTCTGATCTCTGAACCACCCGGCCACCTCAACTTGAACCTTTACCTGGACACGTTTCTACTCCAGTTTCAGAGGCTCGCAAGTAACCCAAGGTGCCTTGGGTTACTTGCGAGAGAGCAACACCGGCTCTCTATTAGACTCATGGTGCTTTTGTCGTCTTGGTGACCCAGGGTCACTCTCGAAGCTGAGCTCTCAGCTGGCCACGCAGACTCGGCCCGCATGCGTGCGACCTCCCCTTGCCCGCCACCCAACATGCCCTCACCTGGTCAAGGAAGCCACCGGCGATGGACAGGTGTTCCGAGGGATAGGTGGCGAAGATCGCGGCCGTGGCGCCGGGGCCGGTCACCGTCAGGTTCCCACCGTTGAACGCCATGAGGGCCTCTGTGGAGGAACGGGGGTGGGGGGGGGGGGTGTTGGGAGTGAGCCAGCCGTGTGTGGAGGGCTGGCGATCTAGCGGGCAATGGTCGTGTGGATCACGCAGAGTTGTGAGACTTTCCGAACCCGCTGGGCTGCGGGGTGACCAAGAGATGGCAGTACAGCAAGTGGGTTCGTGGACCCCTTCATGCGGACATTTTCCCTGATACTTGTGGTGGGCTTATTCCAGGTTCTCAAAACACATTTAATAAACAACTCGCAAATTACCTGATTGGGAAAAGCGACATCACGTCATCGTGATCAACTGGCAGACCAATGTTCATTTGCAGGGTGGTGCTGCATGCACCTTGTGCTACACAGAGAAAGCTGCCATTGGGGGTCCGTTTGGCTAGACTTTGATTGACTGATGCGTTTTTGGAAGCATCATATCAACGCAAGTCATTATCGTGATGCAGGACCTCCCTAAAAAAGAATCCCAGAGACTGGGTGAGGCTTTCCTGGCTCCCTGGCAACGATGCGCGCCCGGTCAGAGTACCCAAGGTCAGAGTCCTCAAGGAGGCCACAAGGGGCTGTCGAGTGGAGGCTCGACAGCTCCGCTTGTCCTTGCGATTGCTGTGGTTACCGTGGTAGAGGCCGTAGACGGTGGCGGCTGCTGTGAACGCGCCCAGGAACTGAGCGAGGCAGAAAATGGGCAGCTTCCACCAGTGAAAGCGTCCGATGAGCGACATGGAGAAGGAGACGGCGGGGTTCAGGTGTGCACCTGCAAGCCAGCACACCACCAGCACCCCATCACCATCACAGCATCGCTACTCCTTGACCATCGCACCGTAACCATCACAACTCAGCTGAAGTGCCCTCCAGGTCCTCCGCTCACCTGAGATGCCCCAGGATAGGTAAGCGCCCATGACCACCCCAAATGCGAAGGCGAGGTTGATGGTGAGAGTCTCTCCGGCGGAGTGGTGGCTCAGCTCCACCTGAGCCACGGAACCACATCCGAACACCTGGCAGAACGCACCACAGAAAGAACACGGAGATGAACGCGAAGCCATACGGAGCGCTGGGCCTGGTGCCATTGGCGAGCACCTATGGAGGCTCGCGTCGCCAAGTAGGGGGTAGTGCAGACAGCATCACGCCCAGCCGCCGTTGTCTCCCCAGGGCTGATGTTTACACACTGCGCCAGGCACAACCACACCATTAACCCGGCCACCTCGGTCATGCCAAACATCAACAACGAATATCTAAACCGGTCTTGAACCCCCCCCCCCCCCCCCCCCCCTAGGTCGACATAGAGCAACACACACACACAACAACGCACCCGGATACAAGAACACATCGCCACGCGCACATCGGCATACCCCAGCACTTGGCGTGCACATTCCTTTGGCAATCAACTGCTGAACGAGGGCCTCCCCACGCTTCTGCAGGTCATGGGGTTATTTCACCCCACCTCACCGCACCGGCCTTTGCGAGTCGCTGAAGGCAGGGAGCACGCAGATGGGGCGGGGGGGGGGGGGACACAGAATGGATGTTTGCTGCACTTCCCTCTGCTGCCCACAACGCCAGCAGAGAGGTCGTTCAATCAGCACACAGAGACACGAATCTCCAAACGCACGGACGGATTCACTCATACGCACTTGGGCACGCACGTGCGTACACGCAAGAAGACTGTTTGGGCGATTAAGTGCACTTAGCCGTCACCGACTGTGTGGTGCCATGCTAGGTGGACAGCAAACTCTGCATCTGGTTCTGCCCTATCACTGGGCACGTGCGTGACCGATCCAGGTGAACGGTGGCGAGCCCCGAACGGCGACAAAAACAGCAGGCAGCAGACGCGGTCGCTTCAGCCGTGGATGGACAATGAAGAAGAGAAGAAGGCATCGCGACTTCTGCGGTCACCAGCGCCAGGCCACGGCTCGCGTGACCCCGCGCGCCGCCGGGTTCGTGAGCGACAACCATCGACATCCACCACGCCCCCACAGCGGGGGCTCTTCAATGGATGAATGTTTTGATGACCTCGACAACCGTGTGACGCTGACAACTTCACTTGGCCATACGAAAGAGGAGGAGGAGGAAGAAGAATAACTTTTGGCGTGTACGTGTGTGTGTGTGCGTGTGTATACATGTGTGTGTGCGTGTGTGTGCGTGTGTGTGTGCCACCAAAACTAAGCACCTGCCTGGGTATATTGTACCATCAGACACTCCACCCCCACAACTCCCAATCGGTGATGGGGCAGTTGTGGAGAGAGTGGAGAGTTTCCCATACCTGGGCAGTGTGCTTATGACTGGCTCCAGTTTAACAGCAGAGGTATCACTCCGAATCAGTCGAGTGGCCATATCTTTTCATCGGTTGCGTAACGCTGTGTGGAAGCTACCTGGTCCATCGCTCCGCACTAAGCTTCAGGTCTTTTCGGCCACGGTCGTTCCCTCCCTTCTCTACGGTTGCGAAACGTGGACCCCCCTAATGGAACATCTTCGCCGGTTAGAAATATTTAGGCTGGCCTGCCTACGATCCATCCTGGGTTTAACCAGACTGGATTGTGTGAAGAGCTCACAAATCCTTGAAAGATCTGGGCAAGGTCCCATCGGTGAGCTCCTCCGGCGGGCAAGACTGCGATGGCTGGGTCATGTAGCCCGCATGCCCAGCCACCGCATGCCGAAACAGCTTTTGATCGGCCGGATTGAGGGGGCTAAATGGGCGCGGCACGGGCTAGAGAAGAGATGGAGTTATGTGGTACAGGAGGATGTGGAGCTGAGTGGACTTGCCGATGACTGGTACCAGCGGTGTCAAGATCGGCCTCTGTGGAGGAGGTTCGTGAAGGACGCTACTGGGCAGTTGGAGGTAGTCGCCCTCCAACAACAATGGAGGGCGGAGGAGCGACGCTCACAACAACGAGCGGAGCGCCGGGTGGCTGAAGCACAGCGGGTTGGCACAGTAGGGGGCACAGGTGGTGCATCAGCCAGTCATCTCAGTCAGTCGACCCGTGGCACCTGGGTCTGCCCCGTGACCTCCTGCCAGCGGGCGTTCGACACTTCACGTGGCCTCAGAGTGCACATAGCCTGGCACAAGCGTCGTGGTGACGTCACCGCCACTTAGTGGTGAATGGCGGTTGTTGTTGTTGTGTGCCTTTGTTGTCATGCCGGGTGGCTAAAGCGCAGCACGTTGGTACAGGAGGCAGCTCCACAAGTGGTGCATCTGCCGCTTCTACTCAGTCAACCCATAGCACCTGGGTCTGTCCGTGTGACCTCCTGCCAACGAGCCTTCGACACTTTCACGTGACCTCAAAGTGCACCTAGCCTGGCACAAGCGCTGTGGTGACGTCGCCGCCAATTCGTGGTGAATGGCTGTTGTTTTCATTGGCGTGGCGTGTGTGTGATAGCAAGTCACTGCGTGTGTGTGATAGCAGGTCACTGCGTGTGTGTGTGTGATAGCAGGTCACTGCGTGTGTGTGTGATAGCAGGTCACTGCGTGTGTGTGATAGCAGGTCACTGCGCATGTGTGTGATAACAGGTCACTGCGCGTGTGTGTGATAGCAGGTCACTCTGTGTGTGTGTGATAGCAGTCACTGCGTGTGTGTGTGATAGCAGGTCACTGTGTATGTGTGTGTGTGATAGCAGGTCACTGCGTGTGTGCGTGATAGCAGGTCACTGTGTGTGTGTGTGTGATAGCAGGTCACTGCGCGTGTGTGTGATAGCAGGTCACTGCGCGTGTGTGTGATAGCAGGTCACTGCGTGTGTGTGTAGGTCACTGTGTGTGTGTGATAGCAGGTCACTGTGTGTGTGTGTGATAGCAGGTCACTGTGTGTGTGTGATAGCAGGTCACTGTATGTGTGTGTGATAGCAGGTCACTGTGTGTGTGTGATAGCAGGTCACTGTGTGTGTGTGATAGCAGGTCACTGCGTGTGTGTGTGTGTAGGTCACTGTGTGTGTGTGTGATAGCAGGTCACTGTGTGTGTGTGTGATAGCAGGTCACTGTGTGTGTGTGATAGCAGGTCACTGTGTGTGTGATAGCAGGTCACTGTGTGTGTGTGATAGCAGGTCACTGTGTGTGTGTGATAGCAGGTCACTGCGTGTGTGTGTGTGATAGCAGGTCACTGTGTGTGTGTGATAGCAGGTCACTGTGTGTGTGTGTGATAGCAGGTCACTCTGTGTGTGTGTGATAGCAGGTCACTCTGTGTGTGTGTGATAGCAGTCACTATGTGTGTGTGTGTGATAGCAGGTCACTCTGTGTGTGTGATAGCAGTCACTGTGCGTGTGTGATAGCAGGTCACTGTGTGTGATAGCAGGTCACTGCGCGTGTGATGCTCATCAGTGATGTGTTGAATGGTGGTGCTGCCAGGAGATTCGAGTGCAAGTGGAGAGTGGAGGCATTGTTTAATGCACCAGAAAGCCACTGGAGCTATGCACTTTTAAATAATCTACATTGAAAACTAATTTCTTTATAATTGCTATTCGTGTTTAGTTGGTTGTCCTTCCCCTGCACCTCCGATTAGCGCGGTTGACTACGTACGTTGCGAAAGAAGATCAACGTACATCATTTAAGTCGAGATTGGGTCCCAAGACCGGTTTCCAACAATGCTTGCTACTGATGCAATTTGTGGCGTGAAATTGAACCCGAGTGAACTGGTATCATAGTGCAATTTGTGAAATGATGTGGCCAACAAAGACAAAGATCACCCGTATTGCCCTTGACAGACTGTTGTGGGAAGTGTTGTGAATATGGTCACGAGGGAGTGGCTGGCCAGTGCCCATATTTACAAAACGCACCAAGCACTCAATTAAAGCTGAGTCGACCTAGGGGAGGTGCAAGACTGGTTCAGATATTCGTCACTTATGTTGGTTAAGCGGGAATGGAACTCGGGTCGTCGGGTTCATAACGGAGTGTGCTGGCCACTGCACATCCGCTCTCCACTGTGATCAACGCACAGATAGAGACACGTTGGCAAGCAGCCACAGATTCACACACAGATACACATTGACAAACACACAGACGTACTTTCACAAACATACACATTGGCAACACACACAGAGACAGATATTCATACACATATTCACACATACAATGACGCCCCGCACTAAGCTTCAGGTCTTCTCGGCCACGGTCATTCCCTCCCTTCTCTAAGGTTGCGAAACGTGGACCCCCCTAATGGAACATCTTCGCCGGTTAGAAACATTTAGGCTGGCCTGCCTACGATCCATCCTGGGTTTAACCAGACTGGATTGTGTGAGGAGCTCACAAATCCTTGAAAGATCTGGGCAAGGTCCCATCGGTGAGCTCCTCCGGCGGGCAAGGCTGCGATGGCTGGGTCATGTAGCCCGCATGCCCAGTCACCGCATGCCGAAACAGCTTTTGTTCGGCCGGATTGAGGGGGCTAAACGGGCGCGGCACGGGCTAGAGAAGAGATGGAGTGATGGGGTACAGGAGGACGTGGAGCTGAGTGGACTTGGCGATGACTGGTACCAGCGGTGTCAAGATCGGCCTCTGTGGAGGAGGCTCGTGAAGGACGCTACTGGGCAGTTGGAGGTAGTCGCCCTCCAACAACAACGGAGGGCGGAGGAGCGACGCTCACAACAACGAGCGGAGCGCCGGGTGGCTGAAGCACAGCGGGTTGGCACAGTAGGGGGCACAGGTGGTGCATCAGCCAGTCATCTCAGTCAGTCGACCCGTGGCACCTGGGTCTGCCCCGTGACCTCCTGCCAGCGGGTGTTCGACACTTCACGTGGCCTCAGGGTGCACATAGCCTGGCAAAAGCGTCGTGGTGACGTCACCGCCACTTAGTGGTGATTGGCGGTTGTTGTTGTTGTGTGCCTTTGTTGTCATGCCGGGTGGCTAAAGCGCAGCACGTTGGTACAGGAGGCAGCTCCACAAGTGGTGCATCTGTCGCTCTTACTCAGTCAACCCATGGCACTTGGGTCTGTCCGTGTGACCTCCTGCCAACGAGCCTTCGACACTTTCACGTGACCTCAAAGTGCACCTAGCCTGGCACAAGCGCTGTGGTGACGTCGCCGCCAATTCGTGGCGAATGGCTGTTGTTTTCATTGGCGTGGCGTGTGAGTGATAGCAAGTCACTGCGTGTGTGATAGCAGGTCACTGCGTGTGTGTGTGATAGCAGGTCACTGTGTGTGTGATAGCAGATCACTGTGTGTGTGTGTGATAGCAGGTCACTGCGCGTGTGTGTGATAGCAGGTCACTGCGCGTGTGTGTAGGTCACTGTGTGTGTGTGATAGCAGGTCACTGTGTGTGATAGCAGGTCACTGTGTGTGAGATAGCAGGTCACTGTGTGTGTGTGTGATAGCAGGTCACTGCGTGTGTGTGTGTGTGATAGCAGGTCACTGTGTGTGTGATAGCAGGTCACTGTGTGTGTGATAGCAGGTCACTGTGTGTGTGTGTGATAGCAGGTCACTGTGTGTGTGTGATAGCAGGTCACTGTGTGTGTGTGTGATAGCAGGTCACTGCGCGTGTGTGTGATAGCAGGTCACTGCGTGTGTGTGTGATAGCAGGTCACTGCGTGTGTGTGTGTGTGATAGCAGGTCACTGTGTGTGTGTGATAGCAGGTCACTGTGTGTGTGTGTGATAGCAGGTCACTCTGTGTGTGTGTGATAGCAGTCACTGTGTGTGTGTGATAGCAGGTCACTGTGTGTGATAGCAGGTCACTGCGCGTGTGATGCTCATCAGTGATGTGTTGAATGGTGGTGCTGCCAGGAGATTCGAGTGCAAGTGGAGAGTGGAGGCATTGTTTAATGCACCAGGAAGCCACTGGAGCTATGCACTTTTAAATAATCTACATTGAAAACTAATTTCTTTATAATTGCTATTCGTGTTTAGTTTGTTGTCCTTCCCCTGCACCTCCGATTAGCGCGGTTGACTACGTACGTTGCGACAGAAGATCAATGTACATCATTTAAGTCGAGATTGGGTCTCAAGACCGGTTTCCAACATTGCTTGCTACTGATGCAATTTGTGGCGTGAAATTGAACCCCAGTGAACTGGTATCATAGTGCAATTTGTGAAATGATGTGGCCAACAAAGATCACCCGTATAGCCCTTGACAGACTTGTGGGAAGTGTTGTGAATATGGTCACGAGGGAGTGGCTGGCCAGTGCCCATATTTACACACCACACCAGGTACTCAATTAAAGCTGAGTCGACCTAGGGAAGGTCCAAGACTGGTTCAGATATTCGTCACTTATGTTGGTTAAGCGGGAATGGAACTCGGGTCGTCGGGTTCATAACGGAGTGTGCTCGCCCCTGCACATCCGCTCTCCACTGTGACCAACGCACAGATAGAGACACGTTGGCAAGCAGCCACAGATTCACACACAGATACACATTGACAAACACAGACGTACTTTCACAAACATACACATTGGCAACACACACAGACAGATATTCATACACATATTCACACACACAATGACAAATACAAAGACACACACACTGCAAATACAGATGCACATTGCCGCAGATACTCAAACGCACACATTTACACAAGTATTAATTATGTAAACACTGACACGTGTGCAGGTTGACTGCACCCTCTCTTAATCGACACAGTGCTCAATGATAAAAAAATAAATGCTTCCTTTGGGACCCAAACATCACTGCACCACCTCTGGGCTTTGACATTCCTCCTTATCGAAGATACCGGTGGAACCATCAACCGCATGAGAACACCAAGAGGACAATGCACAAATCTCCTTCGTGAATGGAAAATTAAAGCCACAGTAGTGCGATTGTGGCCATGCAACCAAAACTATGGACCGCACAGTAAACCCACTGTGGTCTGCACTCCTTTAACGGAGGAGGAGGAACAGCGACACGACACGACGTCTCTCTGCCGAAGCCCTTTCGTCGTGCCCAGCAAACCTTTACGTTGGCCTCTAGCTCCATTGAACATGCTGCTACCATCATGAGCAAGAAGAGAAGAGGATTAAACTTAACAGCAGATCAGACACGAACATGAAACGGAGATAACACGACGGAGATTACACTGCACTTGCACTTCGTGTGCTCGGAAAAATAATAATGATGAGCTGAAGAGGAACAACGATGACGGGCATGGTAACGATAAGGTGTGAGCCGGTGTAAGAAGATGACAGTCTCGGTGTAGCAATTCCTGGAGTGATCATCTTCAAACTACGAGGGTAATGTGTTTTCAGAGAAGTCCCTTTCATCGCGACGAGATAGAATCGCTGAACATTTTCACCATAATTCTGGAGCTATCTTCCATACCGCAAACCCACTCTCCACTCGCTTCAAATGCCACGTTGCTAAGTGCTGACAGTCCCGAAGATAGAATGCGGTTGCCAACTGTATCACGGGCCAATGATAAAGTTGTATAATAAATAATCCGTGATATCGCCGCTTTTCAAAATAAACAACGAACGGCATTTGTGCACTGTGGTCGGAGCGGGGCAGTCTTCGCGCGCCACGCCAATCGGGGGGGCAACGCCGGTGACGAGGATCGGAGGCGCGGCGACTGCGTTAATGATCGACCCGCCGCCTCCACTCTCCGAGAGCGCCGCGGTTCTGCAATACTCACGATGAGCACGAACGTGCCGAGGAACTCAGCCAGAGCCTCCCTCACGATCGGGTTTGACGCCTTGATCCGGGCCGCCAGGCGCGGCGGAGCGTGGAGGTGCCGGGGGGAGCACATGTCTCGATCTCTCGCGGCGTCGGTCCGAGGTGGAGTGGCGCGCGCCGATGGATGCGCATGGTCCTGGCGCCGTTCCCGGGGTCGCGGGGCCTCTCCCTGAGCGCCCTTTGGTCGAGGCTAGGGGGGCGAGGGGGCGGGTGGGGGGTGCGAGCCATGGGTACGAGGCACAAGGTGAGAGACACGGAGATGGACGGGGTGGGGGGGTTTGGCATACGGACAAAGGGTGGGGGGGAGGAAATGGGGTGGGAGACGCGGGAATTGAGGGGGGCGGGGCGCGTAGGCGACATGGGGAGGGGATGCAGTGGCATAGCTCCAGCGGTGTTCTACGCTGCAAGCGAGCCCCCATAACCACGTGGTAATGTGGGGGCCTGACCAGGCAGCGGATATTTTTGCATAAGTCCATATCGTATTTCATCAACCAGGCAAGATCACGCGATAAGCCCTTGCTGGTGGTGATCTGCCCATCTATTTGTACATAGACATATACAGTAATGGTTATCACAGTTGAATATGAACCTCCATGACCCGAGTTCAATTCCTGGAAGACGACTAACATCAGTGGCAGTTCGAGGCCCTCGCACCAACCTGCCGTTACCACCGGCCCTGGTTCCTTCTCGTGTCCAACTTGCTTGCGTTCTCCGACCCGTGTATCCCTCTGCCTGTGGCTCTCTGCCTGTCGCTCTCTGCCTGTCTCTCAGTGTCATTCGCAGGCTGCATCTCTCCGTTCTGCTTTGCACACTTTTCAGCTTTTGCTAAATTTTATTTTTCAATGTCCATGTTTTTTTTTTAAAATCCGTAACACATTATACGCGATTTTTACGCTCTTCCTTTTCTTAGTCACATGTTTAAGTTTTTTTTTCAAAACCACACCAACCTGCTCTCTTTTCTTTGATAATTTTGATCCCCGACCCACCTTCAATAAATGCCCGAGGTATGAATACCCTCGTCGATTGTCCACACTCAGTGTGACGGAATAGACGAGGCTCCTTCGGTGGCCTGGCTTGCCAGCTTGTCTACCTTTGATTGATGTTGAGTCGGAGTGATGCGTCTGGTGCAGGTGACTGCACGCGTGTGGTCTCTAAACTTAGTTCCTGGACGCGCTGCCGTGGGGCTAAGTATACCCCCATCGACGCGTGGAATTAATCAAAGGGCAGCGTGGGGATGGTGAATTGTGTGCGCGGGTGGCGGGCGCGTGGTGGGGGTTTGCGGGTGTATCTGTGGATACCATAATAGGTGCTCGCTAACACCATTTTCTCAAAGTCTTCTCAAGGTTATATAGGGGATCTTTTCTCTTATAGGTCTACTCAGCCATAAATGACTACTAGGTGGATTGTATAAACATCGGCACTGGGGAAAGAAATGTAGCCATGCCAGTGCTAGCATTTCCAAATTCCTATGGCGGGGGGCAGTTTACTAATAGGATAACTAATGGATTCCTTCTAAGTGGTACCAATTTTATACACTCGGAAGGGATTATAGGCTGAGCCAATTTTTAGTCAAGCGCTCTGATCAAAGAAGGCACCCGGCTGATTTGGTCAACTTGCTGATAAATTTCATTCTCACCTTCAGGAGATTAAAAACAACATGAGAGTCAAACCACAGTAGTGCGATTGTGGGCATGCAACCCACATTATGGACCGTATCCACTAGAGTCTGCGCTCCTTCAACGGAGGACGAGGAACAGCAAAACTACACAAACTCCGTTTAACACGTAGGCTTTCGCGACCAATATCCATAAGTTTTTTGGGTTATATCGCGTAAATATAAATGTGTAATTAAGCCTGCCACCACCCGACACACCCAATCAGTAAGGTTTGTCACGTAAACACAATATGTCAATTATTTACTAGTGTAGTACACCGGTGTGTTGGAGAGCAAACCCACATTTACAATTATAGAAGATTTGTGCCTTTAATTCCCAACACACCGGTGTGCTGTACTAGTAACGCATTGTCACGTTCTGTTTACGTGACAAACCTTCTTAATTGGCTGCGTCGGGTGGTGGCGGGTTTAACGACACATTTATATTTACGCGATCAACACCAACTCCCTCCTGATGCCTTCTCGTGGCCAGCAGGCATTGAGCTCATGAACATCTTGCTGACTCCATGCGAAATAAAACAAAATAACGGAATACAAACCAAATAAACCATGCTCATCCTCGCATTCGAACGTTGGTCAGAGATTTCACGGCGAGGTCGCCACGCGCCCAGCCATCAGGTTCGTTGTGAGACGCGGCTAAGCTCGTCGGCATCCCGTGCCGTTCTGGGACTCCGATGCGAGCCCTCGGTGCCAAAACATCGCTGGAAAGAATTCTCACGGCCCCTGGCTGGGTAGGATCGTCCTGTTCAGCGCGTGACCCCGTCCCTTCAAGAGCGTGACCAAAGCCACACGTTCGCCAACGTTCTATGGAAAAAAAGTATTTTAGGAGTAGGTCCAACAGATGTTTAACGAATTAAGAAATTAGGTAAATTCATAGGTATCAACCGTGATTATCTCAGTCGTACGGCCCTCCACGTGCCCGCATATGTAAAGATGTAAATGGAGTCTCAATGGCGTGTACGCCATCTAGGTTCAGGAGCAGGTAACTGCTCAGGTCTCGTACCTCTCTCTGGCACCGGTGGAAGTATGGCAGGTAAGCGGGCCCGAGAGGGCATGGTCCCGTAGAAAGGAGAGACAGGGCACGTGAACGGCACGGGGTAGCAAAGGGACCCGATAATGGGTCTTGAGGGACACGTGACGCTGGCCCTGGTTCCTCCGGGAGAGATCGAGAAGGGGGTGTGGCCAGAGGCGGAGCGAGGCCACGCTCGAGAGGATGGGGGCGGGGCGATGGCGGCTGTCTCGAGGAATGACCTCACCGTGCTCTGTCTCTCCGCTTGTCGGTCTTGACTGTACTTTCAGGCTCCGTGGGTCAGGAACAAGTTACCGTCCTGACCCGGTTAAGTAGTGACCCGGGTGGGGTCTAGTTAACCCGTTGTGACGTTAAAGTGGTAGCCCTGTTGGGGCCACTGCTGCTACGTGAATGGGGGCAGTGCAGGCACACTCATTGTTGTACCACACGTCTCTATGCTCCCACGAATCTACTTCCCGCGTTCACCAGCGTGATCAAAGCACGGTCAAAGTTTCAGTTTCATTGAATTTATTAGGTATAACCCTGTGAGCCATGCGGCTCTTGACTCGGGTGCAACCGCAACAAACAAAAACATGAACAAGAAACATCTTAAAGTGACTACATGCAACAGAAGAATCCAGGAAAAAAGAGCAAAGTCTTCCAGAAAAAACACCGTGTATGAATGCTGTGTGCAAAAAATCCCAGTGGGATGTAAGTCAAACAATAACAACCATAAGACATCTTCTTGGTTTTTTCGGTTAAGTCACGTAGAATGGAAATAAAATAATAAAAATAAAACGTAATAAAATAAAATTCTCACGACGTTTCAGCCACAACACAAGTAGCCTTCCTCAGGTGAAGAAACAGGACTGTCCAGAAGACGGCGCTTGAGTGAACGCTGCCAAGCATGGACAGCGTCTTTTAAGCTGTGTGGGAGGAACAGAGCGCCTTGACAAAGGAGTTAACATATAAATTAGCATGTAACTGGGGGATTAGGATGATGTTGGTGTGAGGGATTAGCACCACGGAGAGCGACGAGCTATGTTCCGACGGACGAGGGGAGGGGGGAGAGGAGTTTACAGTGAGGGAAAAAAGTATTTGATCCCCTGCAGATTTTGTACGTTTTCCCACTGACAAAGAAATGATCAGTCTATAATTTTAATGGTAGGTTTATTTGAACAGTGAGAGACAGAATAACAACAACAAAATCCAGAAAAACGCATGTCAAAAAATGTTATAAATTGATTTGCATTTGAATGAGGGAAATACGAATTTGACCCCCTCTCAATCAGAAAGATTTCTGGCTCCCAGGTGTCTTTTATACAGGTAACAAGATGAAATTAAGAGCACACTCTTAAAGGGAGTCCTCCTAATCTCAGCTTGTTCCCTGTATAAAAGACACCTGTCCACAGAAGCAATCAATCAATCAGATTCCAAACTCTCCACCATGGCCAAGACTCTCCAAGGATGTCAGGGACAAGATTGTAGACCTACACAAGGCTGGAATGGGCTACAAGACCATTGCCAAGCAATTGCCAAGCAATGGTCTTGTAGCTCAGGTGACAACAGTTGGTGCGATTATTCGCAAATGGAAGAAACACAAAATAACTGTCAATCTCCCTCGGCCTGGGGCTCCATGCAAGATCTCACCTCGTGGAGTTGCAATGATCATGAGAACGGTGAGGAATCAGCCCAGAACTACACGGGAGGATCTTGTCAATTATCTCAAGGCAGCTGGGACCATAGTCACCAAGAAAACAATTGGTAACACACTACGCCATGAAGGACTGAAATCCTGCAGCGCCCGCAAGGTCCCCCTGCTCAAGAAAGCACATATACATGCCCGTCTGAAGTTTGCCAATGAACATTTGAATGATTCAGAGGACAACTGGGCGAAAGTGTTGTGGTCAGATGAGACCAAAATGGAGCTCTTTGGTATCAACTCAACTCGCTGTGTTTGGAGGAGGAGGAATGCTGCTTTTGACCCCAAGAACACCATCCCCACCGTCAAACATGGAGGTGTTTTCTGCTAAGGGGACAGGACAATTTCACCCCATCAAAGGGATGATGGACGGGGCCATGTACCGTCAAATCTTGGGAGAGAACCTCCTTCCCTCAGCCAGGGCATTGAAAATGGGTCGTGGATGGGTATTCCAGCATGACAATGACCCAAAACACACGGCCAAGGCAACAAAGGAGTGGCTCAAGAAGAAGCACATTAAGGTCCTGGAGTGGCCTAGCCAGACTCCAGACCTTGATCCCATAGAATATCTGTGGAGGGAGCTGAAGGTTCGAGTTGCCAAACGTCAGCCTCGAAACCTTAATGACTTGGAGAACATCTGCAAAGAGGAGTGGGACAAAATCCCTCCTGAGATGTGTGCAAACCTGGTGGCCAACTACAAGAAACGTCTGACCTCTGTGATTGCCAACAAGGGTTTTGCCACCAAGTACTAACTCATGTTTTGCAGAGGGGTCAAATACTTATTTCCCTCATTAAAATGCAAATAAATTTATAACATTTTTGACATGCGTTTTTCTGGATTTTTGTTGTTGTTATTCTGTCTCTCACTGTTCAAATAAACCTACCATTAAAATTATAGACTGATCATTACTTTGTCAGTGGGCAAACGTACAAAATCAGCAGGGGATCAAATACTTTTTTCCCTCACTGTACATAAAATTAGAATGTAACTGGCGGACTAGCATAATGTTGGTGTGAGGGATTAGCAGCAGTTTACATATCAACAGTAAATTAGCATGTAACTGGGGGATTAGCATGATGTTAGTATGAGGGATTAATACCACGGAGAACGACGAGCTTTGTTCAGGCGGACGAGTTCATCTATGTTTGGAACGGAGAAAGGGGGGGGGGGGGAGAAGAGGAGGAAACAGCCACGGTGCGCTGCTCTGTCCTGTGTTGCGTTATAACTATGCTATAAACTGGTCTACTATACAATATAATATTATACCTTCCAATCTAAACTACATTGTATAATATCGTATCCATAGACAAATCCCACCCTTGAATTATACAATGCATTACTATACACTACTCTATACTTTAGACTATCAAATATTAGACTTGTAGTATTGCACTATGTATTATGCTATTAACCCTACTGTATACCACACTGCTGTATATTCACTATACAATTACGGTACTATATATTACCTTATGAATTATGTTAAACATTGCACTGTTATACTATTTATTATTATACAACTATACTATTGACCGTCGTGTGATAGGTACTAATAGGCAGTGCCAGCGAATGGAGTGCGATCTGAAAGTCACCGTAAAATACAATCAATCAAGAACCGAAATGGTTTATAACGTCTTTCCAATGGTTACTAAGCCAGAATCCATCTTCTCGGTTGAATCTGTCTCTGTGTTTGTATATGTGGATAGACTCATGAACGAATCTCTCATGGTAGCCGGTTGGTTTGCAAAGAACCTCTGTCTTGGAGAAGTCAATGTCATGTTGGCCCACTGAATTATAACAGTGATCTGCCACGGCTGAAGTGTTCGTCCTACCGTGTTTCAAGTCTGCTTTATGTTCACGGATGCGGTCCGAGATGTCGTTTGGTTTCTCCAATGTAGCTGCTACCACAGAGGCTACTTAGTTTGTGGACGCCAGGGTACTGTCTGGAACCACATCTTTTACAGACGGAACCAGATCACGGATTTTATGTACTGTGTTAAACGGGCATGGATCTTGTATTTATTCAGGATTTTGGAGATCTTTTTTGTGACCCCCGCAATGTAGGGTAAGGTGATGGTTTTGAATGGCTCCTCAAGAGGATCCTTCTTCATGGTTGGAGTGATAGCTTTGCAGATTGTGTAGTCGGAGTAACCGTTAGCCTTGAGAGCTTGGTGTACGTGCTTGAGTTCACTAGCAATGTGTTCCTGGTCGGAAATGCACTGGGCTCTATGGTATAGAGTCTTGATGAGGGAATTCTTCTGGGATGGATGGTGGTGGGAATCCGGTTTTAAGTAAGCATCCGTATGGGTAGCTTTCCTGTAGAGAGAGTGGCTCCTTGAACCATCAGGTTTCCTTTTAATTAGGACATCCAAAAAGGGTAGCTTGCCATCTTTTTCGACTTCCATGGAAAATCTTATGGCTGGGTGTATGGAATTGATGTGGTCGAGGAATTGGTCTAGACCAGGCCGGCCATGTGGCCAGATGACAAAAGTGTCACCCACGTACCTCTTCCATAAGGGCACCCCAATGGGCTCCCCCCTATCGCCGGTTGTAGCCAACGTTTTCATGGAAAAATTTGAGACTGACGCCATCCAGACTGCCACTCTACGCACGACCTTATGGAAGAGGTTTTATTTTTATTATTTTATTTCCATTATACGTGACTTAACCGAAAGAACCAAGAAGATGAATCCCTGCAGTCATGAAAGCTTTAAATTGAAACCATAAGACAATTTAAAGTTATCAGGCTAACTCTGTACTACAATAACAAACATGGCTAAACCAAAACGTTTTCAAAATCACCAAAATAAAGCTATAAAAAACGATGTAACAGTGATCATAGGAGCTGTTATTCAAATTTTACAATAAACGATAAACATAACATGTACGACCAAACCCCGTAGCCATAGCTGGTTGCATGAGTCACTCCATAACAGCAGGAGCATCAGTAGCAGTATCAAACATTTTCAATGCACCTTTAAAGATCAGCACTCGAAATCAAAACTCAAGATTATACTTTGCAGCGGTCATCCGGAACGATGCATTTTATTTCAGGCCATTCTGAATAGCAGTGGCAGCTAGGGGTGTACAACTCCTCTAGACCATTTTTGAGTGAAAATTTCACAGGTAGTGATCCAAGTTTATTGGTGATAGCATTCCAGACCCTGGGGGCATCAACAGCAAAGGCCCTTCCCCCAGTATTTGTACGGCAATAAGGAATGTGAAGCTGGTAAATGAGCGAAGACCTTAGGTCACATTTGTTCTTCGAAACAGTGAGGAGATCCAGCAGGTAGTCTGCTGATTTTTTTTGTAAGTACAGCGTGAATAAACAAGATCTGATGCACATGCCGTCGATCATTAAGATAAGTTCAGTTTGACCCAATGTAGAGATCGCAGTGGTGGGTCCTATAGGGGCAGTTCAATGCAAATCTTAAGGCCGAGTGATAAATTGAGTCAAGCTTCTTCAGTACAGTACTTGGGGCTGATTTATATACGATGTCACAGTAATCAAGTAGAGGCAGTATGGTAGCTTGTATCAATTCCAAGCGGAACATCGGGGGAAGCAGTGCTTGTGGCGATACAGAAAACCAATTTTTCTTTTTTTCTTTTTACCAATATAATCAATGTGATCTTCAAAATTCAATTTTGAATCAAAGATGACCCCAAGATACTTACAGATCTTGACTTGCTCTATTTGATGATTATTTAAGGAATATAATTGTGGAAAAATAACTTCCTGCTTGAGTCTTGGTGAGAAGCATAGCACCTTGGTTTTGGAGGTATTCAGGGCGAGTTTAAGAGCAAAGTAACTCACGCCGGCACCGGGATTGCCTCGTCTAGCAGTGGATTGACCCCGGCCTCTGGGCGGTGACCCCGACCTGGAGCGAAAGAATCGATTCGATTCTCCGCAGTAGTTTCTGGGAATCGTCGTTCGTGGTGGATCGATTTGTTGCTGCTGCTGTTGCTGCCGCCACCATCATGGACGTGGTGTCGGCCGTGAAGCAGTATGTGTGCAAGATGATCGGCGAGACGGGGCCCGGCATGAAGGTCCTGCTCATGGACAAGGACACGGTGCGTGAGCCCGGCTCCGGTGTCCAACCCCGACGGGTCCCAGGCGCGGCATCTTTACCGGCCTGCTGTTGCGTAGGCCCGCGCGGAGCCTTACGCTTTTCCTAGCAGCCGGGCGGGGTGGGCGTGCTTGGGATTGAGGGGCGCGGGGTGAGGATGGCCCCGTGGTTGTTCCGTGGTTGAGTCCGTGGTTGAATGTGTGACCGAGTCCGTGGGGGACTGTTGAGGCAGGTTGCGTGTCACTCCGACTTCTGGACTGTGTGTGTTTAAGTCTCGTGTTATGGTTACGGGAATAGTTCGGGGTGGTGGTAGAGTGATAGCTGTTGTTCGGGTTCGCGTTATTCTTCGGGTAGGGCGAGTAATGTCTACTCTGCCGAGCCTTGTTGAAACTAACACTAACCAAAACTTAGATCTAATCCTAACTGACCGGAACCATAACCCGATTGTTACAGCCCTTGTCACTGCTCAGGAAAGCACACAAACCAGACATTAACCCTCGCGCGATCGCTAAATGTAGTAATATGTGTGTGTATTTTTACCTAACACGCGTCTGCGTTTTCCTCCAGACCAGCATTGTGAGCATGGTCTACTCCCAGTCGGAAATCCTCCAGAAGGAAGTGTACCTCTTCGAGAGGGTGGACTCTGTCAACCGCGAGCCCATGAAGCATCTGAAGGCCGTCTGTTTCATCCGGCCTGTCAAGGTGAGTGCCCGCTTCCTGAAAGGTGCAGACGTTGAGCTCCCGTCAACAAACAGCAAAGGGATACGCTGTGGTGCTTGGATTTTGTGTTGCAGTGTTGTAAACTGCATAGCTGATTATGTCAATGTGCTGCTTTTTGACAGGAAAGCATCGAGCTGTTGGTTCAAGAACTCAGACGGCCCAAGTATGGATTATACTTCATCTGTAAGTGCAGCGGTTCGTGCGATGTGCTCCGGACTCGGCGACATCAGTATAATTATCGGTCATGGCTAACACCATTGGCAAGCGGTACCATAACCAGTCCCACCCTCCCCTCATCTTTTCGAACCTGCACTAACCAACATGGTGAAATATGCTTAAAGAATTGAAAATGGATGGAATAGATTTTTTACTCATAATATACAAACTGATTTTCCTCCAAATTTCAGCTGTGGAATGAACTTGCTGGAAATATAGGGTTTTTTTGTTGTTAAATATTGATAGGAACTGCTTTTTGTCAAGCCCATGCATTAGACCTACATGACGCCACAAGTTGGAGTGTTAATTTTAAGCCACCTGTTAACAAGATATGTTTGAGTGGCTCTTGTGACGCAGCGGGAGTTAAGTAGACTCCCATTGAGATGTCAGCTGGAGGCAGCCATCCACTGGAGGCGTTGAGACAAGTGGCACATTTCCCTCTAACTGGAAATTCCTGTCGAGAGAGACTGGTCATGGTAGTGTACCGGTTTTGATTGTGACTGTCGTAAGCGATTGTCTGGTGGTAATGGGAGCAACTCTAGGTTTACGCACTGACGGTTGAGTCTGTGGTGCGGTTCATCCTGGCAGACTTCAGCAATGTGGTGAGCAAGAGCGACGTGAAGACGCTGGCCGAGGCAGACGAGCACGAGGTCGTGCGGGAGCTGAAGGTGACTCGCGCACACAGACACACACTACTGTGTTTCAGGGTCAAGAGGTCATTGTTGCCGATGCCACTGATGCCACCTCACTGCACCGCCGCTCTCACTTGCTAGACCCTGCAAGCTTGCACCTGTATTATTACACAAAATCATGTCAAACCATCTCCTTTGCCAGCCCTGACCACGTGGATTCTCTCTCTGTCTCTGCAGGAGTTCTACGCTGACTATATTGCCATCAGTCCCCACATATTCTCCTTGAACCTCACAGGCTGCTCACAGGTTTGCGCACTCACAGACGTCCTTTCGTTACGCCTAGTGACCCTGCTGGATTTACCTGCCTGGTTTTTCTTTTGAGACTTCACATAAGTTGTAGAACAATGGACCCAGATATGTTATTGACATGCCTACAATTAATACATTTAAGACTAAAATAAATACATGTTTTCATATAGTGTATACTGGAATGAAGAGGACCAAAATAGAATAATTTTGAGAACACTCTAACTTGCAATTTAGTTAATTCTGGTTGGTTTTGTATACTGTCTATACAGGTAGTCCCCGACTTACGATGGAGATGCGTTACGACGACCCCATCGTAAGTCGCGGACTACCTGTATTGTGTTGTTTTTGAACATTGTATTTTGTCTGCAGTCACTTTCTAACTGAGTCATTATCTCAAATAACTCTTTGGTCTGGCGCCTCGATATATACTGCATGGGAGGTTTAGTGATATAAATAATAAAGAAGATATTGATGATTAAGACACCAGCCATCGTGACAAGACTATGGTGGCATTCGCCCCTGACAGGGTCGCAGCTGGGATCCGGTGCTGCTGACGCGAGCCACCCTCGGACTCACCGCCGTGCTGCTGTCACTCAAGAAGTGCCCGGTGATTCGGTACCAGCACTCGTCGGAGCTGGCACGCCGCCTCGCCGAGTGTGTCAAGGTGCTTGCTTCCCCGACTCCCGCCAGTCCCGCGTGGCCCAGTCCACGGCCACATGGGATGTGTTTGGTGATCCAGCCAATCATGCCTGTGTCGCTTAATGGGGCTAAGTTTAAGTTAATGCTAGAGTTATGAATACAATTATGCATAGGGTAGCACTTGGGTTATGGTAAGAGCTTTGTATTTATCCCAAGCCTTAACCATAACCATCGCAGAGAATATGTAAAGTCATCCCCGTGGTTATGGTCTGAGCCTGAGTAAACTTAGGATAGGACTAGAGTTACGATAGGGATATCGCTGGTCTTAGAGTAGAGCAAGAGTTAGGATAGAGCTCATGTATGGTGAATGCTTGGGTTAAGACCTGGTAAATATTTGGCAGGGTTTGGTTGTTTTCTTGGCTTAGATTTATGCCTAGACTTGTAGTTAGCTCTGTCCGAGTGATAAACACAACATTCGTTATGGCCTATTGGGGCTATTCCACATTTTTTTTATTTCCATCCAAAAGTTCAGCAAGTGTGAGCTTCTGTCATTTGATCATCCTAACTTATTTGCCCCAACATTTTTTTCCCCAACGACGTTTCAAGCAAATGATTTCTAAGGACGCGGCACTGTTCGATTTCCGCAAGACAGACGTCCCCCCGCTGCTGCTGGTGCTCGACCGCAACGACGACGCCATCACGCCGCTGCTCAACCAGGTAGCGCCCGGTGCCCTGTGGCTTCGTCCTTTCAGAAGCTGCAGGACACCTGGCACCAACGGGGAACTCGGTGGCTTAGGCAGCACACCCCTGGTCCAACCAAACCAACCACACCGAGCACAGCCCTGCACAGCCACGACCAATGTCAGATACCATGTCATCCGCTGTCATCAATACGGTGCTAGATAAAGGATTTCCCAAGCCGCCACCTCTTAAGGTCCTGCGATGTATCAATCCATCTAGGACTTGCACACGATCTGATTGTATTGCTCCAGCTCCACGGTGGGTGCATATTAATATATAAACATGGGCAGCCTAGAGAAACCCCACCCATATGAGGGATTAGCAGACCACATCATAGCCCTGCAACATTAATTTCAACGAATATCAAACACATTCACTGATCATGCTGCCTTACAGCAGAAAACATTCTAACAGGCTAACATTGTGATCTCAGCACGATCCACCAACCTTGCCTCTTAAGGCACTGTATATCAGACTCGTGGTTTAAGGATCCATCGTCTGCCCAGTATTAGTGGTGAACCTGTGCCATTGAGTTTGCGTCCGCCGTTAAGGTACAATTTCTGAAACCGCGTTGGATATGCACGTGCTGGAATTGCGTTTCTGTGTGTGGTGCTGCGTGTGCAGTGGACCTACCAGGCCATGGTGCACGAACTTCTCGGCATCAACAACAACCGCATCGACCTGTCGAGCGTGCCGGGCGTGGGTCGCGACCTCAAGGAGGTTGTTCTCTCCTCCGAGCATGACGACTTCTACGCCAGCGTAGGTGCCGCCCTCCCCGCGTCCCGCTCACCTTAGCCCTGTACGCCGGCTCACGTTTTAACAGTGGTCCTCCTATGGAGAGACTGGCTCCAGCTATGGGAATGAGGAATTTCCACCGCTAGCTTAAGTCTGCCAATGCGACCATAAGTGCACCGTCTCATTGCTGTCTGAGCATGGAGACACTTTATTTTTTCTCATAAAGTTCAGTGAATGTTATTAAGATGGTTATTATCTTCAAGCTCTATAATGTGTGGCGAATGTGTTTTGAATCTTGCAGAATATGTACCTGAACTTTGGTGAGATTGGCACGAACATTAAGAACCTAATGGAAGAATTTCAGAAAAAGTCTAAAAGCTCGCAGAAGGTGGAATCCATCGCTGATATGAAGGTGAGCGCCGATTATTCCATTCATCCATCGCACTCATAAGCCCGAGATAATTGCAACACTGAGATGTGCGCATTCCCTTGTTCGTTTTCCCTTGACTCGGCCGCCCCTGTGCGTGTGTGCGTGCGAAGGCATTTGTGGAGAACTATCCCCAGTTCAAGAAGATGTCGGGCACTGTATCAAAGCACGTGACGGTGGTGGGGGAGCTGTCGCGGCTCGTGGCCTCTCGCTCCCTTCTCAGCGTTTCTGAGCTCGAGCAGGAGCTGGCCTGCCAGAGCGACCACTCTAGCGCACTGCAGGTGGGATACGCACACACTGGCATGAGTGCGCGCACGTGGATGTGCACGTGTGGGTATGCGCACGTGGAGGCATGGGTGTTGTTGGTCATGCGCATGGCAATTCATCATCACCCACGATCAAACCATTGCGGGGTGAAGGCTTCCTCAAGCTGTCGCCATCTCTTAGGGTCCTGTAACAGTCCACTAGCATCTGCTCACGGCCTTTTTCATTTGCTCTATTTCCATGGCAAATGTCCTCTCGGGTACGTTCCTTCCCTCGGCTGACTATTCTTCGTTAGTCTCAACCACTGGTCACCGTCCCTTCTAGTGACACGTCCTGCCAAAGTCCACTTACTTCTGGTTGACAGCGTTGGTCACTTGCGTGATGATCACAGAGCCTGCGGCGCATGCTGCAGCAACCCAAGGTGAGCGAGCTGGACGCGGCACGGCTCGTGATGCTCTACGCTCTGCGCTACGAGCGCCACAGCAGCAACAATCTGTCCGGACTGCTCGAGGACCTCTCGCGCCGCCAGGTCTCCTCGCAGTACCGCCAGGTACCTTGCCGTCACCGCCGTCACCGCCGTCACCGTCCCCGGTTCCCGTTGCTTCGACGCCGGCGTCAACACCTCGGTCCTCATTCAGGTGTTGTGTTCTTCCTAACAGCTGGTCAACTCCGTTCTGGAGTACGGGGGGTTACGCGTGCGTGGGAGTGACCTGTTTGGAAGCCAAGACCCCATGTCCATCACCAAGCAGTTCTTCAAAGGCCTCAAGGTAGTTTTCGTCATATTTTTAAATTTGCAGTGTGCCGTCTGCTGTCACGACACCGTCACTTGTCTTGTTGCAGAGCCGTTAACGCGCCAACGCGGTTCTCTGCTTTTCAGGGCATCCAGAACGTGTACACACAACACCAGCCCCTGCTGGCTGACACCCTGGACCAGGTGCTCAAGGGCCGTCTCAAGGAGGCCAGCCACCCGTACCTGGGCTCCAGCAGCCTGCGTGACAGGTACAGCTCGAGGGCTGTGAAATGATCCATCGATGGTCAAGGGTCGCCCCTGTGTGGAAAAAAACGAATATTTCCCTTGCGCAACAACGGGCAGGCAGGACTCGCTGCGGTTCCAACTGATTGGCAGTGCCGCTGCCTGGTCCGAGCAGCACAGAGGGATGGAGATTTGAGTGGAAGACACAATCCACGCCGTCGTTTTGGTGATGCGCGAGGGTGTGTGGAGAGATTTCGGCTTCGGTGAGAGCCGCTTCCCGCTGCTGGGTGTGCGCAGGCCGCAGGACGTCATCGTGTTCATGGTTGGCGGGGCGACGTACGAGGAGGCGCTCACCGTCTACAACCTGAACCGTACGAACCCGGGCGTGCGCGTCATCCTCGGAGGGACCAACGTCCATAACACACGCAGGTACGTGGTGCTCGTGGCACCATCGCTACAAAACGATGATGTCATGAACTGGGTCCCTGTCATGGAGTTTACAGAGATCTCTGCCTTTCCTTAGCTGGCCTCGCATGGATCGATAATAGCCAACATTTGAACGTAGTTGCACTGAGCACTTTTCATCGAGGCGATGATCGATTCCCACAGTGGTTATATTCAGTGGTTGGTCGCAACCAAAGTGCATGTTCTGCTCTGCAGGGGGCGTTAAAGACCCAGGCACCTTAATATACACATTTATTAGACACGTAAAAAATTGTATCGTAAGTTAGGAAATCTAGGCAATAGTGAAACTTAGAGGGCTCTTTACTGTTTCAAGGAAGATTATCATATTCTGCCAGCTGGTGAGTGTGACACTGCATCTGTGACAATGTGTGCAGTTTCCTGGAGGAGGTTACTAAAGCCACACAGACGAGCGCCAGCGCGAGGTCTGGCAGCAGCAGCACCACCGCTCGGTCGGGGATGCGCAGATGAGCAGGGGCCCTTTCGTCCTTGCAGTGGGACCTGCCCTGGCACACGGTGGGACCCAGAACCCCCGAGGCACGGGGGGTGACCACTCCATCTCCTTGTGTGCATCCTGTGTAGGCACGCATTGTAGACAACTCATCCTCGTAAAATACGACCCCAATTACTGTTTTGATGTGGTGACCAACCTTTGAGTCATGACCCAAGGGACGGTGGGTGGGAGGGAACGGTCATGAATGACGTCACCGCAGTGTCTTGTGTCAGGGTAACGATCCTTGCATGTGATGCTTGTGAACCCACACCATGCGCACGCTGATGCCAAGGCGTGTCTCAATCATTATGCTTCATATTTCAAGGTGTGTTCAGTGGCTGTGATGTTGATATTTCTTACCGTTAATGGCTGCTTTTAAGATATTGCCACTGCAGATGTTATAGGTTGGCCACACTTGCCCCGAACACCTACCGCCCAAGTAATTTACAGAGAGGAGGACAAACTTGCCTGATGAGCGTCCCAGCACTTTGGTAACTCTCAGCAGGAGGACATCGTGAGGCCTTGGTGATCGGCCTCAAGCCGAGAGGCTGCCGTGGCTGTGGCCGCCTCCCTGCACCCTCCGCCGCAGGGGTCACTGGCACCTCCACCCGGCACCGCTTGCCCACCGAGCAGCTTATCCCACCCTCGAGGGTCGCTTGGTTTGCAGCTCCGTACCTCATTGCTCGCCACATTCCCAGATTTCCAATTTGGCCAATGATTCTAATTTGTATGCGTCAGTGTAGGTGCCTGCAGCACTCTCATTCATTGGATAAGCAATTTCTTGCGGGCACAGGGGCTGTAGTGCAGAGAGAGCCTTGAGACAGGCACCGATTGCATGTCCCTATCTCGCTCTGCCCAGGATTCATATCTGATTCCCAGATCTCTGCGCTCGCTAATTATACTCCATCAAATGTATGTAGTGCAGGTGTAAATTGACGAGCAAAGTGTTGTAATACGCAGTTTGTGTACATCTGTTCATTGGTCGACGTGAAAAGGTGGTGGATCATAATGGACTGGACTGCTCTGGTATTTATTAACAATCGTGTTGTCCACGGCAACTTATTTGTGTTGGTCGTCGATTAATTTAAAACTGCAGCATGAATTCATTGTGGGAATTTGTACATTTATTGGAGTTGATCTGTACATTAAAACAGTGGTGAACACATTTTAATAGCATGCCCTGTGCAAAGTTGTGAATGTGTGAACACATGCTGTCACATGCACGGGTGTTAACACGCAAACGTGTGTTCATGTGGTGCGTATTTCCTGGGTACACTCGTTTTATCCTATTTTTGTGTCCTGTAGCTGTGTGCCGTGTTGCCGTGCAGTGCGCGCGTGTTGCTGTTTCGTCTGTGCCTGTGCTGCGGCTGCCCTCGTTATGGCAATGCCTGTTTGCGTTGTGACCAGGGCAGCATTTGCTGTGGCACGATGGTTTGCTTGAAATGACCCGTGTTGCTGTCACGTGGCAGCGTGTTGTGGCTGGACGTCCGCGTGTTGTGGTGGGGTGTCCTGTGAGAGGCCAAGCGAGCCGCACGTCTCCGCTTCCGCACGCTCTTGGTGGACGTGCGGAGGCGGCGCGAGCGCGTGTTGTTGCGCCCGCTTGTGTTCCGGCGGAGCACGTTGAGGCCGGGTGTGTCGAGGCGATGCGCGCGTCCCGCCCGCACGTCGCTCTTGCTGTATGGCGTAGAGCATCTCCACACGGTCGCGCCGCATCCTCTCCACGTACGGCCACCCCTGGGGGCGCACGGGCCACGCTCTCGTCACGACTCCGCTTCACCACACGCGCTACCGTCGAGCGGTCGCGTTTTCACCGACCAAATGAGCGAACGGCCGTGACTGAACGGGTGACGGAGCGGCTGACCTTGTATTGGACTTGGTCGCCGAATTTGCGCTCGATGTTTCCCAGCAGGTGGCGCAGCTTCCCCTCCAGCCCTGCCGCCTCTCTATAGAACGCTGCGCGCCGTTTGTCTTCCGTGAGCCTCTGTGACGGTGCGCCAGCTAGACAGGCAAAACATTATTATCATTATAACTCTTCAAACATATTGAATCCTACAATGTCTTGATGAGGTGTCCTGCTTAATCTTGAATTGGTAACTCGCTGGTGGTTTATTCTGTCGAGCACTTTTTCTACTCCCAAAATATTAACATTGGCGACTGGGCCACGGCTGTGGTCCACATACCACGGCGGTGTTGTGAGTCCGAATTGAACGGCCGACTGACGAGTGACAATGCCATTTGGATTCATAAAGCGTCTCGGTGCGAGTGCATCTCAAGAATCTACAATAAAGAAACACGTGAATAGAGTGAGGAGTAAAGCCTATATGGCAGAAACAAAATAGGTTTTCATATATCTGTCATCGCACGTAAAAAAATATTTTATATACTTTCCAACAACCACAAGGCCGAACGGGAGTGCGTAATTTCATCAGTATATGTCAGAGGGAAGAATATGACAAGGCATGGTGTAAATTTGACAATAAAAACAATTAAGATAGTTTTAGAGAAGAATACAGTAGTGCTGTTCAGCCTTGATCTCGACAGAGGAATGTAATCGGCGTTACAGACACCCAGGTGTGGTGGGGGTGGATTCCAGAATAAACATTGTAGGCGTTAAAGGCATTTATTGTGACAGTTGTCCAAACAGAAAGCACGAAACCGAACTATGGCAGGAACCATATCAGGTCACAGGGGCCCAGCCGTTGCCTGGGAGACAACACGTGGTCTTGCCGAGGGCTACATCTCGCACGCACAAGCACGGCCGATCGGTTCGCTGCTGGCTCGTTGGGATGACCTCGGGGCTGACCTTTATGGAGCAGCCGATCCGGGCACGAGGCTGATCGCTCGAACCGGGCGAGGCTCCTCAGCAGCTCCTCCCTGCGCGTGACCAGAGTGGCTGCCTCCTCCCAGAGCCCTAGGGACTAAACATTTTAAATGCGGCAAGGTGAAGAACCACGGAGATAAAACGAACACAAGGTTTTTAATACCGTGGGAATGGGTGCGCATTCTCTTCAAAGCAATGATTGTGAGCTATGCACATTGTCTTGCTAGCGCATGCCCATCACCTGGTGCAGGTGTCCCACGCTCTCCGCGGACGTGTACTTGATCGTCATTGCCATGCGCTCCCACTCGGACATGCCCAGAGCCTCCCACAGCCTCTGCAGCCTCTCCTGCAGCTCGCCGTCGGTCGGCTGGAGACACGATGGAGACGGCGCGCTCACACAGGGAAGGGTACGTGGCGAACGGGTTCCGCCTGGGTTCCCGACGACTCTGACGCGACCTTTGCCGTCGCTCTCCGCCCCTGGTTGCCCACGGAAGGGGATGTTACGGGCAAGGCCTGGCGACGGCCGTGCCTTCGTGGCGCTTGTCTCACCTCCGGCTGCACCTGGACGTCCGTGGGGCTCTGGGCACGGGCCGAGCGGCGAGCAGATCGTAGGCCGTCCTCCCCGGCCTCCCCCGCCAGTAAAACTTCAAGAGGGTCGGGCTCCTTTACAGGAAAACGTGCAAAATGTAATATACTAACTCGACAATGCACAATAGATTATTTAAGACTGTCGCGTATCTACGTTAACTGCTCTGGTTGGCTAAAACGTTGTGAATTAAATTGTCACACTTGGGCATTGATGGGAAATCTCGACGGGTTAGTGGGGCCACGTGAGCAGCCCTCCTCCATCTCCGCGGGTCACAAGCTTGACACCGTGCTTGTGCACTAATCACGACCCCACGCATCGGCCTAGACCCACGAAGACCAGGCCACCACGAGGGTTGGCTCCACGGGACGCAGGTTGCCCACCACTGACCTAGGGCATACACATCAGCAGCCACGATCAATCTACTGCTGGATGAAGTCTTGCTCCTCAGTATTTCCAGATTGATTCCAGTCTGCCTTTAAACACTCGTGGGTGTACATATCCTGCTGTGTTATCAATTATTTCCCTTGACACATGACTCCCATTTCAATAAATAAACAATAATTTATTCGCTTGAGAAATTCCTCAGGAACAAAATCTTGGTATGCTTAATATACGTCCATATATGCAAATGTCCACGAGCGCCGACGTCGCAATCCGCGCCGCTCTGACTCACCTCCGCGGACAGACGCCGCAGGTACTCGTCGACGCTGACGTAGGACTGCACCCGGAGCTGGGGCGGAGGCGAGTCTGCTCTACCAACCCCCGAGGGAGCAGCAGCAGCAGCTGCAGCAGCTGCTGCTACCGCTTCTCCTGTCTCCCCCAACAAGGGGGTGCCTCTGTGGGGCACGCAAACGGCACCTGGCATGAGATCTACTGCTGGAGTGTCCGGTTGTTTAACCAATCGATTGCTCTGCTGAATATCGGTTCGATTATTAAGTCTCATCTCTGTGCCACTGGACAGGAGGTAATGGGCAGGGTTTGGTGATGTCATCAGCATTATCGGCCACGTTACGCTGGCCGTGGCTTTTTGGGGGTTTCCCACCTTCGGTCACCGTTGTTCAAGGGACCCGAGTGATTGACCACGAATAAAGTGGTCGATTACAGATTTTAGTCGACTAATCGACTTAATCAACCCGGCTCATGATCCCATTTTACCTTTTCGGACGTTATGGTGGTTGAAATATGTTCATGAGTATCGTATCGCTGGACGAGTAGCGGGTCGTTAACAGTAACGACCCCCATTGCTTTGAGTAATGTTATACCCGACGGTATCCAGCCACTCGGGCATTACGTTTGGGATTGCCTTAGCCAATCAGCGGCTGTGCAATGGAGAGACCGGCCCCTGGCATAAGACAATGGAATTTCCTCCACTGGCTCAGGGATGCCAATGAAGAGATGCACCACTCAAGTTGAAAAGTTCAGTGACACTTTCATTCAGATCTGACCTGGATGCCAAGTGTAATTGCCCATCTTGTCACAAGGATGAATCGCTCAGTGTGTCCACGGTGAGCCCACCTGAGCGGCAGGTGTAGCTGGAGGCACAGGCCTGTGCGTGGCAGTCGGAGGTCATCCAGGACGGAACGCGGAGCCGCTCCCTGCAGCATCGAGTCCTGCACAGGCCCAGAGGTCACAGGTTAGAAATCGGAGCAGTCCATCGCCCCCTCTGCCCACGTATCTTCCCCGGATCACTCGTGAGAGCATCCGGGAGGAAGAAAAGTGTGGTTCGCGTGCAATTTCCGGGCCTGCATGTGGAAGAGCGGCGGCGGGCATGGTGGTTACACCAGGCAATGCTCCCCATGCGTGGGAGTTTTTAAAGGTGTGGGTAACAAAACATCACCTCTATTTACACAAGAACTAAAGCGCCACTTATTATCTATTATCTCCGCATACTAAATTGTGAGCCCTGTGCAGTTGTGATAGGGGTCCTTTATACTGGTAGGAACGAAGTTGTAAACTGAGTGTACCAGCCTGCAATAGATTAATGTGTCCGTCCGTCCGTCCCCTTTCAATACTTTAACGAAGTGAAATCTCGTGCTGTTGGGTGTAAAATCAGCAATAGACAGCGCAGAGACTTGTCCTACCAGCCCACCCTGCAGGGACCTGTTTACTTGTGTAAAAGTTTTGAGCCGTCACGCTGAAGGCGATTTTAGAAACTCGTCATGTGAGTGTGTTTCAGTGGTACATACCGAGTGTCTCACAAACTACAGTTTTCCCGAAAATATTTAAGGTATAATCGCCATTATCATGTATTTACTCAGTGCATTAATGTTAATAAAAAGGAAGCTACATATACACAGGCATGCATGAATTTGAAATCGGATTTAAAACCAACTTTGGGCTCCACTCTGGCAAATGGGCCACATTTGGGCTCTTCTGGCCAGAGGATTATGGGATTTGAGCAAAACTAATCTGGCAGCGTTGACATCTTCAAGATTGCTGGCATGCCCACAGCTAGACCCTAGCTGGAACACCAGTGACACCCAGCATTTTTTCCCGGTCAATTAATGTATATGTAGTTGGGTTTCTGATTCACGTCCTGTTTACCTCCTGATTCACCTCATAACTTAAGAGACACCTAAAGGCCCCACCTCTTTTGCCTGGCTTTCGTGCGACATTGACCTTGGCTCCACACCTCAACACTCACGGTCATTACAGCCGTGAAATACTGTGTGCGCTATGAATTACATTATTATTTATTGTAGCGGAGCATCCTCCACCAGCTAAAACCTATGGCCTAAAATAGGAGACAGCTGTCGTTGTGTTTGCTGGTAGGGGTGGAGCCGGTGGCGAGGGGCACTCGCAGTGTAGAGCTGCGGCCGCCACGGCTCCGCCAGGGCGGCCAGGTCACAGAACACTTGGCCCAGGTCGAGCATCTGGTACGCTCCGTCGCCCGTTGGCTCTGCCAGCAGCCCCGCCTCGTCCATCTCTTGCACGCTGGCCAGGTCCACCTCATCAAACATCGTCACAAAGTATGCTTAGCCTGCTGCAGTAGGGTTGGCATGAAATACTCATGGTTTGGAGGAAGATGTCAAACCCCAACAATTACCGGTCAAGATACCACAGTCGAGACGAAATCTAGCACCTCTCACAATCCAAATCCCACGAAAGCATCTAATTTCTGACATGCGTCACCATTATTTGCAGGGTGGAGCAGTGGTTTAGTGATTGGCACACTGCGCTGTGAACCTGGTGAGCTCATTTGTATTCCTTGTCACGGCTTAGATGACTGTTGAGTGATGTCTGAACCGGTTACGGGGTCACGTGCCACCATGTGGAATTTGGCGACTCGGAGATTATTCAGTGAATTAAGCCCCGTGCGGTATGCGCCCTCCAGCTGCCGAGCGAGTTTCCCCACAAGGCGCTCACCTCGCCGGCCAGGTCGTTGTAGACGGGGGGGCAGCGCACGAGGTCATGCGAGATGTCGCTGCACCGCTCGGACACGCGGACGTTGGGACTGCGCATGCAGCCGTGCGCCGCGTGGGGCACGGGGCTCACCGCCGGCTGTGGGGGCCCACTGGGCACCGTGCCCACGCAGGTTTTACTTTTCTCTGCCACCTGCACAGACGACATGTGCAAAGTTTCAAGTTTGTTTTAGTTAACCAGCGGAGAACGCAAGAGACCAGCATCGTCTCATTCACAAGAGTGCCCTGAGTCACAAATATAAAAAAAGCAAAAAATATTTAGAACAGCAACGAAGACGATAGAAATCAGAGCATAAATCAACTGCACACAAACACAAATAGTCACTTAAATAATTCATTCCCTGTAGTGCAAGTCGGCTTGGGCAGATTATTTTTTTTACTGATCATCGTACAGTTAAAATAATTTACCACTGCTGACTTCCCCTGAAAGTGGTGTACATTTTATCAACCACTGAATCGATGCTGGGCTAAGGCAACCCCCAAGCAGGAGATTTTTAACCCGCAACCTTCCGAATGCGAACCATTTGAAACACGACACACGTATAATCACGCCCAGCAGGGAGATTCACCGCTGCAGGGAGCGGGGGGACGAGGAGTTCCCGCGCGGGACGTGGAGTGCTGAGGTCGGCCCCCAGAAGAGCGGAGAGAGCCAGGTCACCGTCGCTGCGGGGACACGGGGGCCATGGCAATCATGGAAAGGAAGCTGAGATCCTCTCACCGACATCGGAATGTGTCACCTGCACAGCACCACCCCCCAACCCCCGATCCCTGCTTATATGACTATTAACCATTCAACAATTGTAAGTGGCCTGCACATTCAAGGCAACCAACTATTTCTGGGTTGTCTAGATTGTGGTGGTGCAGTGGTCAGCGCACTGCGCTATGAACCCCGCGGCCTGAGTTTGATTCCCGGCCACGGCTAACATCAGAGGCGAGTGACGTCTAAACCGGATCAGTCCGGGCCCCCCCTTTTTCAGCAACCCGCGCTGACCATCGAACAAGCCCCCTTTGAATGGCAGTGTGAGGAGGCCCTGTCATCCAATAGTCAACTGACAAATGGCCATAAATATAATGTGCTGCAATTGTGTAATTATAACCGTTGCAGCGGGAGGTGCACTAACTCACCTGGAGAGAACGTCATCACGAATCATCTTCTTGTCATGGGAAACTTCCTCAGCACGAAGAAGCCCCCTCCACTCCTCGGCACGAGGACGCTGCTCCCCTTGGTCGCGGAGGCGTCTGTCCACACTCTGGGGTTGCCTTCTCACCTCGTCACCATGAGGGAGCCTCTCCACCTCATCAAAGGGGTGCCTCTTGTCATCTGCGTCAACCGTCTCCTCATCATGAAGGGCTCGCGTCCTCTCCTCATCGTGAGAAAGTTCCTCATCATGGCGATACCTCGTCTCTTCATCACGCGATGGGCCCTCCTCTTCACAATGAGGAAACCTCCTCTTATGATCGTGGGCCAGTCCCCTGTCCACAAGGTCAGCCTTTTGGGCCCAGGAGCAGCCCTGGGGAGGGATTCATCATCATCAGCCATGATCAGTCCGCTGCTGGATGAAGGCTTCTTGCAAGTCGTAACCACCTCCGATTAGCACGGTTGGCTACATACGGTGCAAATGTGTTCAACGTACACACATCTCACATTCCTGAGATGGGAAGGGATTTACCCCTTTATAAAGAGTCGAGTAATGTGATCCGGAGTCATTCTGTGCAAGGTGGAGCGTGCGTTTAGCAGCAGCTGTAAACACAAACCGAATTGGTCCCAAACATCGTGGAGGGTGCAAATGAATGGCGAAGGGTGGTTAGCGTGACACAATCACCTGGGCTAGGGTGTGGCAAGGACCGGTGATTGAAGTTGCCAGGGTGAGGGCATCAGAGAAGTTTGTACTCTTGAATGTCTCAACTTGGATTGCTCCCAGGTCTGCTATTTATAAAACGTTACAGTGACTTACTGGATTGGGGTGGGCTGGTAAATGTGTGGGTTAGATCGAATTGCATTTTTTGACATTCTATACCGTTCTTTTATTCAATGGACAACCAAATAATTGCTCAGGCAAGAGAGCTGCAATGTTTTGGGTTTCGCAGGGAATGTTGTGCCTAACAGCAAGCGGGCGCAGAAACAAAATCGGCATCTAACCTACCGGTGCAAATAGATTGTTTCGTCACTTAAAAAAAATCGCAAACGCCTCTGTGAATGTAATCACCATCAGCCATTGTCTATCCACTGCTGGATGAAGGCCTCCCCATGCCGTTGACATCCATCCCTCACGGTCCAGTGTTGCTCCCATCCACCTTATACCTGCACATGAACCAATCTCATCGCTCCATCTCCACGGCAGGTGATCCCATCAACGGATTCTGTTCTTTATTTCGTCACCAGTCTTGTTAATGCCACTGTGGGCGCCACGGTGGAGAGATGTTAACTACCTCGCCTGGTATGCAGGAGGTCGTAGGTTTCATCCCGACCCTGACTCCAGTATATTTGGAATTTGCATGTATCTCTCCCTGTGGTTGCATGAATTTTTCTGCAGGTCCTCGGGTTTTTCCCTCCACATTTAGAATCAACATCACGCGTTTAGAGTATTTGGCTGCTATACATTTCCACGTTATAAGCCACTTCTTTGAGCTATCATTTGTGGTCAGTTCGCTTCTGATAAAAGAGCTATATAGCTCAATGGGCTTTACCTGGTAAAATAAAAGTATATTCTTAGTTTTTTTCGGTAAAGTCACGTTGAAGAGAAACAACAAAATAATAAAATATATATAACAATAAAAAATTCTAATGTCCACATCGGATTGGGAACATGTAGACAATATGACTGCCTCTTCAGCTGCTACTATGTCGACCAAATGTAAGGAAAACCTGATTTCCAAATTTAACCTCCTCTTCAACAAAAGACCGGACCCACACACCAAAAAGTTAGACGTTAATAAAGTCGTAATTAATCGCAGTAACAGTTCTATTTCCGATGGTCTGAAATCCGTTTTAGATAAAGGTCTAAACTTTGCAGTCACACCTAAACACATACTAGTTAATGATATAATTGCCCAAGTAGACGTTGCTCTCAGGGGCCTGGGTCACATCGCTGCAGACGTAGCAAGATCTGAAATCGCTGCAACCCTCAAAAACGCTAAGATGCCAGCTAGCAACCTTAGCAAAGATGAGCGTTTTGAGTTATATAAATTAAAAAAAGAGGAATGATATTGTAGTCCTCTCAGCTGACAAAGGCAATGCTACTGTCATCATGGATAAAATAGAATACAACAACAAAATTAAAGAATTACTCGACGATGGTAGTTATACAAAAATAAAAAGAGATCCCACCAACAGCCTCGTCACACAAACCAACAAAATAATTTCTGATTCAACCGCATTAATTGATCAATCTAAACAGTTTTCGTTGAAACCTTCTGCTGCTAGGCCACCAAGATTATACGGCTTACCAAAAATACATAAAGTTTATACACCTCTTCGTCCCATAGTCTCTACTATCAGCTCCCCCACCTACAAACTAGCTCGTTTTTTGTCTGAAATCCTGCGTCCTTTCACTGGAAAGACCACCTCTGCGGTACAAAATTCTACTCACCTGGTATCGACAATCAAGGGTATTTCCCTGTCCACAGACGACCTGCTTGTCAGTTTTGATGTAGTTTCCTTATTCACCAAGGTTCCTGTACCTGACACCATTGCAATCATTGAAGACTTGGTTCATCAAGGACTAAACACTGAGGTACCCCCCTGGTGAGACACTGTTTAACCAATACATACTTCACTTGGAATGGAACTTTCTACAAACAAACTGAGGGCACCCCAATGGGCTCCCCCCTTTCTCCAGTTATAGCTAACATTTTCATGGAGAAATTTGAGACTGACGCCATCCAGACTGCCACTCTGCGCCCAACCTTATGGAAGAGGTACGTGGATGACACTTTTGTCATCTGGCCACATGGCCGGCCTGCTCTAGACCAATTCTTCGACCACATCAATTCCATACACCCAGCCATCAGATTTACCATGGAAGTCGAAATAGATGGCAAGATACCTTTTTTGGATATCCTAATTAAAAAGAGACCTGATGGTTCAATGAGCCACTCTGTCTACAGGAAAGCTACCCATACGGATGCTTATCTGAAACCGGATTCCCACCACCATCCATCACAGAAGAATTCTCTCATCAAGACTCTGTATCATAGAGCCCAATGCATATCCGACCAGGAACACATAAGCAGTGAACTCAAGCACGTACACCAAGCTCTTAGGGCTAATGGTTACTCCGACTATACAATCCGCAAAGCTATCACTCAAACCATGAAGAAGAACCCTCTTGAGGAGCCTTTCAAAACCATCACTTTACCCTACATTGCTGGGATCACAAAAAAGATCTCCAAAATCTTGAATAAACACAAGATCCAGATCCGTTTCAACACATTACATAAAATCCGTGATCTGGTTCCGTCTGTAAAAGATGTGATTCCGGACATACAATACCCTGGTGTCTACAAACAAAGTTGCCTCTGTGGTAATAGTTACATTGGAGAAACCAAACGCCATGTCTCGGACCGCATTCGTGAACACAAAGCAGACCTTAAACACGGTAGGACCAACACCTCGGCCGTAGCAGATCATTGTTCTAATTCAGTAGGCTCACATGCCATTGACTTTTCCAAGACAGAGGTTCTTTGTAAGCCATCTGGCTTCCATGAGAGATTCGTTCATGAGGCTATCCACATATACAAGCACAGAGACAATTTCAACCGAGAAGATGGATTCTATCTTAGCAATCATTGGAAAGATTTGATAAACCATTTCAGTTCTTAATTGATTGTTCACGCTTACAGTGGCTTTCAGACAGCATACATTATAAAAAAAATTCGTCTCCCCCCTCCTCTTTTCAAAATATAGATGGACTAGTCCTGGGTAAACTGCCAATCGCTGCGCGTGACGCTAACGTTTTTAATAAATAAATAAATGCGCCGTTTAAAAATAAATTTATGCAAACCAACACACCTGAAGATGACCGTTTGAGTTATGGTCGAAACGTCGTGAGAATTTTTTTATTGTTTTATATATATTTTATTATCTTGTTGTTTCTCTTCAACGTGACTTTACCGAAAAAAACTAAGAATATGAATTACTGCAGTCACGAAAGCTTTAAATCAAAAAATAAAAGTAGTTTAGTTTAGTTGTTCCATCACCAGTCCCATCAATTAGCTGCTGCAGGCTTAAAACTTCACTCACTCCAGCAGTGAAAGCCTGGTAGCTCCTCTGGAACCGAGGCATCTCAAAAGCAACTGAGCACAGGCCACCCAACAAATTCCTCGAAGGCACCATTGTAACCATCAACTCTATCAGAACATTAACAGGCCGATGGGCGCATCGCCTTCATAAATGAAAAATTAAAGACACCGCCACAGTGGTGCATCTGTGGCCATGCAACTCAAACTATGGACCATACAGTGAACCACTGTACAGTCGTCTGTGCTCTTTCAATGGAGGATTAGAAAAAAAAGTACACAAGCTCTCTCCTGAAGCTCTCTCGTGGCTGGCAGACCTCAACATTGGCATCTAGCTCCTGAACGTATTGCTGCCATCAAGCATAGAATACAGTATAGATGAACACGTAGGCTTTCGCAACCAATATTACCCGAAAAAACCCTGTATTTAGATCGTGATCTAACCCAAAAAACCTGTATTTAGATCGTGATCTAACCCAAAAAACCCTGTATTATGCCACTATGTGGGCACGGTGGAGTCCTCACCACACACATCAACAACAACCACCATTCACCACTAAGTGGCGGTGATGTCACCACAGCGCTTGTGCCAGGCTAGGTGCACGTAGAGGCCACGTGAAATGTCGAACGCCCGCTAGCAGGAGGTCAGGAACAGACCCAGGTGCCATGGGTTGACTGAGATGACTGGCCGATGCTCCACCTGTGCTCCCGACTGTGCCAATTTCCATCACACATCCACCAGGCACCACGTGTTCAGACACACACCTCGGGATGAGATGGCTCGACGGGCGATTGGTTGCTCGATGCCACGCCGCCGTCACTCGAGGTCCAATGAGCAGCACGCCGCGTCTCTCCTGTACGTGACGAGAGGCGCGCGCACTCGCTGGGCATGGGCAACATCGCGGCAGCTGGGCTTGATGCAACACGTCTCCACGCGGTTGCGTCTGTCTGTGCTTGCGGACGTCCAGAACAATATCCCCCCCCCGTCCCCCATATCTGGCTTTGACATCCATCCTCGAAGACACCGGTGGAACAACAAGCTGCATGAGTGCGATTGTGGCCATGCGACCCACACTATGGCCCGTAGAGTGAAAGCTACGAGCACCGAGAGCTGCGATCCTCCAACGGGGGAGCAACCGAACAACTTCAACTCCTGAAGCCCTTCTCGTGGCCAGCAGACCTCAACATTGTCATTTAGATCCTCAACTCACTGCTGCTGCTGCTGCTGCCATCATACGCGAGAATGGGTGCTGTACTTTCCAGCTACTGTATCAGGAGTGCACAATGTTATTCAATTGCAATTATCCAGGAAGGGGAGGGGAGATGTAAGGAAAGTAGAGCAAGCAAACTTCTGGCAAAGGCTTCTCTGTTCCAAATGTCCGGGTCAAACCGGTGAAATTGACCTTATCACGTGCACTACACGTCGTGGAAGTTAAACAATAGCCGCGGGGTATAACAATTCGCACCGAGAGGGTTCCTGTCGCGGTATTAAACGTATCGCTTCCCTTTCCCGGCGGCCAATGACCCTGCAAGTCAACACGGAGCCGGTGCCGCTACTAAAGGTCAAGCGAGGCCCCTTATCCGCGCTAGGGAATCTACGTCACTATGTTTATACGCGCTACGGAATCAGCCGGCGAGTATGAGACACCGCAATGTGTGAGAGTGTGATAGAGTGTGAGAGTGTGTGAGAGAATGTGAGAGTGTGAGTGTGTGAGTGTGTGAGAGTGAGATTGTGTGAGATTGTGTGAGTGTGAGAGAGAGTGAGAGGTGTGAGAGAGTGTGATAGAGTGTGAGAGAGTGTGATAGTGAGAGAGTGTGAGCGGTGAGAGTGTGAGAGAGCGTGTGAGGTGATAGTGAGAGAGTGTGAGAGAGTGTTAGAGTGAGAGTGAGTGGTGAGGGTGTGAGAGTGTGTGAGAGAATGTGAGAGTGTGAGAGTGTGTGAGAGTGTGTGAGTGTCAGAGTGTGAGTGTGTGAGAGTGTGTGAGAGTGTGAGAGAGTGTGAAATTGTGTGAGAGTGAGTGAGTGTGAGAGAGAGTGAGAGGTGAGAGTGTGTGAGAGAGTGTGATAGAGTGTGAGAGTGTGAGAGAGTGTGAGCGTGAGAGAGTGTGAGTGGTGAGAGTGTAAGAGAGCGTGTGAGGTGAAAGTGAGAGGGTGTGAGAGTGTGAGAGAGTGAGAGTGTGTGAGAGAATGTGAGAGTGTGAGTGTGTGAGAGTGTGTGAGTGTGTGAGAGTGATATTGTGTGAGATTGTGTGAGAGTGAGTGAGTGTGAGAGAGAGTGAGAGGTGTGAGAGGGTGTGATAGAGTGTGAGAGTGTGAGAGAGTGTAATAGTGAGAGAGTGTGAGCGGTGAGAGTGTGAGAGAGCGTGTGAGGTGATAGTGAGAGAGTGTGAGAGAGTGTGAGAGTGAGAGTGTGAGTGGTGAGAGTGTGAGAGTGTGTGAGAGAATGTGAGAGTGTGAGTGTGTGAGAGTGTGTGAGTGTGTGAGAGTGTCAGAGTGTGAGAGGTGAGAGTGTGTGAGAGAGTGTGATAGAGTGTGAGAGTGTGAGAGAGTGTGAGCGTGAGAGAGTGTGAGTGGTGAGAGTGTGAGAGAGCGTGTGAGGTGATAGTGAGAGAGTGTGAGAGAGTGTGAGAGTGAGAGTGTGAGCGTTAGAGAGTGTGAGTGATGAGAGTGTGAGAGAGCGTGAGAGAATGTGAGAGTGTGAGTGGTGAGAGTGTGAGAGGGTGAGAGTGTGAGAGTGTGAGAGTGTGAGTGGTGAGAGTGTGAGTGGTGAGAGTGTGAGAGAGTGTGATAGTGAGAGAGTGTGATAGTGAGAGAGTGTGATAGTGAGAGAGTGTGAGAGTGTGAATGGTGAGAGTGTGAGAGAGCGTGTGAGGTGATAGTGAGAGTGTGAGAGTGTGTGAGAGTGTGAGAGTGAGAGAGTGAGAGCGTGTGAGAGTGTGTGAGTGTGAGAGAGTGAGAGAGTGTGAATGGTGAGAGAGTGTGAGAGTGTGAGTGTGAGAGAGTGTGATAGTGTGAGAGTGTGAGAGTGAGAGAGTGTGATAGTGTGAGAGTGTGAGTGGTGAGAGTGTGAGTGGTGAGAGTGTGATAGTGTGAGAGTGTGAGTGGTGAGAGTGTGATAGTGTGAGAGAGTGTGAGAGAGTGTGAGAGTGGTGATAGTGAGAGAGTGTGAGAGAGTGTGAGAGTGGTGATAGTGAGAGTGTGATAGTGAGAGAGTGTGAGGGTGTGAGAGAGTGAGAAAGTGTGAGAGAGTGTAAGAGTGTGAGTGGTGAGAGTGTGATAGTGTGTGATAGTGTGAGAGTGAGAGAGTGTAAGAGTGTGAGTGGTGGGAGGTGAGAGAGTGTGATAGTGTGAGAATGTGAGAGAGTGTGAGAGAGTGAGAGAGTGTGAGAGTGTGAGAGTGAGAGAGTGTGAGAGTGTGAGTGGTGAGAGTGAGAGAGTGTGAGAGTGTGAGTGGTGAGAGTGTGAGAGTGTGATAGTGTGAGAGTGTGAGTGGTGAGAGTGTGATAGTGTGAGAGAGTGTGAGAGAGTGTGAGAGTGGTGATAGTGAGAGAGTGTGAGAGAGTGTGAGAGTGGTGATAGTGAGAGTGTGATAGTGAGAGAGTGTGAGAGTGTGAGAGAGTGAGAAAGTGTGAGAGAGTGTAAGAGTGTGAGTGGTGAGAGTGTGAGTGGTGAGAGTGTGATAGTGTGAGAGTGTGATAGTGTAAGAGTGTGAGTGGTGAGAGAGTGTGATAGTGTGAGAATGTGAGAGAGTGTGAGAGAGTGAGAGAGTGTGAGAGTGAGAGAGTGTGAGAGTGTGAGTGGTGAGAGTGAGAGAGTGTGAGTGGTGAGAGTGTGAGAGTGTGATAGTGTAAGAGTGAGTGGTGAGAGGTGAGAGAGTGTGATAGTGTGAGAATGTGAGAGAGTGTGAGAGAGTGAGAGAGTGTGAGAGTGTGAGAGTGAGAGAGTGTGTGAGAGTGAGAGAGTGTGAGTGGTGAGAGTGTGAGAGTGTGATAGTGTGAGAGTGTGATAGTGAGAGTGTGTGAGAGTGTGATAGTGAGAGTGGTGATAGTGAGAGAGTGTGAGAGAGTGAGAGAGTGTGAGAGTGTGTGAGTGGTGAGAGTATGAGAGTATGAGAGTGAGAGAGTGTGAGAGTGTGAGTGGTGAGAGTGTGAGTGGTGAGAGTGTGATAGTGTGAGAGTGTGATAGTGTGAGAGTGAGAGTGTGTGAGAGTGTGATAGTGAGAGAGTGGTGATAGTGAGAGAGTGAGAGAGTGTGAGAGAGTGTGAGAGTGAGAGAGTGGTGATAGTGAGAGAGCGTGAGAGTGAGAGTGTGATAGTGTGAGAGAGTGGTGATAGTGTGATAGTGAGAGAGTGTGATAGAGAGTGGTGATAGTGAGAGAGTGTGTGAGAGTGAGAGAGTGTGAGAGTGTGATAGTGAGAGAGTGTGTGAGAGTGAGAGAGTGTGAAAGAGTGAGAGAGTGTGTGAGAGTGTGAGAGTGAGAGAGTGTGAAAGAGTGTGGGGCTGAGACGATGGGGAGGAGGAGGGGGGGAGACTCAACCCCGTGGAGGAGCCGAGGTCACCCCGGGTCCCTGCGGCCCGCCGAACACGGACAGGGCCTCCATGGCGCCTCGGTACCCCCTTGGGGCCCCGATCCCAGGTCTCCTCGCCGTCGTTAGACGGGGTCGCGTCCTCTCCATGCCGCCCGAGGCAGGGCCGAAGGGGAGCGGACGGCTCGGGGGTGCAGAGGCGATGACGGCTCTGAGCCGGACCAGGCCCCCCTCCACTCCCCGAGTCGCGGTCCCCTCTCCAGGGCCGTCTTGCCCCCCTCGTAGCCCCGTGGTCTGAGTGTCGGAAGACCTCCGGAGATGTCAGGAGAGGCGGGGAGATGCGAGGAGGAGTTGTCGGGACACGCCGAGGAACCTTCAAATGTCGGCAGAGACGAGGAGATGTCTCGAGTCGCTGCAGGGTCACGTACGCAGCGACACCGCCGTCAGATCTCAAGACGATATCGGGAGATGCCAGGGAGATATCTGAAGGTGTCGGGGAGATTTAAAGTGCAGGGGGGCGATGTGGGGGAGATTCCGGGAGGAGCCGGCGTCCCGCTCGCCCAAGACTTGGGGCCCGGCGCTGCTCGGGCCGCGCGTCTCTCCCCACCCCCCCACCCCGGGGCTGCGGGCGCCGTCTCCAGGCGCCGTCTCCAGGCGCGCCCGAGGGTCCCCCCCCCCCGCCCCGGGGCTGCGGGCGCCGTCTCCAGGCGGCGAGGCGCGCCCGAGGGTCCCGCGAGCGATGAAAGCGGCCAGGGACCCCGCGCGCCCCCGCATTGTGGTGGGGGACAAAGCGAGGGGCGCTGCGAAGCGGAGTTTGATGATGACGCCCCCCGTGCCAGCAGCGTCCCTCGCCGTGCCCCCGACAACGCCAAGCGGCCACCGACAATCAGCACTCTCTCGAAGCGCTTAGATTACGGGGGGTGGGGGATTCCAACGTGGAGCGGTGCGAGGGAAGAATCAGTGTGGTGAGTGTTGTTGTGACCTGCAGTGTGGTGAGTGTTGTTGTGTTGTGACCTGCAGTTTGGTGAGTGAGTGGGTGAGTTGTGACCTGCAGTGTGGTGAGTGGGTGGGTTTGTTGTGACCTGCATTGTGGTGAGTGGGTGAGTGTTGTTGTGTCCTGCAGTGTGGTGAGTGGGTGATGGTTGTTGTGTCCTGCAGTGTGGTGAGTGTGTTGTTGTGTTGTGACCTGCAGTGTGGTGAGTGGGTGAGTGTGTTGTTGTGTCCTGCAGTGTGGTGAGTGGGTGAGTGTTGTTGTGACCTGCAGTGTGGTGAGTGGGTGGGTTTGTTGTGACCTGCATTGTGGTGAGTGGGTGAGTGTGTTGTTGTGACCTGCAGTGTGGTGAGTGGGTGATGGTTGTTGTGACCTGCAGTGTGGTGAGTGGGTGTGTTGTTGTGACCTGCAGTGTGGTGAGTGGGTGGGTTTGTTGTGACCTGCATTGTGGTGAGTGGGTGAGTGTGTTGTTGTGACCTGCAGTGTGGTGAGTGGGTGTTGTTGTGTTGTGACCTGCAGTGTGGTGAGTGGGTGAGTGTTGTTGTGACCTGCAGTGTGGTGAGTGGGTGGGTGTTGTTGTGACCTGCATTGTGGTGAGTGAGTGTTGTTGTGTTGTGACCTGCAGTGTGGTGAGTGGGTGTGTTGTTGTGACCTGCAGTGTGGTGAGTGGGTGAGTGTTGTTGTGACCTGCAGTGTGGTAAGTGGGTGAGTGTGTTGTTGTGACCTGCAGTGTGGTGAGTGGGTGAGTGTGTTGTTGTGACCTGCAGTGTGGTGAGTATGTGTGTTGTTGTGACCTGCAGTGTGGTGAGTGAGTGAGTTGTGTTGTGAGCTGCAGTGTGGTGAGTGGGGAGTGAGTCAGTTGTGTTTTAACCTGCAGTGTGGTGAGTGAGTGGGTGAGTTGTGACCTGCAGTGTGGTGAGTGGGTGAGTGAGTTGTGTTGTAACCTGCAGTGTGGTGAGTGGGTGACTGATTGAGTGATTTGTGGTGTGACCTGCAGTGTGGTGAGTGGGTGACTGAGTGATTTGTGGTGTGACCTGCAGTGTGGTGAGTGGGTGGGTGAGTGAGTTGTGTTGTGACCTGCAGTGTGGTGGGTGAGTGATTTGTGGTGTGACCTGCAGTGTGGTGAGTGGGGGAGTGAGTGAGTGAGTTGTGTTGTGACCTGCAGTGTGGTGAGGGGGTGGGTGAGTGAGTTGTGTTGTGACCTGCAGTGTGGTGAGTGGGTGGGTGAGTGATTTGTGGTGTGACCTGCAGTGTGGTGAGTGGGTGGGTGAGTGATTTGTGGTGTGACCTGCAGTGTGGTGAGTGGATGGGTGAGTGATTTGTGGTGTGACCTGCAGTGTGGTGAGTGGGTGACTGAGTGAGTGATTTGTGCTGCGACCTACAGTGTGGTGAGGGGGTGAGTGAGTGAGTTGTGTTGTGATCTACAGCGTGGTGAGGGGGTGGGTGAGTGAGTTGTGTTGTGACCCGCAGTGTGGTGAGTGAGTGGGGGAGTGATTTGTGGTGTGACGTGCAGTGTGGTGAGGGGGTGGGTGAGTGAGTTGTGTTGTGACCTGCAGCGTGGTGGTTGGACAGTGTTAAAGAGACGAAACAGTCACTCCAGTAGACCGGAGTCCTCAATATGGGCGGAGGAATCAATGAGTGAAGTTCACGGGAACAGTCCACCATCGTCGTAGCGACACAAGGAAGCAACTGACCGACGGGGAACGAGCGAGTGACTGCAGTGATTCATTGAGTGCTGGATCATCAATCACCCTCACTGCTGTTTTATTCAGAATTCTTTCAGGAGCAGCGAGGTAGGAGCACAGCTGCCCCGCTACATATGTGACTACGGGATTCCAGCTTCGTGCGCCACATGCTGTAATGTCGACGTTAAAGACCCTGCGATATGGCCTTAGCCTCAAGGGGAAGGCTGATTGTTGAATTCCCCGTCTGTGTTAACTAAGCCACCCGCATGAACACCAACATCGCTTGCACAGCCACGCAGTTTTCCGATGTGAAAGAGATCACGCGCGCGTGTGTGTGCGCGAATGTCCTGGAAGGTCGCTCATTCATAGTTGCTGCTCCCATAGTCAGAACCTCCCTTCCCAAACGCTCCTGCTGCCGGCTCCCTGCCCCTGTTGAAGTCCAAGCTGAACACCTTTCTCATCTCCTCTGCCTACGACCGAATGTTTTTTTCTTTCTATATATATAAAGTATTAAATAACTATGCCCACTCTTTATGTTCAGCGTCATGAGACGCGGTCACACATAGAGATGCTCTGCACTGTGTCAAGCCGCATTGCGTTGTCAAGGACGCCGACAATGCCGGCAATGCTGCCGATATTCTGCACTCCCGTGGAGTCGTGGGACGATGGGGTGTGTAAAAAAAAAACCCCACTTCTTTTGTTTGTGGAGAGACAGATGTGTATTGTTGTCTACTTATATAATTAGTAATGAAAGGTGTGATCGGGTTAAAGTGAACACAATTCCACCAGCTCCCACTGGCATCAACACATCACTCTGAAACACGTTCAGTCAGGCGAGTGGGAGAGCCTCCTCCGTATCGTGTAGAAGATTGGACTGGAATCGCAATGCCCTTATCATATTGTAGAGCTGTTCCAAAACATCTTACCTGTACATTTTTTGAGATCTGAGCATTGCCATTGGGAAAGCGGTTTGGGACTTTTCGTGACCGTTGGTATAAGGGTGTTATATATTTTAGGAACACGCATTCAATGTCCTGGGTATAAAGGATACACGCATAACTGTTACTGACCACCTTTGAGCAACAGCGCATAACTGTTTCCCAGGTGAGTGGAACGGTTCACTTCACGGTTGCTTTAAAAAGTTTTAAGTTTTTTTTACGAGCGATAAAACGGACCTTGCCCCGTGACAACCACCAACAACAGCGCGTACAAAAAAAACAAGCCGACAAGACGCGTAATTGGCGTTCTTTATCCGCGTGGAATCATTCCGACAAGTCCGTGCAGGTTTGTTCCACGCACACTGCAGGATTAACAGATTCCATTACGAAACCTCGCTGATTATCCCGGGCTGGGGAGGTCAGGAGGGCATGGTGATATGTGCGGAATTCGTGACTCTCTTTCAGTGCCTGTGCATGCAACTCGGGGTGTGCGTGCGATCGGTGCCATTCGTGCACCGGAATTCATTGAAGCGAGTCCGGCTCTGTTGATGAGACGGCTGCGTGTCGAACCGGTCCAGGGTTGTGATTTGTACTGAATGCTGCTGAAATTCTGTACCCTCAGAAGGCCGTGGGGCCAATAGGTTGCGTAGAAAATACTTGTATATGTTTTTACGTTGAACTTTTTTCGCACCGTACGTAGCCAACCGTGCTAATCGGAGGTAGAAAGATAGAGATATGGAGAGACGGAGATATGGAGATGAAATGTGTGCTTATCTATTTCGTGTTTGTATTTTGGGGCTAACATCACGAATAAACGAGGCTCTATGTTTCACACACGTGGTCTGCAGTAGCTTCACGGTAGTGGGGGCAATGCTGCTACTGTGTGTGTGATCCCAATCGGGTCATTTGCAGTGTCATTACTCGAATGTGCACCATGCCGTTGGAACACAATGGCCTTCCTTTTTCGAACGACGTCACGGGATATTTAACGTCCACGGTGAAGCAGACAGGTTCGCATTTCACGGCGAATACACGCCGTGTTGATTAAGCAGAGCGGCCCGCTGTATTCAAATCGCGAAGCTCTGCAACAAGTGGCGAAAACGCTCCCTGCCGGGCCACGTCAGCACCGCCCCAACATGTTGCGCCACGTTCGGGTTCATCTTGGGGTGGTGTATATCCAGACAATCCAGGTATGGCCTTTGGTGCTCTGAATTACTAGAGGCGTTCAACACGTAGGCTTTCGCGACCAATATCCATAATCGAGGCGTCACGGAATGTGGCTGCTTCGCGTTTCCTTTGTTTGCCGATCACCGTTTTAATTCCCACCTGACAGTACATAACTACGGTGTAGCAAGGGGAAATTACAGAACGGCCGCGGTATGAACTCGCCGCACAAAGGCGTGTGGAGCCTGCGCTCACGACAGTAAAACAGGATATAAAGTAACACAAACTCGAGCACGTATGTCAGCAACGCCGGGGCCTTAAGAAGATTAAACAGGCGACGCGTCAGGTAATGGTGCTTCTGCACGTCGCGAAAAACAGAGGCCGGAGATGGAGAGCGACGCCACGGATCTGGCCTCTCTCTGCTGTTTGTGCATCATTGCCAACGCAGTGCCGCCAAATGTTAAGCAGAATGAATACCAGTTCGACCTGTAAAAACAACACCACCAACAACAGCGGGACATCTTTACTGACTTGTCGAGGAAGGAAAATTCTCGACGTCTCGTTCGGCTGCCTTCCGAATGTATTTGCTTATTTTTTTTTATAATGAGCGTAAAGAAACACTGACGAGGGTAGTGGGGTTGGGTCCGTGATCTCAGGGCATCGATCATCAGAATGGAGGCTGTCACATACACAGGTGTAACCATGTATACTCACATTTGAGTCAATCTGCGGTTGACTTTCAAATGTGAGAAATTTGGTCTTGACGCCGGCACTAAATGCGAATGATGTCAGGGGATCTTTAACGTCCGCGGCGAAGCAGACGACGCGTAGTATTAACAGCTGCGGTTATTACA